ACGGGAATTTTTATTGAAACACCCTGTAAAAAAAAATTATTTAGTGTTGCATTTCACTAAATATATTTTTTTAATAATTGTTTTATTGCTTCAATGACTTTGATGTAGGCATTGATTTTGCTTTTATATCTACATAATTCAAAACAGTCGTTCAAGCGTTGATTACAGTTACGTCAATAAAAAAAATTACACGAATGCGAAGGGTATTTTGGTATTGGATCATAAATTAAAAATTATGGTATCAAGGTAAAATTTATGTGTTCAAAAGCGCTAAAATAATACGATGTCTAATTTGCTGGTGTCACAAATCATGTCGTAGCGGCTTAAAAATAGCCCTGTTTTGTTGTCACCATTCTAAAGTGAATCGAGCCTTTAAAATAATAAAGTAATGATTTAACCGTTGCCTATAGCGTCGAGGCCGAATTGTTTGGAAGGTAAGTCCTATAAAATATCTGTTTCGTACTTGCGCGATGAATCAATTCGTTAAGTAGAGTCAAACAACGTACGAACTTTTTAGGTTATGATAATAATTAGTATTTTACATCGTCCAAGCAAAATATTTGCGTAAAGGATTCAAATATGAAACACCTTGGGCAAAGAGATTATTTAAAGAAGTGCAGAACGTCTCATCATAACAAATATATCATTTCTTATGTCGAAATCCTGAATAGCACTTGTCATCTTTATTTTATGTTGTGGGTGCATGGACGTAGTCAGTATATTATTATAAGTTAAAAAAAGTGGTTACATTATAAATTTGTAACCCGTGGTTTTATAAAAACCGATTCAAAATAGATTTGTCTTATAAATAATTATACTTATTTCGATTCATTCTCAAATTGAACAAAATTATTGAGCACAAACCGATATAAATCATTTAATGCAATCACAAATAAGCTATGTCTCACCAGCAGAAAAATGATAATTATCGTAGTCATTTTAGTGAGCATAAAATAACAGATTTTTCCAGTTATGTATACATCCTTCCAAAATATTTATTTTAAAACTATAAAAATGGAAAGGATAACAAATAACAAGGCTAGATGTTAAAACATTAGGTATCCCATGCCCTAGATTATTGCTTTTACTCCAGTTCTCTATAACAAGTAAATTGGTTGATAAAATCTGTCCATTTACATCTAAAGCGATTCTAAAACTTGCTGAAATCCACAATCATGTGTTTAAAGAATCTGATACTTCCTAAGTTGAGTCAGACTCATATGACTGTTAATAATTTTGCAAGTTCCTTTCGTCGAATATTTACTTGCTTAGCAGCCGGATCATTATTTATTTTTCACGTAAAGGATCGACAGGATTGGCACCTATGCAAATCTACTTTTATCGCTAGTTTTCAGCCAAACATATCATCTCGACTTGTTCCAGCGGATACGTTTCGATAAATCCTATACCTACGTCTAGCTCAATTGCGACGCTGTTTTAGCTGCAGCCATTGCACAAATTTGTTTTTTGTCTTATATAGCCTCAGAAAGAATTATGCCTTGGAAAATTACACAGTCGTTTATAAACCGCTTGTATGTGTATATTCTGTGAAACTATAATTCTGAAACTTGGAATTGAATAATTTTAAATTCCTACTATTTGAAAACTAATCTCCTAGTCTATTTTTAATTTTGGCAGATTTGTAGGTGGATTGTTTGTATTACGCATGTTTCTACTGTAATGTCCCAGAAAATCGCAAATATTTATTTATTAACTTCAAATGAAACGAAATCCATTATTATTTATACATTTTCTAGTAACAAAATGTTATTTCGGTCTAAAGAACTAAGGTTCAAGCAGGACGTGACTTTGGTTCAAAGATATTAGGAAATTGTTTTTAACTTCTTGTTTTATTTTTAGTATATCAAAGTAAAAATATACACGAAATGCAAAATAAACTTTCAGAGCCTAAGTAAGGTAATGCAAATAAACACTTATTTCTTTAAAATAAAACGTTACTGTGGAGTAGGTATCGTATATTTTCGTCAATTTTGATAAACATTTTTGCAGTCTTTTGAAGAGTTGAAATTTCGGGATATAAAATTGTCCTGAAGTTTATTATCATAATAAATATTCACTTTTAATGTGTTATTTTTATATTAATAAAGGCAAACATTTTTTTAATAACTATCTTTTTAAGTAATAAAATTCCTGAAATAAATTAAAATATTAGAATTTATTTTTGTGGTTTCAAAATACAAAACTGACATTGCACTAATCCTTCAACAGGTAAACGGGATGGGATCCAGGTATTTTTTCTAAAAAATTTGTATTTTAATTTCATACATAAATTTAAAAAATTTTGTTCCATTTATTGTTCTAATACATTGTGTACGTTTTTTCACCACTAACATTAGTAACTGAAAGTAAATCTGTGTAAAATAAATCAACGGTAAATTGTTTGAAACTCCCTACACCTGATGTATTTTTGTTTATTTTGATAACTTAAATTTTTAATTTACAGTTGTGTACTGATTTATAACGTGATATATACTTAATGTCTAGTATGTAACATTCCGTCGGTGCTTCTATATAGCTTTTGAAAAATGTTTTGAGTAAGGTACCTAACTAAAAGATCTGTTAATTCGAAAAAATGACACATATTTTCCTGTACATTACAGTAAATTCTAAGAACAGCCATTATATAATTACGTATAATAAAATAAAACCTTGTATAAATTGTTCATGTAGATGCTTAAAAATTTTAGATATCAGGTTTAAAATATACGTCCCACATTGTGAAATTTTATCTCTTTATATCTTTTTGCACAGGAACAATGTATTCAGTGCCAAACTGAAAATAAAATTTGCGATTTTCAAGGTAGAGATGGTTTACAGGGTGACACAAAAAACTAATTTAATTTTCGTTTTATAAACATAATTCTAAAATCATACGCTAAATTGACGTGTGGGGAAATTTACATGAAAAATGTACACGTCTGCAGGAAGATTAAACATCAACTTGCGTTAAGATTTTGATTGTCGTGTCGTGTCTGATTTATTTAATTTTACGTCTGTTTTTTACAGAAAAAAAATTAAGTAAATATTCCTAGGATATATTTTAATATAACTATTTTATTTAAGCATTTTGTACTGATAGAATATTACCAATTACTGTCCTTAATCGAGATTTTCTGTTACGGATATAAATTACTAAAAACAAGAGTAAGCAACCGTGTCATTTCAAATTTGTGGCATTGGACACGGTAAGATTCGTTATTCCGATTCCAAAAATAAGCCTCATTTGTTATTATGAAAATAAAAATTCGTAGCATGTTAGTCAGAGGTGAGAAATCGAACTTTTTATATTTCCGTTTGACACAGTTAAAGTAGCCGCCTACGCCACTGGAGAGCCAATTTTTTTAATACATAAAAGCGGCGATGCGATGTACTTTTGGAGCCGTATTGACGCATTTGATTCGACCGCGATGTTGTTTGGGAGTCAAAAATTAATTCATCCTTAATCCAGAATAAAGCTGAGTTTTTTATTTGTCTTGCAAGTATCCAACACACGTCACTTTCAGGCGTGTATTAGATATTTCAGTGGGACGATATGTTCCTTAAATTAGCACACATACTATATTTAACCTGACCACTATGTTACCAGTTTGCAAAACCCTTTGGCAACGTGGCCTTCGTAAATAATATTTTTTCTCGCTTAATCACTCCAAAAATTTTATATCAAATTTAACTATATCCTAAATATAGTTGCGCTAATCACCACTTTAATATTATACCCAATTTACTTATGCCAATTTAAGAATCTATTTTTTTTTCCATGAGTTATGGTTGATAATGAATCTCAGTTGAAGTTAATTACATTTTATGGTCTGCCTTTGCATTCATTTTTATATTTCATGTTTTTTTGTTCATATAGTGCGTTGTGGTTATCTGAATTTATTGGAATATCAGCAAGAAATCTCTAGAAAAGCTTAAATAGTTCAAATTAGAGAGACGACGTGTTTTTATCCCAACGCAGTTTTAATAATATCTCTGGAAATAAAAATAACAAATCAATTTGATCCACTTTCTGGCCACGCGATTCTTATAGATGTACAAACAATCGAGTTTACATATTTCTATAATTATATATGCACTTGTGCCCCAGATTTATTTTCAGAAGATAAGTTGGTCAGCGCATATTAACCTAAATTGCATCACTACGTTTCGGATTCAAATCTAATTAATATTTAAATTCGTTTTAGTCGACGAATATGTTTTATTTGTACTATTTATTTTTAAATGCCCCATATTTAATTAATGCCGCTGTTTCGACAAAAATATGCATTTATAATTGCTTGATTTGGCACGTATAATTAACCAGAAACATCATAACTTTTGTTTTTATGACCCATTTTGCTAACTTAACTACCAGTTCCAATTTCAAAATTTTATATTCGAAAATTTGTAACAAGTCGGTTATAACAATAAAAATGTATACTTTGTTTATACACAGGGTGTTTCCCGGTTCCTTCAGATTATTCCTTGAACTAGTTTAGGCGCTACATGCAGTTTTTGAGAAAGAATTTTTGAAAAGTATCACATTTATTCAAGTATTTTACAAAATATCAAGTATATATAATTTGGGCTAGCGATTTAACAAATCAAGGGTAAAAAGTCATGAAGCAATATATAAATATGTCAACTTAAGGATGTCTAAGCTACTAAGTATTTTGAAATCAATCATTGTATTTAATTTCCAATTATACTGCTTCTCCTTTCCATTTTGTTTGAAAAACGAATTTTATTAAAAATATTGCCGTTACTTATTTTTCAATAAACTTACCACATAGTTTAGAAAAACAGAACATAATTCTAAAATTACACATTTCATAAAATAAAAAAAATATTTTGGAAATGTAGTACAATGCATTAATTAAAAAAGTCTAGTCTTATTTTATTTTGGAAAACATTTGAGTGTTAAAAAAGCAGTCAGTTTTAGTTCGAGTAGATAATTTAATAAAACCATTTTTTTAATTAACCAAAAATTATTTACTGAATAGATTTTCCCCATAAAACTTTAATATCGTAAAATTAATAAGTGATTGTTGATTATCATATAACTTAATATATATAAAGATCTATGTAACCATGAAAAAAAAAAAAAAGAGAATTACAATAAAAACCATAACATTTTGTAGATAATAAAAGGTCAATCAATAAATAATTAGTCTATCACTCTGTTTTTTTATCGCTTTCGTTAGATTTTGGTGGATTAGAATCACTGTTTGCCCCACCAGGCGAGCCACCTGATGTCTGATTTTGGGGGTCTAGGGATCTCCGCAAACGTTCCACAATATCAGGATCCGCAGTTTGCATTCTCTGCGCCATTGTTTGCCCACTGAAAACAAATAACGTTTATCGCGAACTAAACTGATGATATTAAAACAAAAGTTAAACAAACTTGCAGTACTTACACTTGAAATAAGGCATTAAACTGTGGATCAGACTCGGCCAAAGACATGATTTGCATCAACCTGTAAATTTTATCAGTACAATAATAAGTACAATGGGATTTCTATATTTATTACATGCTATTGAAACTGCGATCACTTAACATTTGCGTAGCCATGTTGATCACGTTCGGGTTGTTGATAAATTGGGAAATGTCTAAGGGTCGATGTTCTGGTGGTGCTGCACTTTCTACAAAAAAATAACCACGGTTTGGTACATTACTCAAGCGATAAAGTTTTTTTATTTTCTTGAAACGAATGTACATACTGTTTAAAACTATTTATAAGTTTTTTGAAACGGAGATTTTCTATTCATTCTATAAAATGGCTACAATTTTTACAAATAAATTCAAATTTCTTTTATTTAATTCTATTAATATTTCCTACTTGGTGTTATCGTTAATTCAGGGATCGTTCTAAACTATTTTTAAGTATCTTCCGACTACGTTTTACGTAAAATTTTAAAAATATATACGATAAGGTTACCCATATTTGCAAACAATCTTTCTTCAACTAATTTCAAATTGGTTTCAATCATGGTGTTCCCTGGATCATACTTTAAAGCCGTCAGGTAGGCTTTGCGGGCGTCCTCATATTTATTCAGATTTGAATATGCGATACCAAGACGACCATAGGCTTTGCCATAGGCAGGATCTAGTTTTATTGCTTCTTTACAATCATTTATTGCTTCTAAATGTTTTTCTAATCTGCTGTAAGCTGCTGCACGGTTGCAGTAGTAAACTGCATTCACCGGATTCAATCGAATGGCCCTAAATAAAAAAAATGTATCTTTTAAGTCATAGAAACAGTGTCTAAATATGTTTTTGTGCAATTTCTATATATATTCTTTAAAAATTTACTTCCGATAATTTACTAGAAGTTTAAAGTTAACTATTGATTCAGGATTTTTCATTAAACATAATACAAACTCTGTATATTCGGCCACAGCTTCATTGTACAACGAACTTTTCATGTGAGTATTGCCCCTTGTTTTGCACAATTCCGCTTCGGTTTTCTGTTCTTCGGTAATTTCTACCTAAGTATCAAAAATAATAGTATAAACACGTATTTCAACCACAGAAAAAAGTCAAACCTATTTTGTTACCTTTGGTGTTATCTTAATAAAAGATAGTAGATCTAATTTTTCCGATGCTAACTTTGTTTTCGTATCATTGTCAATTTCGAAAGCTGTTTCAAGGCACTGTATTGCAACCTCAACGGACTCCTTTCGTTCATCATTTAAATTTCCATTAACTAGTTCATCTTGCAGAAAATTTACTACATTTAATATAAGACACTGCTTTTTTGGATCCAAAGAAGACTCCATAATCTATAACTTTCATTGTAATTTTAGAAAAAAAAAATGTCTAGGTATTACCTTTTAAAACTGGAATCTGTGATGTATATTGAATCAAACTTATATACTACTAAATGTGTTGCTTATAACACCAAAAATTTGCAAATACCAAGAAGTAAAATTTATAAATCACGATACATTGCTGTCAAATTTTGCGGTTATGATAGTAACAAAAGTTATTTTAGGTTAACCATTAATAAATTAGAATGAGAAACGCAGTATTCTTTTTTATCGACACTATTTGTGACATGTATGTACTCCACCCAGAAATAATTATTATACAACGTTATATTTCCCCCACATTCACACCTATGTGTACAAATTGGTTATATTTATACACATTTATTATACTAATTTCATTTTTTTATGAGTTATTTATTCAAACATAAGTGGCACATAATTTTTTCAGTAGTATTAGTGCTGCCATCTATGATTGAAAGATTTAAACTGCTATAATGGGATTCACCAAATTGGAAACCTGTTATTTAAAGAATTACGGTGTTAAAAACCCAAGAGAAAAATTCAGTTACTGATAAAAAAAATACTTGACCATTGTCTATAATTTATAAACATTATTTTATATTATTATTATATATAAATTTTTAGATAAAATTCAGGATACCTACTTATTAAATTAAATAATTATAGTAATTAAGAATTGAATATTCTGTAGATATGTATTTGATGTTTTTATATACCTGTTTTAGGAGTTATTTAAAATTTTTAGGTAGGTAATTAGCTATATTGAATATTATTTCTTGTACACATATTGCTGTTTGAAACTTTTCTTGTGTATTTCGGGGTGCATACATCAGCTTTGAGTTTATTAAATTACAATAATTACTTCTCTGGGTATTTTGAATATTTAATAAAACGTATGAGTCAATAACTACAAAATTATACATTGTACTACAGTACTGGCTTTCTTTAATGTTTAGTATAGTACGTATAAATTAGGTATACAATTAAGAAGTGATTCAAAAATTTTAACTTTCAGAATTCCATCCAGAATTCTGACAATAATCTGTGACGTTTCAGGACTTGAATGGAGGGGAGTCACACCATTACGCATAGTTTAAAGTTGGTAACGCTGTTCATTCAAGACGTTTCGTTGCTAGGAGATATCGACGGTGCCTTTTGCACCGAGTTCGTATTATATTGAGTTTTTGTGAGTGGTTCCCAATTTGTTTCTGAACTGTTTTTTTCAATATGGCTTCTGCTGGTGCGGATTTTCAAAAATTATCCCAAGAAGAACGCGAGGAAATAAAGGAGCGTTTTAACGAAGTAAGTTTTTTGTATGTATAACCTAAAACGTTTTTTCTTTAAATCGATTTTAGTTTTAAGTATGTTTATATGCGGTATTTTGACATTCGACGTGACACGCTGAAATCTCAAATTGTATAGCAACGCCCATTAGCATGTAATAGAAACTGTTCAAATAAATATCATACTTATATTGTATAATTATTAATTGATAACAATAATACCTGACTTGATTAGCTTGCATGTATGGTAGCACCGGTTTGTTAAGTAGGAATAAACGCATATTGGGCAATTTTAGAAATCAAACAATATACGTATTTTTGTGTTATGAATAAAATATCAATAGTTTACAATGAATGACTCACAATAACATTACTCATAATGTAACCTTCTACTTTCCTTCAATATAAGTTTAATAAAACAAGAACATAAATAACAAACTTGTTTCTTGTATACTTTAAAAAATGCTATTTTTTTAATTTTTGAAAAACAGCTAACGTTTCTGTTTCATTGATATATATCCATTTTTTTTTAAATTCGTCATGCAATTTTTCCTATCTATATTTATTATCGGGTTTTACTAATTTTGAAGTGGTTCCTACTAGGTACTAAATCATACTTTCAATGATATGTTGAGTATAAAAATATTTATTAAAGTATAAATTAGTGTTAACATCCATCCCCAAAAACTAATAAATTTCACTCCATTAGCTACAGATTAAAATATTTTTTGGTATTTCCTGTGCATTGTTTTTTAATTCCCAAGTTAAAATGAATGCATATCTGTTTATAACAATAGAATTTGGAAATTTATAAAAAATGTTGACCATTTATCAACTGGCGAATCAAAAGGAGTACCAATTTTTTATGGGTACAGTCAAAATAATAAATTCGTATTTTCATTTTTAAAAAAAGTAGTTTCCTTAGTTTTGAAGGTAGATATAAAATATTGTGTGCAATTTTGTATTTAAAATAAAAATTATATTGTTTATAGGTAAATATAAAAATTTACTAGGTTGTCCAACAAGAGCGGATTCCGATTTTAGGGAAACTATAGATATTAAATTAAAACGCCCATATATTTATATAAACATTGTATAAAATAAAATATATAGTATATATAAAGTTTATTTAAGAAAATTGAACTCAGATGAAAATTATTGTATATGAGGGATTTTATATAAAATGACGACAATTGGGAATTAATATCTGATACCATACGGATATTTTAAGCTTTTCAGCAGTGGTTACTCCATTGGTTTACATATTTTTATTTAAAATAGCCACATCCTCATGCCTGACAATTTCTTATCAGTGTGTCACTTCTAGTAGGTTTTCTGTAGTATGCTTTATAAGGAAATATAATGAATTAATACTTAAGTACTTGAAAATAAATGTTTCCCCCAATTTTTATATTTAATGAATACAAATATAACTGTCGATATTGATTGAATAATAATTCTGCGCATACAAATATTTTTAATAACGATACACACCAAATAAAAGTCGTACTTTTACTTTACATCAAGATTTTTGTTGACAAAAATTTCTATTTTGTAAATGTATAATTTAACTATCGGTTTCTTTCCGGATGAGTGAATGCCTTAGTACAGTTTTAATGTTATCGGTAATGGTTTCATAACAAACCAGCTTTACTTATTGTTCGCAGTGTTGAGAATAGTCGAGCATAATATGCTAAGTTTTCTTTTCTTAACAAATTTCTATTTTCTATTTACTCTGTAGGCATTCCATGTGTAGTGTAATTTAAGTAGAAAAACAATCAGTGCAGTTAACTGTTCTCTCAAGGGCACGCTAAAACGAATAATTAAGATAATGATTTGCTAAATTCTGTTTAACTGTATAAAGAATGGCTATTGTATTTGTAATTGCTACTACAATTGATTCAGAAATCCTTATTCAATTCCGCGGCATTTAAAAATACCTCTGTTGTGACTAAGTGGGCAATATAGTTTCCTTATTGTTCCGATTGAATCCATTTGTAATCTACTTCCTTATGGTTTCTAAGAATTCGTTCAGTGAAGCAAGACGAGTATATAATTTTTTGTTTCTATTTGTTTTACCCCGCGAACGAATCGCGAGCGTTCGTCTGTACGTCACTGCTTCAAAATTCGTGTGTATATGTAACACATTTTTTCCAAGGTAATTTATACGCAATTATTCGTATAGGTACGTGAGTACGTAATCACCTCTACGAAAGATATGTTCAGAGGGAAGGAAAAAATGTTTTTTTATTAATTTCGAACTATCGCACTAGAAAAACGTCATTAGTAGTAATAATAATACCGACCACAAATCCATCCTTACAATAGTTATGCTTGCTTTATTTTACAAATTGATTGTTTATGTTTTTTATACGGGTATTATTCATTAGAATTGTATAACCATAGTTAGTTGTTGTTACATAATCTTACATCTTTTCCACTAATTATGGAACAAACATTTGATGGAACCGTTGTTTAAATCTGCTACATTAAATTGTAGCATTACATTATTAAGGTTAAGGAACTGTAAATTTAAGGACAATTATCCTACCTACTAAAATTTTTAAGTGCTAATTTAAATTCGTGGTGATGGTGGTTATGTATAATTGCATGCCTCTTTTCTCACATAAATATTAAGAGATTATTCATAGTTCCTCAGTTACATTTGCATAAATAATAATCACAGAAACATTGAAAATTATCCCAAGCTTGTCGAGTATATTTTGAGGCCAGTTAAAAATGCTCAAAAGTAAATTATTCTCTAATAAAATAAATTTTTAACGCACTTTTGAATAGAATGTCAATTAATTTCATGTAGATTTTTTGGAAGCTATCCAGAATGTTGTATGAATATATTATAATTCAAATTTTTATTTTAAAATTGATGATTAAAAAATTCTTTGGAAAGAATGGTTTCCTATCTAATCACGTAAGGAAAAATTCTCTAAGGCATGACGTCCGAAATGTTATTGTATCGTTATCTAACGAAATTTTCGTTTGTTTTGTATTATCTATATTATTGTAATCGAATTACGGTTAGTTTTGCTCCGTTCGTGTTCCTATTAAAGATGTCTTAGAAATTACGTTTTTGTTAAAAATAAATTATGATAACTCATGGAATTACTAGCAAAATTTCACACAAATCGCCGACTAGAAAATAGGGGAAATGCGTAGTATCCTGATATATTTTACGAAACGATTAATATCGTTTTTCTTTTTAAAGAGAGGTCAGTTCCTTATTTTAGATGCTTACTCTATATGGGAAAAGTTTCTCAGAAAATAAAATAATTATAATAACGTGAAAATGAGAACAAAAGGCATTTTATTCATATTATGTATACGATAAAATGAAAATGCTAATATACTTCCGAAGTTCCGAAAAAGAATAAACCTCCTGTTGCTGTTTAGTTTGAAAGATCGTGTTTGTAAATATCAATTTTTATTAGCAATTCTAGGTGTTTTGGCACTGATCTGAATGATTATAAAATTATGTTCATTTATATTTACAGTTAAATGTGGGTATGATACAAGTTTGAAGTAATTTTAAAATTAATTTTTTTAGCTTCTGTAACTTGATCTGTTTCTTTCCTTTAGATACTTATTTTATGTGGGAAAGCTTCTAACAATAATGAAATGTATAATATATTTTTAAATTAACCTGAGAATTAGAACAAGAGGTACTTTATTTTTACTGTGTTTAATAGTTTCTAGACGATCTTAAAATATACCAGTATTTATCAGTTATGATAATAGATTCCTAAAATTTTCTTATCGTTTATGAGTCAAAAGACACATTAAGATCATAATCGGTATATGTATATCATAAACTCTTTCTCAAAATTCGATTCCAAAAAAAATGTGGTTACTCATCGGGAAAAAGTCGAGAAAGTGTACCTATTACATTTACTGATTGTGAATATTTTAGGTGGTAAAAGTCGACATTATATATAGTACAATACTTAAGATTTCCTTAAGTTATTTGTCTTTTAGTCGACCTATTAAGGTTCCTAGACTCTGTGCCAACTTAGATTTTATATGTATTGATTTCCTTTATAAGGGTATCTCGCCAGTTGCCACAGACGTAATTTTACCCAATATAAGTATATCATAAATCACACTGTTATCAGTTATTTGATGTAGTAAATGTGGATTTTGTTAGAAAAATAAATCACAAGTTAAAACACATTCGACACATTAAGAACATGTCATAGTATATGGAAAGAAATTTATAAATTTTCTTTCAGTTTGCACTGACACATTATTTTAAATAACAACAGTTTGAACTTGAGTTAAGGAATAATATTTCAACTCACGAAGCAAATGTTTCTCATTACATATCACATTTGCAGGATGCATTAAAAATATTAATAACATTTCAACATTGCTCAGCTTGTGAGTTGGTTTTATTAAAAACAGCTTTCATGCAAATCGTCAGCAGTACGCGAGGTGCTACGCCATTTTTATTACAAGGTTAGCGTAAATGGAGTCCTTGCAGTAACCGCGATTATACTTTTTGCCTTTGATCGCGTTAATACACATGCTCAAACTGCAGTTCTTATCACTCCATACAAACAGTATTACAATATTGATATTTACTTAATTTAATTTATAGCAGTTTATGATGTTTTTTTTTCTCTAAGAGGTCTGCTAATTCGGAATCGTAAAACAGAAGAATATTCTGTAACTTCTTGCATTTGTTACTTTTGAAACATTTAAGTTCTAAGCTTTATATTAAACATTCAAATTCTTTTTCTATAGGTTCCTATTGAAACTCTAATTGTAAGAGTATGCACACTCTGTACTAATACAAGACATAAGTTTATTCCGGTTCAAGGACCCACGCAATTTAACAGGAAGCCGGCGTATACGCTGTAATGCCGGTTCTTTTTTAAAAAAGCCTCATTGCGTTTTTTTGCACTTTGAATGCAGAAAAAATAAAGAAATGTAAAATTATGATTTCGTTCTAGTTTAATAAACAAGCATTTTTGTCTCAAGATCAATCCCAGTTTTTATGTCGATGAGTTGGTTACTGCATTCCTATGATGTTTTTTAAAGTTTGTTTTTGAAGGTTTTTTTACTAATATTTGCGAACTGCCTAGAAACAAATTTCGATGTATGTTAAGGAGAAGTGCAGCTAAAAATGTGAAATGTGCGCCATATAAAGAGGGAACAATCGTTAGTTATTATTTATAGTCGTCATACAATATTTATGTGCGGGTCTTCAGATTAACAGTGACCCACTTTTCAACACGGCCTTAACAAAATAGCCTTAAGTTGTTTGATATAATATAGTTGTGTTGGCCTCCACACTTTGAACGCGCCAGTTTTGTCCATTTCGTTTTATTGAAACTTTTTTATTATTTTTATGTAGAAATTTAACTTTGACATTTTCAGGTATTAAATTTTCCAGTGCATTTTTTTGCAGGTCACCTCGACTGTTAAACAGCGCACATTTAAAAAACAAGTATAAAAAATAAAATCTGTCAATTGAATAAAATTAAAATTTCTCGGTCTCCTTATTAATCACATCACTTCCAATGCAGATAAAAAGAACATTTAAATTGAAAATATCTGATTGTCAGATAGAACTAGACTGAATTGAACTGTAATTAATTCAGTAATAAAATTTACGTGACCATGTCACTTGTAAAAATGGATTGCCAAGGTCACAAAATATATTTTAGATTCGACTTACTAAGATTTAGATAAATAAAATTAATCGCATTGTGGGTAGATTATACTTTTTTAGATAAGCTTTAATCACTGATGCATAAAAGTGAGAATCAAATGTAATTTATTCAAATATCGGTGTAAGTCTAACTTTAAGAATGGCAAATAAAAAGATTTCATTTTATTACTTAATATACTTTGCGTTTTAAGCGGTATCTTCTAATCTTATTTTATTATGTTGTCATAAGTTAAATATTTTTTCTGCTATCAGACTAATTACTAAATGTTACTTTTTGGCCAAAACTACAATTTGTAATGTTTATACATCTCTTGAGAGTTGTCAAATTAAAAACCGACATGTATAAACATGTCTGAAGTGTTCGTTAGATAAAAAATACCACTATGTATTGCTGTAATTAAAATATAGAAGAATAAAGAGGTAAATAAGGAAGGAAAAAGCTCATCTAACCTGATTTTTATTTATATATTTACGTCAATTAATTCTTCCCAATTTTGATTTAGTCATGTATTTTCTACAACTTGCGAAACAAATTTAAATATCGTGTAGATATTTAACTTAAAATTCTCACATTTAATTGTCAGAATAAATCTCAGAAGAACAAATCAAGTACCCTCTTGATTAAAACAGGGATTGTCAATTAAATTTATTTAAAGTAGGTTTCCCATTACGCCGATGTCAATCACCTATGAAATTACTGGAATCATAAGCAGCATATTAAATTATTATATGAATGAGTCAGCTGAAAGATTTCGATATATAATAAGCCCCACGTTTTGATTAAATGTATACAAATGCACTTTATATGGTATATTTTCAATAAATATTAACAAACACAAATATTGATAAGATTTTTGTCGCGCATATAATACTTCGTATCAGAATCGTTATTTGTCTTTTTCACCCTGTAGTTTTATTTTTGTTTACAGTTACTAATACTGAGATAAGTACTATACCACCCACGTTTGTTTGATAAATAGAAGCAAAACGGAAAAAGGCATGTCGTGTTCGGAATAAGCTACTGGCATAGTCTAATATCTAATGGTTTAGATAGGAATAGTTATTTAATTATAAGTCAAATAAATTTCGTTTGAGTGTTTTTGACTTATTTGTAACAAGTTTTAGCCATTTCCAGATTGTAGTATATATATCTACAAAAAGAATACGACTTGTTCTTTCTAAATGTTATTAAGATTTAGTATGAATGGCAAAAACTAACAGTTTTAATTTCTAGTCTATTCAATTTGAGAAAACAAAAGTAAATCCTATGTACGATAGAACATGCCTATATTATTAACGTTTAAAGGAACACAGATGAAGGTTTTGGAGCATTTGTAATAATTTATTGTAGTTATACAATAAATTAAAAATATGGTATCATGCAATTAAGATGGTATTATCTCAAGATTAGTATGACGTAAAATTTTATGAAATATATTTTTATCAGACTTAAAAAAGTAGGTGAAGTGTAATAATCTCATTAAAATGCTGTTTTTTTTTCTATAATTACTTATACTTTAAATTAATAGTTAAAAATAATATTTTTTGTCACTATAATACCACATAATGGATTAGTGAAATTTAAACTTCTATACATTTTAATCACTGATAAGAAATTAATACTAACAAATACAATAGAGAGAGAGTAATCTTTAAAAATATATAAGAGGTACTATATCATATGATCTTGAAGTTCCATTTATGTAACTGCGGTAACTAATTCATAGATTTTCTTAAGCATATATAGCTTTTATTACAAATTCAAAACAAAGAAAGAACTGATAACTTCTATAAATTTATTAAATATTTAATGTTGTATTATTTAATGCCTACTTTAATTGATTTTTAAAATAACATTTATTTATGTAACACATCGCTAAGCTATAAAACTTATCGTCGGCAGAACATTTATCAGTTACCCAAACTAACAAAAATGTAAGCTAACCACACTCTAATAAATTAATAAAAATATCGATTACGTATTTAGGATATACTTTAACATATGTGTCAATTATCAGGGGAAACGGTCTGACAAAATATTTGCAACACCGGGCTCGGTATATTAAATATTTACTTTTTTTTACTAGTCACATCCTGGACCGTAAAATTGACTTCGATACCTGAGAATAAAACTAAACTGGTATGCTAAAATTGCATTGTGTTTTTTTTCTAGATCGACAAAAATGGAGATGGTCATATCGATTTAAAAGAACTGAGGGAAGCTTTAGAAGCTTGCGGTTTCAAAATCGCCGGTTACCAATCCCGCTTGATAGAAGAGGAGTTCAAAAACTCCAACAAGATGAAAATCAACGGCAAATTGACCTACGACGAATTCGAAAAGCTTATCTGTGATTTAAAAGCGAATGATGTAGCGAATACATTCCGGACCGCCGTTTCCAAGAGGGAAAACCTTCAGCACTTAGGCGGCACCTCCGAGGCTTCCAACGAAGGCACAACACATTCCGTGAGGGTTGAGGAACAGCTCGCCTTTTCGGACTGGATCAACTCCAATCTCCAACATGACCCCGACTTGAGAAAGTTGCTGCCCATCGACTCAGAAGGCAAGAACTTGTACGACAAAGTGAAAGATGGTATTCTATTATGGTGAGTGTACAAAGATCTACTCAAATTTGTTCATCAAACAGTGAGAACTATTTAATTAATTTAATTTCTTCATCCAGTAAACTGACACGATTCTGTTTATATGTTTCTATCCCGATGGCCGCAATATAATTAATTCTTCTGTAGCTTATTACATTTATCTCCTCCATCCGAGATATAGAAGTTCTGATTGTAAATAAATACAAACGTCATTTACTGTTGCCGTAAATACATTTTTTCGATAAAGTGGAAGTAATCCATTCCGTTTGCTTTTTTTCTGTGCTAATTTAAAGTATTCCTAAATTTAACTCGTCAAATATTTAACTAGGCAGTTTCTAATTCTCTGTTTGAACTAGCTTTATGTGTGATTAATTAATAAAACGTCTGGATTAAAATAAGCTTCTACAAAAACACTTCCTTTTAAAGTAGTTTCTATGGCGCTTTAGCAGCGGATTTGATAAGTAAATATTATTACGACGTTATACTTTTAAAGATGGGGAAAAGCTTTTAAGATATAAATACATTGTCGGAATGTTTATTACTGTGATTCATACTTTTTTAATTAGTCATTATGTTATGGGTGTACCTATCTGCATACTGTCATTTTTTATATATAAACCTTGTGGTGTGATTCCAGCTAAAAATGTATATGTACTATTTATCGATAAATTTATTTACTGGTATTTCCTACCGGTATGGGATACCAAATTATAAATCCATAAAGTTTATATTTTTAGAAATTTCCCGTGAGGGATTTGGAAAAAACTATCTATTCGCGGAACAGAATAAACAGTGTATTGAGAGCAATAATTGTATTGTTAAAACGACAATATTGACAGTTTCAGACGGAATCTTATATTGTTACAGTTATTTCACAATGCTTTTTATCTTTTATGTGATACACGTGATCATATAAAGCAGTAGACTGATATGAAGTTGAAAGGATAACATACATATTACGTGAATTTATTTACTGATGGCTCCTGTCTGTCTCATTAATAACAAATTGTTTATACAAAGTATCAGATCAATCTCTTTTCAATATGGATGATAGAACACCAAGAAGTAAATTTTTTCCTGTCGATCGTCGGTTTATCGTGTTTTGTTTTTGAGATACCGGCTGCCAAAGATGTTTTTTTAAATTCAAATTGTAGCCGTAGCTTTCCTAAAAAATATGTTGCATTAAAATTTGGTAGAGGTAAGTTTTTGACAAGAAAATTCACCGGGTTTTAAGAAAAACGTAATTGGATGTTCTAAAGTCAAAAAGCTTATATCCTTAATGTACAGAGTGTGTACAAACAAATGGGCCATACTTGAAGGTTCGCTTCATTGGATGAAAATTAATTAATTTGTTAATTGTTTCTTAAAAAGTTACAGGTTTAAAAAAAAAACTATATATATACAGGGTGTCCGCAAATTTCACTGACAACGTTTGACTGCATATTCACTACTATAAATAAATACGGTCTACGAAAAACAAGTTAATGAAAAATTTTTGGTTTTTGAGTGACGAGCCTTCAAAGTTGTCAAAAATAAAACTAATTTAATTAATAACTTCATAAGCCTTTTACCGATCGCAATATTTTCAATTTTTGGAGCCATGTTTCTCAGACCTATAACATTACCGACGTTTTTTTTAATAGGACGCTCTATATTTTATTGTATAAAATAGCCCTTCTAAAAACGAATTCAATGATATAAGGTTATATCTAACAACAGTTATATATTAAGCTTGTTCGAAAACATTCCTGTACTAAATTTCGGTGCAGTAGATTATTTTTTTAATAAGATGTAGCTAAAAATGATTGATTTTACAAAATACGGTAGACCCAAAATCCGTATGAAAACTTTGTTTCAATTTTTGATGCTCTATCATCTACTAAATTTTTTGCATTTACTTCTGCAACAACTTGAATATTCTCCTATATTTTCTTATCCTAAAAAAATCTGCTTGTTCTAAAATGAAAAACAATACAAATATTTCAAACATCTCAAATACAATAAGACCTTCAATTTTCAATTTATCAGAAAAGAATCTGTTTTCCCCTGTTAAGAAATATTTATAAAGAATCCAGGTTAAAATGGTTTAAATAGTTTAAATTATTTGATATTCACTGAATTAAATCAACTGATTTTTTTAATTAAAGAAATACGTAATATTTAAAGAAAGTTTTGGATCATAAATTTTGTTGATTTTGAAATTTAATCAAATTGTAATAACTTTATTAAAAGCAATTGTTTTTAAAAAATTAATAAAAACAAGCATTTAAATAAATTTTAAAAAATTTGTCAACGAATCGAGTTTTTTTTTTGTTTGTTTAATAAGATACACACATTGCCATGTTAATTCCTGGGTCCTGCGTAGAAACAGGTCCAGAGTAACAGAAAGAGAATAAACAAGTTAAACCTTGACCCTCCCCCCTCCCCTTCCCCACAACATTGTATATATAAATTGTTCATTATGATTTGTTTTTTATACACAGTTAATGCAACGCATTTATTAATATCAAATTTGTTTATTGTATTTTGATAAAATTTAACATCTTTACATTGCAACCTTGGAGCAGATGTAGTTTTTAGTTGGTAAACAATTTGGTACATTCATTACGGTTGATCGTGTTAACTGAAAACACGTTATGTATTGTATTCCATTATTGTATCAGATTTTGGTTATGCAATAAACTTTTCAAGATAATATTGATTGCAGTTTCCTATCGCCAAAAGAAATCACTTGTATCTACTTCAAATCTTTGAGAGTTTAAATATTTGTGAGTTTATTTAATCAATGATGTAAAGAGTAGTCAAATCCACTTATATTATATTTTACGTTTGTCAATCAAAACTTTTTTGTTGTAGTTAATCGAGTATTCATGTTTATTCTGGTGGAAATAAATCAAATGCTTCTTGATTTAGTTTGTATCTATTTATTTTAAGTCTAATAATGTTTATGCTATCAGATAATCTGTTATATCAGGATTTCTTAATCCATTTTGTTATTACAAAATGGATTAAGAAAGTACAAAGTATTCTTTGTACTTTTATATTAATCAAATTTAGTTTGCTAAGTATTTGATAAAATTAAATCAATTTAAATATGTAGTCACACACCTTGATAAACTATTTTTAAATAAGTAAAAAATACTTATCGAGTGCAAGGAACAATATACTAACTATATGATATTTTTTTCAGTAAAGTCATTAACCATTCCTGCCCAGACACGATAGACGAAAGGGTAATAAACAAGGAAAAATTGACACTTTACAGAAAATTAGAGAATTTGACTCTGGCGCTATCGTCTGCGTCTGCCATCGGTTGCAACGTCATAAACATAGATGCTCATAACTTATCAAAAGGAACACCTCATCTTGTCCTTGGACTGCTTTGGCAAATAATAAGAATAGGCCTTTTCAATCAAATTACTCTCGAACATTGCCCCGGCTTGACTACGTTGCTCTCTGAAGATGAAAAAATTGACGACTTGATGAAATTGTCCCCAGAAGCTATATTGATCAGATGGGTAAACTATCACTTAGAACGTGCCGGCACGCACCGTCGTGTTACAAATTTCCAAAGCGACATTGTCGATTCCGAGGTTTATACCCATCTGCTCAAGCAAATTGCCCCAGCCGATGCCGATGTTACGACCGAAGCGCTTCATGAAAAAGATTTACATAGTAGAGCTGAAATTATGCTTCAGCAAGCTGCTAAATTGAAATGCAGGGCTTTTGTCACACCACAAGATGTTGTCAATGGTGTCTATAAACTTAATTTGGCTTTTGTCGCCAATCTTTTTAATAATCACCCGGGATTGGAGCAAACGAATGGCACTATCGATGGCTACGAAACTATCGAGGAAACCAGAGAAGAAAGAAGTAAGTTTAGTAAATAATAAAAGGTCATGGGTCTTAGTAACGTTTGTTTTTATTTTAGCTTACAGAAATTGGATCAACTCGATGGGAGTGTCACCACACGTCAATTGGTTGTATTCCGATCTGGCCGACGGTCTAGTTGTATTCCAGTTGTACGACATCATAAAACCAGGCACAGTAAAATGGAATAGGGTACATCGTAAATTCACGAACGAAAGGAAAAAATTCATGGAAAAATTAGAAAACTGCAACTACGCCGTCGAACTTGGCAAAGAGATTAAGTTCTCCTTAGTCGGCATCGGTGGACAAGATATTAACGAAGGAAATGTCACTCTGACTTTGGCTCTAATTTGGCAATTGATGCGAGCTTACACTCTGACTATCCTCGCACAGCTGGCCGAATCTGGAAGTCCTATTGTTGAAAAAGAAATCGTACAGTGGGTAAACAATAAACTCAGCGGTGCAGGGAAAAAGTCTTCCATTCGCAACTTCCAGGATAGTTCCATATCAGATGCCAAAGTTGTTATCGATTTGATCGACGCTATCAAACCCGGTGCTATTAACTATGATTTAGTTAAACAAGGAAGTACCGATGAGGTGTGTATTTATACGATACATTTAATGTCAAAAGTTTGGTCACAGAATAACTGAAATGTCACAAATCAAATTTGTTAAATTTTAAATTCAATGTTCATTTAATATTTTTTAACACGTTTGCTGCCCATCAAATGCCGTTTGTAATTCGGCAATCCCAATTAACTAATTTGGGATTATTAGTAATAATTTTTATAAAAAGATAGAATCATATTGTTTTAAAGTGTAAAAACTTCATATTTTTTACAAAATACCGCCGCACCAGTGTCGGCGACAAATTATAAAATTCAGGGTCTAATTCCTCGTTTTAAATGTCTAAAGGTGGCTCTAGTGGATCCACCGTCCAAATCGTCTGCAAAATCTTCCGCTAATTCTTCCGGCGACACTAGTCGCCGAACCAGAGCGCCGACACAGTGTTGGCATGGGCAGCGAACGTTAATTTAACCTCAATAATAGGAAAGGACGTTTTACCATAATCCTATAATTTGTTGCTTTTATTCTTTTTGGAACTTTTGAGAACGAGAAAATATTTATTTTCTTATTTACCCATAAGGGGAAATATCTAGATATTATTTAATTTTTTAATCATCCATCTAGAAAAAAATGGTAAATACTAAAGTTTAAGTAATTTTCTTGCAATCTCAAAGAGATATATGAAAAAACGATATCGGAATTTTTTTTTTAATGGAACACTGTATATTTGTCGTTTTTTGAAATCCTCGCCTAATTATAATCAATGCACCCTTGTAAAAAGGTATTTATTAATTCAGGTTTTTTTTTGAGATGAGGTTTAAAAACTCGTATTACATGATATTTGAACATTTGATTTGATTTCATGTTCAGCCTACTTTCCATTTTTTTTTTGTCCAAAAATTGGTCAGTGAGTTTTTTATCTGAAACTTCTTAAGAAAATATTCATTGTTTAATGTAAAATTAAAATTAACATTTTATTATTTACGTTCTTCCTGCACGGAATAAGCAATCTTGAATCAGAAATAAATTAAATAAACGGAAAAAATTGAGCCATAATCTTAAAATTGAAAATTGGGAATTGCACATTTGTTACAAACTACTTTGAGGGAATGCAGAATTCAGTGACGCAGTCAGATTTTAGAGAATTCAACGATTTTTATCAAATTTGACAACAAAAATAGAAGTAAAAGTAGGCTTTGAAAACAAAAAATAAATTCAATTGTTACGTAATGTAACAGAATCTGTTTCTTCGAACAGTAAGTAACAGAACGTGTTGTGGATAAAGTATGTCACTCACAACATGAAATAAATATTCGCGTGCGTTTTGCTTCGTGGAGCATTTCCGAACGCGTTGCAAGCAATGGTCCCTCTAATTTTTTTTCGCTGACTGCAAAAATTTTTTTGATTTTCTAAATTTTACTTTAGTGAAATCCGGATTTTTGCCATTTTTAGATGCAATTCTTTTTCTTTTTAAATTATAGGTAATTTATTTGTCTACAACATGAAATAACAAATTTTCCGTAAAAACAAATATTTGCTTTTTCTTGCTTCCCTACTTGTAGTTTTGTTAGCGCGTTCTTTATGATATAATAACATATATATTCTATGAATCCTACGTTTAAATAAACGCTTTATTATTTCTTGTATTCATTATTTTATTCAAAACACGTTATTGGTAAAGCGCAATAGCAAAAATGCAATGTGGGTAAAAGAAATGCTCCACGAGGCAAAACAAAAGCGAACGAAAGCTTATTTCTGGTTAATTTTCTTTACTCATTGTTCGAAGAAAAACTTTAAACGCATCGTGGATAAATTGCCATACCCATAACGCGTTTCAGACAAAAAAATGGGTATTGGGAGATTTCGGCTACTGCGAATAACGTATGTATTATTGTAATCAGAAGAAAGAGAGGAAACTTCAATGTCAAATGTACAGGGTATTCCATTTAAAGAAGAAAGTTGTCTAAGTTTGATTTTATTTTTGTAGACATTTTTTCTTGAAGTAAAGAAAAATAAAAATATTTTTATGGTGTTCAAGATTCGAAATAGTTATGACTAAGTTATTTTTTGTTGCAGGATAAACTAGCCAACGCAAAATACGCGATTTCTATGTCCCGTAAGGCTGGAGCGCGGGTGTATGCCCTTCCAGAAGATATAACAGAAGTGAAACCAAAAATGGTAATGACAGTATTTGCCTGCTTAATGGCATTAGATTATGTACCCAACATGGATAGTACACGGCAATAATTTTCAGTTAATTATTTATGGTTTATTTAATTTTATTTACTTATATCTTACGTTATATTTACTAAACTCTATCGTCCAGATTTTAAATTAAGGTCTTTTAAGGTAATATTTAGGATTAGTAATGATATAATTTGTTCAAATTGAACCTTTATTTATTAATCTGGGAATTATTTATGATTGATTACCACAGTAACATTCCAAATCATAAATGTACTACTAGTCTGCAGAAAAGTATTAAATAAAAAATTTTACATTCCCGTTGGGGTGGAGGTGCAATAAATTTATGATTGGGCTGTTATTTATAACATTTTTTGTACAAACTGTTTTTTAAGAAAATGAAACATGACGAAAATCATTTCCACAATTTTATCTTTTAATTATTACTTATACTTATTTTTATATTCATTTATGTGAGATAAATTCATTATTTTATAGGTTAATTTACAATCATTTTATAATTCTTATTTATTTATGGCTCTGTGAGATACCAAACTAAGTGCCATTTACGATTAAGCGTACACTTCAAGTGTATTACTTATTATTAGGAATGTAATGGATTTCAACCTTATTTATTGGATTGAAAACAAACCATTTCATTTGTCAATTAATAATTGCTTTTAAAATAATGCCTTGGAGGCATTTTGATGTTTCTTATCGTATCTCTAGGATGTGATATTTGGTCTTTCCCAAAAAGTAATATCCATTACAATCCTAATTTTATTAAAATGTAAAAATATTAAAACATTTATACTTTTTCATGTAAACTGGTCATTTGCTTTAATAAATATATAAAGTATCAACATATATACTATAATTTACAAACCAAATCCTTTCCAATATGTCCTTAATATCTCGAGGTAGATTTTACATTTCTATGAAATGATTCTTAAAAACTACTGATTTATTAAAAATTAGACCAATATATTAAAAGAAGTTTATAATACCCAAATCAAACTCAAATCCCTAGTAAGATAGTATCGTTCAAATTTCTATATCTTATACAATCAACAGATGGCGCCACTTGTCATGGATACAAATTGTACGAAATTTGGTAAGAACTAGAACATGAAAGTAAACTGTCAGTAACTACATTTTGTTGTTAGGGTTAGTTTCATATTTCTAGACATGATCTAGAAAATTTAATACTAGAAACTTTTATATTTTATGCACTCAACAGATGGCGCCACTTACATCTCACGGACATACATTGCACGAAGATTAGTTAGGATCCACAACATGAAATTGAACCGTCAGTAATTCATTTGCTAAGGGGGGGGGGGGTAGGTTGCATTTTTCTATGAAACGATCTCGATTAAACATTAACTATTACTATATCAACATATTTGAAGATAGTGGTGGTAATGAAAATCGTCGCCAAAGCCCTATGCCCACCCCCCACCACTCCCTTACTTCCTTTGTACAACATGACTTCACGTTCAACTTATGTCGACTAGATGTATATGCTGCCATCTATCGGACTATTTTGAACTAACTTGTTTGGCTAAAAAATTTTTAAACATTTAATCAAATGACATTTATCATTTATGCAGTCAACATATGGCGCCACTTAGATCTTGCGGAAATAAATAGCACAAAGTTTCGTAAGACCCACGATATAGTATTAAACTGTTCAGAAATATTTTATTATTAAAGGGGATGGGTACTTTTGCACTTTCAGAAAATAAATACCTAAACGATATCAAAAACGACTATTTATAATAGATTAGAGAATAAACCATAAAATCTTGCCAGCTGTTTCCTCCAATTTTCACGGTCGTGATGATGAGAGCAACAACAAAAATATACTCCTAGCCCCAAGCGATATAATATAACGCTTAGGTACTAGGAACATACATCTTCGAATGTTGCTCATTCAGTTTACAGCTTCAATTTTTGAAGTAATCCTGAAAAAATAAGACAAATTTAATTCATTAAAGTTGTACACTCAACGAAATGACATTAATGATAAGCTTTTACAAAAATGTAAGACTATTCTATAGTTTCGAAAAATTATGCGGTGTTGCCAAATTTATTAAAAATATTAAAATATTGGATTTTGACGTTGATTTTGAAATTTTACTTATATCATAGAAATGCCAAAAAATATTCTATTTCCTCAGCTTAAAATTCAATTCAACAGTTTTCGAGCTGAAATGTTAATACTTTTGAACAATTTTTTATTTTTTATGTAGGGTTATGTGGTTTGCTCCCGAAACGTTCAACTGAAAAAAGACTATTTTTTAATGTAAAAATCAGAGGCCTCTGGCAATAAATCAAAATTCCATATAAATACAAAGCTAAGTTAGGTTTTAAGCTTTAAAAATCGACTTTCTAAACCCTTTTTTTGTTAATAACTTTCGGAGACAGAAGGTTAAAGTTATGCATTTTTACACTTGACGGGATAAAAAATAGAATTTTGCAAAAACTATTGTTCCCACAGCGCCCATCTTTCGCACAGTTTTGAAGAACAATAAAACCCTTTTGAAAAACTTTTACGCATATTTAAAAAATTTCAACAAATAACAACCAAGTTCTGGATAAATTAAAAAAAAACTGTTTTTCCACGTTTTTTTGATGTTTTTTTGCAATAACTTTTAAACAATTTATCCAATTTTAATCTATCAGGCGGCATTGTGTAGGTCTTTTTATTGCGCTTATTTCGTGTGTTGAACACTTTTCTCTAAAATCAATAGTTTTTCCAATATATTGGAAAAACTGGTTTTCGACCCAAATTGTTAAAACAAAACAATGTTGCTAATGAGAAAAATTGACCCACAAGATGAGACACCTTTTCTACTGCCTTCCCTTGCGCATTTCACAATAAAATAGTGGACGTCAATTCATCGACTTTTTTAGTCCATTTACTTGCTATAGCGACGCGTCTATAGAATTGAAAAAGTAGACATATTAATTTGATGTGAAAGAAATAGGGGAGTTCAAGAGCCAATAATAATAATATTATTCAAGGATTTTCACATTTTTACAAACAAAAATATGTTTAAATAAGTTCTAAATTTATTTTAATAACTCACAAAATTAATAATTTTAAAAATGACCGTCGGATTATTTGTTGATGGAAAATTTGTAAAAATTCTAAACAATTTCGACCCTACTCAATATATTTCAAAGACAAAGTAAAAGCATAAAATACATTTGCATTTACGTGCGTCAACGCCAGTTCACGATTGAAAATTGATTTTAGCAGGTGGTTAAAAGACGATTTAATACATTTTAACACTTCATTACCCTTACACTGCTGGTGCCTCACCACTACAGATAAGGACTAACGGAAAATCGTTCGAAAGGGGCATAAAAGTTATTTTCATTTGCCGGTAGAAATTCATTTGGTGAACTTCTCTGAAATTCCGCATATAATGAATAAAGTAGAAGAACGTTTGAATAGTATTTTGCGTAAAGCTGAAAATTCGTCGGAAATTACAACGTCACACTTTTCTAAATTAGATGTCACCAATAAATTGGTCACATTCTCTTTTTTTGATTTAAACCAATGCAAAATTAAGTTTAGTGTCCTAGTTCTAGTTTTGGGTCATCTTTTATACAAGAGTGATATATTTAACAGTTCAGATGAGGTAAGATTATAGTTTAATAAACAGTACAGTAACTATATAGATATTTTTATAGTAAAAAAGATATTGGAAGTTATTTCCCTACATAGGTACATGAATATAAAATATTAAGATTAAAATTGTTTTTTTACATTACAAAAATAAATAGAACAAACTTTATTATTTGGTAAAAAGATGTAATATTTTATACAAACGTGTTCTTAGTGTTTTTTAGAGATGCCATCAGATGCATCCAAGATATTTCGAGAACCAGAGAGTTGCGACATATGTAATAACATAGACCAAGTTGATAAAGTTGTAAACATTTCTGCATTAGACTTTTATGAAAAATATGCGAGAATGGCAAAACCTTTGGTTGTAAATGATGGAGCTGTATCTTGGCCAGCGATTAAGGTTTTCGATTTTGAATTTTTTAAAGACTTGTACAACTCGATTGATACAAAACAAAACAGCAGAAGAAACTGTCAATTTTTTCCTTACAAAACTGAATTTAAATCCTTGGAGGAGGTTTTTGAAATGAAAATTGAAAGATCCATATTGGCTCCTGGAGAAAAATCTTGGTACGTAGGATGGAATAATTGTAACGATGAGGCTGGAAAGATTCTACAGCAGTACTATGAAAAGCCATATTTTCTATCTAATAACTCTGAAAATATTGCTATGAGTTGGATATTTATGGGTGGACCAGGACACGGCGCCCATATGCATGTAAGAGAATCAGTTTTTATTCAACTAAGTAAATAACTGCTTCAACTTCTGTGTTACAATAAAGTTTTTAAATAATTATTTTTTACAATTGCAGGTAGACAATGTCCATTATCCTTCCTGGCAAGCTCAACTAAGAGGTAAAAAACTTTGGAAATTAGCTCCACCCCCGGAGTGTTTATACAAGTGTAAAACGTTTGAGGTTGTTGTAGAACCTGGAGAAATTAGTAAGTAGTTAAATGATATATCTTACAAGCTTATTTGAAACAGAGGAAACAAAGTAAACAGAGAATGTCTTAAGTGTTTATTAATAATCTATTTTGCTTTCAGTTGTTGTAGATACAAATCGATGGTACCACCAGACTTTTATCCTTCCAGGAGAAATAAGTATAACGATTGGATCTGAATTTGATTAAAACGGTTGGTATGTCTTTAACAAAGACTATTGTTTATATTTAATATACCCATACTATATATGCTATTTAAGTTTGTAAAAGTAAATAAATATCTTGACTAAAAAGATTTATTTGTGACTTGATTTATTGACTACCTTCTTAAGTATTTTAGAGCCCTGAAAATTATAAATAAACCCTTGGTGACAAGCATTAGCTGTTGACTTTAATAAACTAACTTTTACTTACAAAATTTCAAAATTTCAGTTAAATAAATTAATAATCAATGTTTTTTAAAAATAACTCGTTTTTGAATTTGTCCAGAAACATTAGTCAAACGATGAAATAAGAAGATAAATTTATTTCAATACACCTTTACAATCATGATTGGTAATAACATGCTAAAGTAGATCTTAAAATATGTTTTACTCCATGGTAGTTTCTTCTACGATATCTACGCAAGGTAAATTCCAATTATATTTTTCAATTAACATCTGATAAAGTTGCGGTGACGTTTTGTGAATAGTTGTGAAAAAGTCAATATCATCGTCTGTCAAATCGTATTTGTTGTTCAAATTTAAGTTCAAGATAGTAAAAAATGTTGGAGGTAATTGTTCTTTCATTGAATTCAACAAAATATTAACATCCGGTTTAGTATCCATGAACGCTTTTTGCTTCAACATCCTCTTAATGGATGCAATATCTCTACTGTGCTGTTTTATTTTACGTAGGTAATTCCTTGAAACCGACTTTTCAATGACACTTTTTGGTATATTTTTCGTATTAACTGACCGAGACACTGATCTTTTCTGATGATTATCTGTATCCGATTCTTCATAGACCAAATCTTGCCGTTGATGCTCATACTGCATAGTTTCTATCTCATGCACCATGTTCTGTGGGGAAATTTGATGCATTAATGTTTTATTTAGCACGTTTTCATGATATTCTGGGACTTCCTTTTTTACTACAGTTCTAAAATCATGTGCATCTACTCCTTCGTTTGTTCTTTCATCAAATGTTCTTGAAGAATTTGGTAAAATTTCATTTTTAAAAGTAGAAAATATAGCATTATTCTCAGTGCTTGTTGAAGGTTTTGAGGTTACGATTTGCTTTGACGGCTTAGAATTTGTAGGCACAATATCACCATTTTTGTATAGGTAAGACTCAATTTTCTGTGATCTATTGAATATTGCATCCGTATCTAAAACAAATATGGTGCCATCAGCGTTAGCAGGTAATACTTGGACATCTTGTAAATGAGATGATAAATATAATGGTGTTTCTGAAGGTTCGGAAATAGGTTCTGTTTTACAATCGCCATCTAAAGTAGGTATTGCGCCTTGTAACAAACGTTTTTTTTGGCAGTTTGGAAACCATTTATCTTCAAAGTGTACTTCACATATCACTTTATTTCTTAACTGATCTTCTTCTAAATCACAAAACTGTGGTTTATTTGCATTTTCAATCCATACTTTACACCGTTCTTTGTGCTTAACGGGGTAATGGAAGAAATGTACATTTTCTGTAGTTTTTGTTGTATTTGTGCAGTTTTTATAAGAACATCTGCATCCACCCATGTCTAAAATTGACAAATAAATTGATACAAATCAAACATTTAAACCAACAAAGTTGTTATTATAGGTTAAACATAACACAATAGTTAATTATTGAATAATTTAAAGAAGTATACATACCTAAAACTATGTGTATATATAATACATAAAATTAATATAATACTACCAAAACAAACTTGTATGAAAAGTAATTACATTTTCTCAGCAAAAGGCTTTGTTTTAGCAAAACTCAATATAAATTTAATAAGGAATCACAGAACAACAAATATAAAGAAGGAGTGAATGTCATAAAAATTTTTAGTTCAGCAGTAATTTTCTTTTTTCCAAACACTGTGACCAACTCAAATGTAACTCTGTTCGGTGGACACTTGTAGCTGCAAAGCAGTTCCAATGAGAGTTTGTTGATTTGTACTAGGATCATTCATACCATATTATATTCCTTTACAATACATCATTTAAAAAAAAAATAGAAATGGAACTATGATATAATATTTTACTATCAAAATATTAATATAAAAACTGTAGGTTAGGCTAACCATGATTGTTCTTTCTGGATTTTTTAAATAGAATAAAACTTCGTTTTGTTCACAGTTCAACTTCTTTAATCTTTTTTTACTCCCGTCCTTACTAATCACATTGCCAACCCTCATCTAGGCGCCAAATTTGAAAATAAAAATAAATTTCTACACTACTTTTTCTACGACAGTTTAAAATTCCTTGTAGTATTTAAAATATTAATAATGCACGAGATATTTTTTCTCCACGTTTTTCAACATCCTATACGCTCCAATTTAATTAATTACCTAATTAAAACAAAAAAATTGTAATTTGCGATATGAAATTTTCATAGACAACGGTGTATTTTAAAACATAATTACATTTTACATTATCTTAAAAGGCCCGATCTTTTTAAGTACAGGTACTTTTTAATTTGTTGTTAATTCAGTTCTTTTATTTAGAACCTTTTTACCGTTATTATGTTTCATTTGAGCACATTCGACGAAGTGGATAAAAGCTTCAACTTTTAACGATACTTGATTACGAATTCCGTAAAGAGAATGACAATGAGTTTGTATGAATAATTTAGGCAATTATATTGACCCCTGGAACTGTATTTCCCTTTTTTTGGGCTATTATAAATGAGTCTTAGAAAATATTGTCCTTTTATTCCTATCATTTTTTTAATTAAAGTTTAAAAATACTGACCTCATAATCATAATTTATATTGAAATATCTAAATGTGATCATTGTGATCCCTTTCACCTTCAGATTTGAGCTAGGTAGTTTTGGAATATTAGAAAATTTCAAAAATGTGGAGAAAAGAAAGCGTAAACTGTATAAGGACCACAAAGGTTCCGCCACCAAGAATGTAGACATCAAAGGCACCGTCGGGTGGGAATCTGACAAGTGACAAAGGTGAGAAGCCAGTAAGTGAGAAAAAATCCTCGTTTCAATTCAATATTCGTTTTGAGAGATAAAACTCTGGAACTTAATTGATAAAATGTCGATGTTCAAGTAAATGCATTTATATAAATAGGTAGGTATTTAATTTTTATATAAAATGAATCTTTCTAGAATTGGTAAAAGGAATATTATTTCGCAAAATAATTTTTTCGAACTAATAAACTGTTATCAGAAATAAAAAAAATTAACTCGCTTAAAAGTCGGAATAAAGGGACTTTTCCGCAAAATGTTTTTTTCAGAACATTATGACTGGTTTATTTGTTCATAAAAAAAGTAAGTTAACATTCATAGTATATCTAAAAAGTTCAGAAATTAAAAGTCTATTTTTTCCTTCTAATTAAAAATTGGAAATGACAAATAGTAAACATTTAATATTGTTTGCAGCTTTCATACGGAGTTCCTGATTCATATGTAACGTAATATACGTACTTTTTTTAGCTTGAGATATTGGTAGACAATTGTTTAATAAAAGTTTTAAACATGTTAATAAACAGTAAAATGGTTCAAGTTCAGTATCGATTTTTATTAATTTTGAAATGTGGCCTTACATTTGAAACTAATTTATAAGCAAAATAATGTTCGTGCTCAGTTAGTTTGATGTAAATGTATCTTAATGTAATTACAATTATGCCCAAGGGGCCGACATTCTAAAAACATTAAAAACTGGATGTATGGCATTGGTTTACAGATTAAGTTAGGTAAGTTAGTGTATAAACAGGAGCAGGGGGGGGGGGGATGGTTAGAATCAGCTGTAATAACAGGAACGGAGCAGTAAGGCTGTAGAAACGTTTCAGGAATGATGGTATGCCACCCGCGCGAATCTAGGACGGGAGAGGTACAGCCCAGCTAAGCTGTGTCTCAACAAGTATATACAAGGCGCGATAATTAGAATAATCCCGGGTTCGAGGTAACATGTACACCGACAAAAATGTTAGCCGGAGGCAAAATAAGGGATTTTGGGCGCTGCTAAAATATAAAAACAGGACGAAGTTCAGTTAGGACAATATTTTATTACAATTTTAAAATTTCCCTTAATTTCTCATCTCACTGTATAACAAAATCTGATTTAAATAGTACATCCCCGTTTTGGAATCCCGTGTTTATTCGGTAAAAACGTTTTAACAATTCGAAACATAATAGAAAAACTTAGCGAACAAATCAAATGTAGACGTACTACGCGGTCTCGCAAAATTAAAGTTCTGTTAAATAATCCCATTTTCTATTTCCTTATGGATTTATTAAAATGGAATAATATTTTAACGTCTATGAAATAGCTGAAGTACTTTTTAATTACTCGTTTCCTCGAATTTAATTTGAAAGTGTCAAATGCACGATTTACACAACGAGAACCGGAGGACTGATTTCAGGGATGTCAATTAATTTTTTACTTTTGTATTAACCCTGTTTCTCCGTTTGCTAAGAGCTTTTTAATTAGTTTTAAAACATAGGTATACTGTATACTTCCTGCAAACAAAACTTTCTATAGCTTATTCACTATTACAACGCAAAAAATGTATTAAAAGTATGAGAATTATATTAAAGCAAAACATTTGGAGGATTTAGTAGTGTACTGGAATATATTAGGCTTGTTTGGGAAATGAAATGTGAAAGCGCTTTGTTAAATAGGTATTAAGTATACCGTTTCTTGTGGTAGTCAGTAAAATATTCACCAGAACTATTTCTCAATAATTTAGGCAATGCTTGATTGATTCTGAGCGCCTGCGGCTGCCTCGTTTAAGCTGATAAATGGCTTTGAACATAAAGAAATTACCAAGGAAATAACCAATAACATTGAAATAAACGTCTAACTTCCTTATTTCTTGGAATAATTTTATGAAGCTGCACCCGATCACGTTGGTTTGTTTTATTTGTGAAACACGGAGGCATTGGGGAGCTTAAACAGTCAATGTTCATATTTTTATTTAATTTGATACATTTTATGTATTTTAAAAATATGTGAATACTGGGTGTTTTGGAAAAAGCTACCACAAATTCAGAAAATGATAGAACATCAAAACAATAAGACGAATTCTTTTTGTAAATGTAAATACGGTAGAATTATTAATTTTTCCAGGACGTCCTTGTAGGTCGTTTGAAAGCCAAACTCGTTTTCCGCAAAAAATAATGGACATGAAAGTAGTAGAATTTAATAGACGTTTTGAATTAAAACCTGATAAGTTATTGTTTTTTTTTGTGAGACCTTGTATATGTATGTATAAGCAGACAGATGAAAAATAAAAAATACACATCACTATATATGATGTGTATTTTTTATGTATGATTTTTCAGTGTGAGATTTTGGGTTAAACTAAATCAGTTTTATAAAAAATAACCCCTGACTGATCTTTTCCATGTAAGAGTTTAATTATTTTTTATTGTTCCACGGGTGAAAAATACGCAAATAAACGGGGAAAAATATTTGAACGTGTACAGTTGTGCTAAGAGATTTTACCTAAAAAAATAATAAAACGAGATGTTGCGCAATATATGAAAAAATGCTGGCGATTATTTACACGTGAGCGAAATTAACTGATGATTTACATGTGCCGCCCACTTGTGATTTCATTACATAAAAGAAGACAGTTAATAACTTCTTCAAAGTCAGTGAAGTGTTTTATTACTGTTGTATTTTATGTAAAAAATCTCCCTCTGGGTATTCCTTTGATGTAAATTCTCAGACAAAAAACTTTACACTGCAGGATTATACTTGATTACGTATTATAATTTTTTAAATGTTTTTAATAACGGTACCTAAAAATGCGCCCTACAGCAAAACAAAGAGATATCGCTTTACTTTACTGGCCTACAAAGGTGATATGAATTCTGATATTGACCTGTTAGAGGGCTTATTAAAAACTTGAATTTGTTTTTCAAAAGGACTTATTAAATTATTTATCGCAGGTAGGGAGAAAATTGAATTTTACAGTACGGCATGTCAAAATGAAAATGATTTTAATAATTCGTGTCTCGCGTGGGGATAATAATGTCTCTTTGGTATTTTATATGTATATGTGGTGATGATACATAGACGGAAAAATATAATTGGACGCAATGCCGTTTCTTCTCCTCAGTAAAAGTATTTATTTCCATACACAAGTTAAAGGAAGTCCCACTTCCTTTGGGCCTTATTATGCCAATACACCTAACACCTGGTAAATATCTACCCTATCTACCTTGCGATAAAAGTCACAATCTTATAAATGTTATACAGGGTACAACTTTGAATGAGTGCCGTATTTATACAAAGTAACTGGTTTTTTTTAACCTTTTTTAGTAATTTTGTTAAATCTCATCTTTCTTGACTGGTTGAAAACGGATTGAACGCCTTGATAGTTTTAATTTCGTGCGTATCATTCGCGGCGTAATATTGTAGCTGTTTTAAGTTGTTTTGGGTTGATTTAAAACCTCTAGCACCGATTCTGCTGACGAAGTGGATATATTTATTATTGTAAAGTTTAAAAAACGAATTTTAAACTCGACTAATTTATTTAATTAAAAAAATACATTTCAAATCGGTATTCTGGGGAACACGTACTACTAATACACACGCACGTACCACACTACACACCCCTAAAAAATTAACCCTCCCTTAATGTTACACGCTGCATACTGTTAAAATTATGAAGTAATCCGTATATTCACGACAAAAAGAGTAAAATAAATCATTTTTATTGTTTCAGACTTTTAATTCTCTAATAAAATTACCCGGGATGGTTTTACTCTGTTATTATTTTGTAAAGTGTAAGGTACAAACGATAAAACTGATTGCCGGGGTAAATTTCTTACAGAGTTCTTTTGATTTAATCCTTCTTTCTTAGAATTATCCTTTCAGATTTTTTAAGTAAGTTAGCTGGGTTATTATTACACAGGTATAAAAACAAATCTAGCGAGATCGAGATTATAATTTGTTGGAAACGGAAACTTTTAGAAATATTAAAATTTCTTGCCAACTAATTAGTGAGATTAAAGAATATATAAACGAAACGTACTGTATATTAGTCCTCATATACGTCCACCATGTCCACAAAAAATGGGAGAATGAAATTATTTCGGCACGAGCCAAAGGCGTTAATTTATCAAACACAACGGTTTTACCGATGTTTGGATTTTTTTATAAACAATTTGTCAATAAAGACGTTTATAAAACTATACACCGTTTAATTTATCAATTTCTACGCATACAACTTGAAATATTAATTATTTTCTGTCATTTTCAGCCACCGGATTTCATGAAAGATATAACGATCTAATGGGGCATTTTTAATCAATGCGAATGTGAAAAATGGCAACGGGTAAAATCATACTTTTAACAACTTTCAGTAGGAAGTTTTTCCATTGTTCCCGTCGAAGCCAAAGTTAAACGGTGAATAAATGCAGAGCTGATTCTTAAAAAAATACACGAAACTACCTTCCAAGTTTTTTTCCCAGTGCGCGAAGAGTTTGGAAGCAAGGGGTATTCATTAACAACCGAATATACCGAAATCCAAGGTGTAAATTTTTTGTGCTGCAAATATACGAGCCCAAAACTCTCCTAGTAATTACAATGATTAATTGTACGGATACTAAATGTCTCTGTGTGTCGAGCAGCAGAACTGCAGCAGTCTTACCTTTATTATACATCTAATTACATAATCATTTATCTTTGAAAGGGCATTTGTATAACTATGACCAAGCCTAAACCCGACTGGCTGTGACGCATACAGGATGTTCCAGATTTCGTTCTTAACACCGAAGAAGTTTGCATGGGCGTAGCAAGAATTTTTGCTTGGCTCAGGGCTGCAAGCTCTATGGAACCTCTAAAAAAAAAGCTCTCGCAATCAGCAACTTACTGATTAAAATTTCAAAAACCTGAACACGTTTCGATTTCATACTAAAAAAAAAAGGTCACGCAGTCAGCGACATTAATTAGTTGTGTTAAGTGTTGTTGTTGATAAGGATCACGACTATGAATAATTGTAAAAAACAAATAGAATAAACATATTTGCTTAAAAAACTGGCATATATCGATATCGGGTCAAAGTCTGTTGTTTATTGCTTCTTGTTAACTGCAATATGTGATGCTAAGAAATCCTTACAAATTCATGGAAACCGTTCACATTTACGATACACAACTGTGCCACTGTATTTTTTAAGACTCGAAGGCGTTTATTAATTTGAAATGGTGCTTTGAAATAATATAAAAAAAAATATACATAGACGCTGTGAGAATATTATTTTCGCGAATATTACTTGTATATAGGGTTTTTAATACGTAGAGTAATTTTCGCCACAGTGGCAGGACCACACTTGGTATTGATGTTTTCCTGAAATTTTAATTCCCTTAGGTTTAAAATTGGATTTCAAAGTGTTCGCCGTTCCACCTCTGTTATTAAAAAAAATGTAATTACGTAAAATAAAAACAAAATCCCCTCTTCGGACTTATTTGTCACAAATTTCGATGATTTTACGGACTCCCCGTTTACAAATTTATTTCAGTATTAACGGCGATTAAAGGGAAGAAAAAAATCCCGAAATTCCATTCATTAATGAAAAAATTCCTGCGGCTTATACAATTCAGATATTAGGAAATACCTCATAAAATCCGTAAGCGTTATTTACATTTGCAAATACCAGTGTAAGTTTTCATGTTTATCCCACAGAAATTTATACCACATTAATATGTTGCTAATTAAACCACTTTGATGTCTCGGGCGATATTATTCAGGTAATATCTTCGGGATATTTATGTTTTAACTGATTTGCATGTGGATGTAAAGATGTTTTGAGGTTAATTATTTCCTCTGTCTTTCGTTTTATATATTTAACTCCGCATCACTGGTATTTAGTGGTTAAAATTCGAAATACTTGGAATTATTCAATTTTCGTGGCTGAAAACATACATAGGTATTAAATTGTCGAAACCGAGAGTGTTGCAACCAAATTTTGACAGGACAGACGACCATTGACAGATTGAGGTTGAGGAAGTTATGACAGAATAATATTTGTCACCACATACGCCATATATCCCTAGTCATTTTTTTAATCGTAACAACTTTTATTCTGTATTTTTTAAATCAGTACAATTAATCAACATGGGCGTAGCTAGGGGGGAGCAGGGGTGTGCACGGCCCACCCCAGAAAAAAAGATATATAATATTATCATCTTTGCCATATCGGTAAGTCAATCAAGAAATCAGTTTTTAGAATTCAAAATTGGCATTCGTAAGATGCTAATTGCGAGCGAGAGGTTTTTTTTTTTGAGGCCTCCGTAGAGCTTGTCGTCCTGGGCTCACCCCAAGTAAAAATTGTAGCTACGCCCATGTTAATCAAAATATCCAACCCTAGATTGCTAGATTTTGTTACAAGGGTACTATGGTTTTTAGATACGCGCTGTATATAATATTGAACTTTTCTTATTTTTTTCTCTGAAACATTTCTATAAGGAATTTTATATAAAAACATTGGTAAAATATATTTTAGAACATATTTTCGCAATATACTCATATACTACTTTCAACAAGACAATGCTATTAAGTTTTACTGCATAATAAAAGTAATATATTTTTTAAGGAATCACACGAAAATACTTTTATACATAATTATAATAGTGGTAGTTTTTTTGTATAAAATGGAGAACCACAATATAGTCATTCTTTACAAGGCTCCATCACATTTTATCTGGGGCTGTGTGTTATTAGGCTTTTAGAAACTGTAGTAAAAAACAGTTAAGAAGAGCTGCAAGCGTTGTATCTACATTGGTAGGATCGGTGTAATAGTATTACTCAGGAAAATTTGCTGATATTTCTGAAAGCGACGTATGTATAGGGTGTCTCGGAAAGACATGCCGAAATTGTAACCGCGCATTTAACTCATCGAAAGACACAACTTTTGCCCGAGTTTTTTTTATCGAAGACCACTTAAATTTTAAGATTTAAAAAAATTTTATTTACTCCAAAGAAGCATTTGCTTGTGCCACTTAGATGATTCTCTAAGAGACTTTAGTTATTTTGAAAGGTACAAAATATCGAAAAAAAAATTTGTTACATTCGATAGTGGTTAAAATGTTGACACTATATCTGGGACACCCTCTATACTTCAGTACCTACTTAGATCTGATAAGGACGGTATATTCTAAGTATATAAAAATTTGTGTATCACATGCAAGAAATTTGCAATAAAACTTTTCATGGAAAGTGCAGTAAAAAATAGCCGCAGTGAGATTAAGTCGTTTTACCTACAATAGTACCTAGGGTTGGTTGGAAAGTATAAAAAATATGCGTTTCGCATATCCATGCAATAATTTTGATATAAAATAATCTGTACCTTTTCATGACACCATGGGCGTAGGTAGGATTTCGCCTTGAGGGGCTAGTTCGATCAAAAAGATAATCGTCGTTGCGCCTTCAAAACGCATGTGAATTTTATCAAATTGTCGAGTGTTTCTTGGCCTGCTTTATTTAAGAATTACAACAGTTATTTTTAATTTTACAGAGGACAGTCACAATTCTGTAGAAAATAAGATGGCTGTTTTTAACCAGATTATGCTGTAATATTATCGGATCTTTTTTTTCTGGGGTGGACACCGTTCCCTCTAAGGGGGAGGGGGCGTGCCCCTCTTGTCCCTCCGTACCTACGCACCTGCATGGCACACGAAGACTAAATATTAAACATTGAAAGCGTTAATATCTATTTCAATGCTAATAGGGGCGGTATTATAGTTGCATTCCAAATATAAAACCATACGGGTTCCCGGAATTTTGCAATAAAATGGTGAATAGGATAAAACGGGATGAATGGAATAAATAGAAATTAATCGAAATTACATTCAAAAAATAGCCGAGATGAGTTGAAAGCTTTATATACTTATTTCATCATATAGCGGTATTAAAGGCTTAATGTTCTATTCACTAAATTTAAAATAGATTAATACCTAATTTTGGAAATGGGGGGAGGGACGAAACGGCTCTGGCAAAATCGCCGCAATCAAACAGAGAGGGTGGACCAGTGGGAGATTTTTTTTTTTTAATTTGAATATCGGGGGTTGCAACGGGATTTGTTGACGCTTGCGTGATAAATGTCGGTGTGATGATATAAATATTATTTAAACGAGACGAACGATCGCAACTTTTCAGTGTTTGATTCCATTTCGAAGCAAGTACACCAGCATCCGAAGCACCCGGGAGAAGAAGTACAAAGCGCGCGCACTGGGCCACCCTATCGATCCCACACGTCTCCGCATCCAGATCAGAGGCTCAGCAATATTAGCAGCGTACGTATCCAGCGGCCAGTGTGCAGAACATCGCATCGTGCTGCTGATATTGTCCCGTGAAAATGGCCAGGAAACATTCGCGTGTGACGCCTGCAATGCTCAGCTAGTAGTAAGAGAGATCTGGCCGTGCCGTGGACGTGTGGTGACATCGCAGTCGACGTAGACGGAGGACGCTCGACAGCAAGAGTCGTTAGCACCTCCTGGGGCATGACGGCCAAGTCTGGAGGAACCTCAAGAAAGCCATGAATAGTGTTTCAAACTAGGATGGTCTGGAACGATCGAATGTTCTCGCTGGTGGCTGTTGCCTTCCTTTTCGTCAGTATGCTTCCAGGTAAACAATGAACACCTCTTTCTACTTTACCTCACTTCGAACCCTTTCCACCACCTACACCTTCAACGCACCAAAACAGGTAATAACACACGCATTTTATAAACATTGCTCATGGTTATTTAATACAACAAAACCCTTTTCAATCAAACGTACATTTTCAAGAAAAATACCACACTTTCGAATAATTTTCTTTGTTTAGCATCTCTCCTAGCAAACATAGAACTAAGTTCAGCTTTGTAAAAAAAAATGCAATATTTCTTGTTCAAAGGAAGATTCAAGAAAAGCTACACACATTTTACGACATCAATTAATAAAGTGTCTAAAAAATATAATTTTCATAAAGCCCGATGTGTCTCGGCATCATTTTTTCATTTACTTTAATATTCAAGCTTCTTCGAACACCCCAAAATTGTGACGCAAATTTAATAACTGTTGCTTTTCATTTAGGTACCATCAGTTCAATATTTACGTTTCTTCGTCAAATACATAAATTACAAACAAGAAATTTAAAATTAAGTTTCCCGTCTTTATAATATTTTATTGCTTTTGCTTTCGCGTATAAAATAAAGCATCGTCTCGTGTTATAATTTAATTTTTCCGTTCTAATAATCACTTAGATTAGAATTAATTTAATGTCACTTTGTGATTAAATTTTTTTATGATAAACTCAGTCTGGCTTAAACAACTACGTCGCAACCAACATTTGATTAAATGTACGTATACGTATTTAAATATTTGCTTATTAATATAAAAATACGAATAACCCGGTTGATAAAAACAAACAAAAGTAAAAATAAAGCAAACATTGGACCGAATTGAATCGCATCGTTTCCCAAGATCACCCAGGGGATTTAAAACTCCTACCTTAATGGATAAATGTATGTATATATAACATGAAAGGGGATGCTTTAGGCTATCTCCTTTATTAAGCAGGTTCATGGCATTTATTACATCAAAGCAACACGGCCTGGTGTTATTTTAAACAGGTACGAGATACTTACAATCGAAATTATTAATATGTTCGTATGGAACACCTGACAGACACGGTTAAATATAGGTACGAGGAATTATAGGTTAATGGGCATTCAAATTATACGGCGGATATCCAACATCAAATTGCTAAAACTTTGTATGGATAATGCTATTGCTATACTATATACCCAACTACATCTAGCATTGCTAGTCGGATGTTTTTTTTTTAAATTAAAATTCGTTAAACATACGTCTGGTGAAAAAGGCGGTAGAGTGGCGGAATGGGGTTTCAAATTATCAGCGCCCCAAGATGATTTTGTTTACTAAACATTTGGCGAGGCGCATTTTTCACAAAAAAAAGCTGATTCACATCAGATCGTTTGTTTACCATCCCCGTTCTATTCTTGAGGCGAAGAGCGAAATTGTATAGATAAAATCTAATGAGGTGCAACACGTGCTTTATCTTGATAAATTACCAGCTGTGGAACACAAAAACCGGTTAGCATCCCGGAACACCGTTTGTTCCAGAATAATATAAAACATTTTCCATGCGAAGGTTCCGCGGAACGTGTACAATTCTTTTATTTTAAACTTTTTAACGAGAATATTAATATACTCACTTACAGCCCAACACGCTGCTTGCTTAATTGTATTTGCTCAACGATGATTGAAACAAGTGAAGCTACGTTTATTCACACCTTTTTTTTAATTCGCTGGAACTGGACGTCCGTTTTTTACACAAAAGCCGCGCTTTTGTTTCACGTTTTTCGCCCAATATAATTCACGCGAACTTATTTCTACTAATAACCGATTTAGCAGAGGTTCCTATTCTTCAACCTCAAAATTGATTTTCGTCGACAGAAGATCGACCATCTGACAAATGACTGATAGATGTTGCCTGTTGAGAGGATGTTTCTTCTCCTACAATGCAAATAACCTAAAGAGGCCGCCCCGCCGACAACTTGGTGTGAGCTGAACAACTTCGAACAACAGTTAAATATAATTTATCTCCCCTTGCCAGAAACCGGGTGTTATTCACAGAAACCTCCTGTCTCTTTAATTATTCAGCAATGACATGACGTTGGAAGAAGTGTACTTGCAGCGGCGGCCGAAGCCGACTTGAATAACAACTCAAATTGCTTAACGTATTCCCTAATAAAATAAAATATTTAATTTAAATAAATATCTTAAAAAGATTCTGCACATAAATTATCGAAGGTGTGTTTATGTGTAGCCGGTACACATTAGAGCTATAAATTATAAATTATCCAGGTGAAGGTTAGGTATCGAATTCCCCTTTGTAATTTTCAGCGCTTAAAGCTAAACAACAATAGTTCTGGCGAGATATTAAGCCGTGATTTATAATTGGCAATTACTCTTCATATATGTGGGGCTTTTCTTCCTGCCAGCGTATTTGTCAAAACCTTCTATACAAACATAGAAAATTTCAGACGTGCCATATTTTCTAATTAAGGAACATTATTGCAGGTCATCCGTTGGCAATTAATACCACTTAATGTTACTTCGAACAATGGCGGTGTTTCATTCGGCCTGTCATTGTATATTTTTTTTGTAACGATGTTGCAACGTATAACAAAGCAATTTCCCAAGTGGCTCCCACGTTGGCAGGAGGATTTCCAACTTTTTCATTTACCTCGTAAGCAAACACCAAAGAAATTACTCGATTTTCTAATACGGTCCCGGCGATTTGTCGGTGTGGGCACACCTCAAGGGTCAGCTTTAGGCCCCTTGTTGCACGTTAATAATAAGTAAGCCCTGATTTCCTCACATAAAACAAAACCAAGGGCAGTTTTCGCAATACACTAGGATAATAGACTTTCGATAATCCGAACTAAATGGGACCGAAAAGTACGAATTATCAAACACTGCTCACGTGAACCAACAACTCAGTTTTTAATAGTTTAACGCTTATTCGGACTATCGAGGTTTTACTGTATATGCATTTTCACAACCTTTTAACATATTTAGGGCCTTCTAAAAGCAAACGTTTATGTATTTATGAAGTTTACCTACATTAACGGGTATATTAGTACGAAAGGTCAGTTCAGACAGTCCCAGTTCCGCTAACAAAATAAGAACTTAAGAAGAATGTTGGTGTAAAACTTCTCAATACTGTGGATGATGTTTGGAAACTTTATTAAAGGTTTTCCTAAATGAAACAAAGTCAATTAAGGGAAAACACTGAAACAACTTGATAAATACCGGACCTACGCAGTATGTTTTTAGAAAGGTACTTTTTTTATGCAGTTAGACAAGAATTTTCAACGCTGTGACGTATCGACCTAAAAAACGAATGAATGTTAAATAATCCACAACCTTTTACATTTATTAAAGGTTACAGTGATTTTTTTCGTGCAGAGTCCAGCGCTCCCGATGTGGAAAATGGAACAGAACGCTAAAGGAAAAGTTATATAATGTGATGTAGTGAAAGTGAATATACCTCTGTATAATAGGGCAAATGGAAACAAGAGATATTACGGTTGAAGTCGTAAAACAGAGTTTATTGATCGCGTTGTGCTTCGTGCGAAACCGCCCCCCAAACATGTAAAGTATATGAAGTATTGAAGATTTCACAGAATCGCCGAATGGCGGGCTTCTGTTTTATGGGAAATTAATACGAATCAAGTTTTTACTATCCTGTTTCCCTGCTGTGTAAAAGAAAAGGCGCTTCCTTGAAAGGATTGAAAATTTATTGAAATAAACTCTGTTTAGACAACGCTTCGCACACTTTATATTTGAAGTAATAATATTTCCTATTCCTTCGCCCAATCTATCTTTTATTGCTGAAAGGAACTATGAAAGCATTAACTTTCCGAAGTAAAATTGCAGTGACATCTCAAGGATATATTTACATAATTTCATTTCCCGCTCAGGCCTTTGAGATGACAGGTACTTTTATTATTTAACCACTTACACCCATAATTGTAGAACATTTGATTGGCACATTTGGGTATAGCGCAATACGTACTGTAAGAAAATATATTTCGCGAACCAGAAAAATAAAAAATAAGCGTACTATAGTTTTATGTCGAATTTTATGATACCCCACGTCTCAAAGGGGCTTATAAATCTTTATTTCTCCAACGGAGCACGTCATCCGTAAAACTGCACAAGAATTGGACTAAAAGACTACTAGTTGAAGCAAGACGAACGTCTTAATATTTCACGTTGCTGTTAACCGACCACTTAACGGTCTGTCACAGAAATACGTACTTTGAATGGTAATCTGGTTCTGTCAGTAAAGACTATCCCACGTTTGATCAATGCGGATGCAGCTACTTTCTTTGAAGCCCGAAATATGATACTGGAATTACAGAAAAAGTAATAAGCTGTCCCATCGTGACGGACACAACGAAAGGATCCGGAAATAAAAGCCTATTGTACCACGTCAAATACAATTATTGCAAGAATGGACGTTCCTATTTACCGGCGGATGAAGAGGTGCAAGGGAAGCTGCACAAGTGATGCTAATATGAACCTGCGAGAGCTCTCCTCTGGCCCTTAACGGAAAGTTGGGTGTAGAACTACTCGAAAGTTACACTAACACGAGTAAACTAATCCGCGGGCGTTTTAATTCGTTAATTCACCACAGTTTCGAATAATCGAAAGGTACCGATAAACCGCGTTTGGAATTTTAAGCGTCGCCCCTGTTTATGGAATGCGGGGGACGCTCAGAATTGATATTTAACTTCGATAACGATGACGTAGATACATAATAAGATGTATTCGTCTTTGTAAGCCTCTCTAGAGTTCTTATCTTTGAGATCTGTTGTGAATTTCAGAATAAAAGCCGCAGATGAGCCGGGTTTAGACTTCTCAATTATTATTACTTCCTTTGATACGTGATTGTTCAACTTACCGCTGATATCATATATAAGACATGCTTTTACGTAAAACGTTTTCCCTTGTGATGTATTTATGCGATTCAGACCGTCTTTTGTTTTTGTTGTGGCATGGCAATGCCGATTTCCTCACGTTTACGGGCGCGTTTTATTTTTTGCTGAAAATAAACGGGAAATTGAAGAAGCTTTAAAAATTCCTGTATACTTGTATTCTAACAAGAAGCTTATTAACTCAGAAGCCCGTCAAAAGGCCGAATCAGATTTTAAAATGCATAAATCCGATCAATTAAAAGTTTTCACGTTTTTAAGGAGGTATATCGGGGTCCGAGGGAAGTGAGGAGCGCAAGGGGGGTCCTATGCTTTTCTTATGGGACTAAAGCCCGCTGCCAATTTGAAAAAATTAAATTCTATTGAAATTATTTGCGATAAACATTATCTATATTGCAAAGAAATCTACTCATATGCACATAGCATACATATTGACTAATTAACAACATAAAAATATTATATTTAAGTAGTTTTAAATTATATTTAATGAACGCATAAAGACTATGTAGATGTGGCAACAGCGCTAATAATTGACTATCAATTGTACGCACTGCGAACCCACAGACCTCGGACATCGGAGATATTGCGCGTCAAATTCGGGTAAAGATGCGTACGCGTTCAAAAATGTATTGTGTGTAAACTATGTACAATATAATTATTATATATAGCAAATATATCATATTATCCTCGCGAAGATTTGTATTCTTTATTTAAAATCCGTAAATCATGTGAACTGGTAAAACAACGAGAATTATGTTAATTTAGTTCTAAAGATATTAAATGACACTCGCGCCCATCTCTCGTCCAAGTCAAAGAAAACGTTGGATGCAATTTTGAAGGTTCTGTGATAGAAATTACTCACTGTTCGTGTTTTTAATCTCTATTTTAGTAATGTTACAAAGGTTTTGCAACTATAACTAATTTTTTAGACATAAAGTTTGCTGAGAAATATTTATGTTCCTTTGTTATTCCGTACAAATGCTTTTATCTCAAGTATTACTAATTATATTAATCAAGTAAAGAAAACTCTATGTAACCCTAAATATTGCTGGGTAATGATTACGATGTTTTTATAAACCATTAAATATATTAAAAGGATTTATCAACTGTATTTTTTATTCCAATAAATATATCACTGCTTCCTAGCCTTTTTTAATTAATCTAGTTTTTTAAAAACATTACAAAAAATCATCTGTTGTGGATAATTTATTGTTGACAACAATGTACATGCGATTTAGGAAAAATGTATGTTTGAAATCAATTTCGTTTTTATCAAGTCTTTCAAATGTATTCCACCCTTACTGTCAGCTGATTGCGACGTTGCCACATTAATCCTCAAGTCAGACAGAAATGCAATTATTGGTTTCTGTTTCTAATTAATACAGCTGTACTATGTTCAAAACTTTTACATCAAAAATAAGATAATACTGTGGTACTATCTATGGAAAAGTTTTGTTTCACAATTTCTACATTTTTTTCTCAGCAAAAAAAGAGCCGCACCGTCCATCTTCGCCATATATAAAATGAACAACTTTCAACAACAATATCTCAAAATCTAGATTCAAAAAAAGTCTTTTTCGACGAAATAACGAACAGGGAAATCAGAGATATTTGATTTTAGTAATTACGGCAAAATTCCTGCAACCCATGTGGGAAAATTTAATTGCATTATATAAATTCTCACGTTAGTGCAGATGGTTTCGTTCATACCACACATTTCAATTAAATATTAATAACATTATTTTATGAAACTATCACGAATTCCGCTACGAAAAAAAAAATAGGCCTCGTAATACTTGCCGTGGGGTAGTAAAAGCAACAATAAAACGACAGTAATAATAAATTCCGGTTAAGTGAGCAATTCTAGTCAGCTGGTCTATTTTATGGTATGTGTGGGCGCTGTAGTCGAACTCCCACTTTTTTTAATTAAAGTGTAATACCACTAAAATTCTTACCAGGTAAATTTAACCACAAAGTTTATATGGTTACATTGTTACCAGCTCTAGAAGTCTCATAATTATTTACTTTAACTTTATTTAAGCGTACGAGGGCGATACAAAAATTAGAATGGGCAACAAACTGACTGATATAATTCGCGGCAAATACGCAGCGCTTCAACCGACTATAATATTTACATTTAATTTGGTATTCTAATCTCTGTCGGGTAAAACGGAAAATTGACGGTTAGTTTTAATTTGAAACTTTCTAGGACAGTTCGAAGTAAATTCCGTTGAACGACGAATCCCGAGAGTAGGTTCGAAATCTCTACCTTTGCCGCTCGGGCTGCCTTGAGGTGGAGATTTTAAAATTGGATCAAGATCCAATCGCCCAATGATATAACCTTCCGACAGGCCCAAAACTGATTTACCACGAAACGTATCAATCCACACCTACTGTTAACCTGAATAAATAATTCTGAACCAGCCCCTCCCCCCTACCCAGTTTTATAAACATTAAAATTTTTTTCGGAACTGTACGTGAGTTCAGTTCCGTTGCAGTGCGTTGAATTCTTAAAAACTGAATCATCTGACGATACATTTTTCATTTCCAGGTTCACAACAGGGGCCACACGAAAAGCTGCTGCTCAATAATTTATTATCCTCATACAACGTGCTCGAGCGACCAGTTGCGAACGAGTCGGAACCACTGGAAGTGAAATTTGGCCTAACCTTACAGCAAATTATAGACGTGGTTAGTACATTTTCTCTATAACCAACAATATTCACCGGGGAACATGCAGGGTGTAATAAATTGTATCTAAAACACCGCGGAACTGGGCATAGGTACAAGTGAAAGTAAAGAATCCTTGTGTTATATACACAATGTTTTCCTGATATTTAAAATCTGTATAATTTTTCAAAAAAATCATCGCAAAGTATAATTTACACCCTACATAGCTCTAGCCCCTACTTTATTTTCGAAAATATGAACTATATTTTGGGTAAGTCTGGTTTTAACGCTTGAAACAACACCTCGTCAAATATCTCGAAAATGATCATAACTTCATAACAGTTGTAGTATGCCGCACCCTCTGCCACACAAGTCACCGACTTCTGCTGTATCGCTTTACTTACATCGAAGTTTGACAAATGGTATTTCTCGGTTTATTGTCATTTCTATGTGAAGATTGATGAATAAAGGTAAAGCTTCTAGTTGGCCATGGAAACTGGTACTCGGGAATTCCTATTAAGAATTCGAATTTAATATTATACACGTCAGGGTATCTTCGATGAAAATTCTGGATATAATCGTATTCATCCGATATTATGCTTACACATAAAATCAATTGCAGCCGGCTTTGAAATATTAACTTACCAATAACCATTCGGTGCTCTAATTTCGAAATGCCGCGTCGAGCTGCGAGGCGCGGCACCGAAAGGACGAACGATATTTGTATTTTTCAAGTCCGTAAATCAAATTTGTAATCGCTACGGAAACTAGACATATTTTTTTTTAAATCATTGCGGAAAATATATTATTCACGATGCAAAAAGAAGTCATTTTTTACATTTATTTATCGCCAAAAAGAAAGAATCACTACTCTAGAGGGTGTAAGAAGTTTGACTGCCATTACTTCAGCATGAGCTAGAGTAATCATAAATGAACAAAACAGTTGTATATTATAAGGGCGTAAGATTAACAGTTTTCAAAATACAGCGAGTATTAATATTGGGGAGTTTCATCACAACGTGACAACAACGCTTAACCTACCGCTACACAGCTGTGAACGCAGCAGACTTGTCCTACGGAAAAAATGTAAACAACTATTATTGCGGAACATTTAGTAAATTTCAAGACAATTGTTTTCCAGTTTTTTACGAAGATACTGTTGTGCTTAAATTTTAGCTCGAATTTTAGTAATTATGAATCTCTTAAAACAGGAACTTAACTTTTAAGTCAAATTATGTATTTGAAAAATATGTAATTAAAGTACCCAAAGATTCACGTCGTCCAAATAATCATACGTATAAAAACTAATTAAGGTACTTTGCCAAAAAGCAAAATTCAGTAATTTTTAAAAGCACAAGTACAAAACAACTCAAAACACCTCAAAAACAGTCAGACACGGTCCAATTCCAGATACCGACTGAACTACGTATTGCTGGACAGCTTAGTACCTAGTGTTATCCGCTGCGCCTTTGTCACATTGCTGGATATGAATTTTATCGAATTTTAAATTTATTACAACGCCAATTATTTTTTAGAATTATGCATAAAACAGTTCAAAAATGTGATAAATATTGTATTTTATTATATTCTATTCACGCAGTTATGTCAATATTCCTTAATTAATCGAACTTTTATACATCAAGTTGGAGATTTTTATAATTTTTTTCTCGGAAATGGTTGAGTTTAGGACCCATGTCATATAAGGTTGTTTCGTTTATTTTAATATACTTTATCGTCTGTTAAAATTAAGGCAGTCAAACTTCTAACACTGTATATTTTTTGTAAGATGCTGGAATTTGAATTTCACCCGCAATAAAGTTGAGTGGCAAACGTGACAATAAAATAAATGGCTTGAATATTTCAAATTTGGTATCCGTAAAACTACGTGGAATGATATAATGATAGGTGCCACATTCCGTAACTTCACAAAGTTTTTGAATTAAACGTGATTTTATCCCCATCTGGGGAATAAAATGCTAATAGAACCGCGTTGAATAAAAATTAACTTTTAACCAAAGTTTCTGACACACCGCTAAAATAGTACGAATTGTTTACAAAACAAAATATTTGTTATAAAATTTTCTCCGATGTTCTAGCTGTATTTTAAACGATAAACGCAGTTTTTATCACCACTCCGTCCGACTTTCCAAAATAATGTAGCTGTATCTACTGGAAACCTTTATCGACGAATTTCAGAGCGAAAATAAACCGGCCTTTCCCTTTATCTGCTTCGTTTGAAATCCGTCAACTGTCGAATATTCGTTCCGTGATGCACCTTTCAATTAAAATCAGTAATTAAACTGACACGATTCACTTGTCATGTCATTTTTCACAAGAATAAGCGCCTTCCCTGCGTTCGCACAAAAGTCCATATCGAATCTTTCCATCCCGAAAGCTGAAGGAACAGCAAACATGATCACCTCGAGCCAAAAATTGCGATACAATATTGATGCACACATCTACGAAAACGGAGTCCATTAAAAAAATAACAGTGTGATATTACGGAAAATAAATATCGGCTTCTCGCAATATCACACATCCGTCGCTTCCGGACCTCCGGCAAATTCCTTGGATTACTTTGGGATGAATTACGATATCGAAATTCTTGCAGGCAAAAGAGACAGATACGCCATTATACTCGGTATCTACACAAAACGTTTGTTATCCTCGACGCGGTTATAAAAATGTATGCCCCCTGCAACCGACACTATAAATTTTACCTAGCTTTTTACTAAAAATTAATTATGTACCTTGCTCAAAATTAACCGGTCTGCATCCTCGCGCTAAGCTGAAAAAAGGGTCAGCTGTGGCGTAAGTTTTCAAACTCTGTTCTTAACGCTAGCTAATGGTATTTAAAAAAATAATTTTACTTTGCGGGTATCAGAGGTAAATCGTTGCGAATCTAGTGGATTCTTAAGTATCTACAAATTGAGTTTGAAAACTTCCCGATTTATTCGAAGATAAACTACTTGGACTATTGTGAAAGTTTGTTCGGCAGCTCATTTACGTATCAAGTACAGAGAGGGCTTTACATCTAATTCACGGAAAAGGTTACGTTTACTGTTTCGTTATATTAAACCACATGCCGCAAAAATTTCATTAAAAAATATCTAGCTTAGGCCGTATTAAATGAAAGAGAAACGGCGACGAACCGTTCGCGGTCCGCCAAAGAACTTAATTTTGCGATTTTATCATTTTATAGCGTGTACAACGCGGCGGGATTCTTAAAGCGAACATTTCAAAGTGAAATTTAAAAATGCGCCCCATTATGTACTTATCAAAAGGTATTTCACGTGTCATTTCAGATCATTATTTTCTGGCTTCTGATTGGATATTGTAAGAAATCGATATCGCGTATAAAACGAATCTTATTCAGTCAAGTTAAGGAGCCGTATTTATACTTGATATTGACAAATATGATGAGGATTTGGACCGCTAAAAGCCCTTTAAAAGTAATCCGCTTTTGTGTGTGATTTAATACCCAATTAAGTGTTATTTTGTTATTCTTTTTGTTCGTCCCGATACAACGGCAGAAGTTGGTACAAGTAAATAGGCCTTTTTAATATATTCTTCCATTATTTAAGTTTAAGAAATTCTTCTGTAATATGTACAGGGTGAGCATTAATTCATTTTCCAACCGTAAGGACGATGTTCACCAGTTAAAGATCCAAAGTTTACAAAACGTTCTAAATATTACCGTTGTCAGCGCACAAACAAAACACTGTTGTTTTTGAGAGACACCTTAAACTGTAAACAGGTCGGTGTTTGCAAAATAAACAAAGATTCGTTGGTAAACACATTATTTTAACCCGTGGAATTCGTCTTTAACGGCTTGGTACCATTCATCCTGTACTGTCGTCGAATATTGTCGCACAAATTTTTCTTTGACTTCTGTTTCTGCACTGACGGCTTTTTATATTATAAAAACCGATGAGGATGCAAATGAGATACTGCCTTGTTGTTTTATTATTGTTTTCCCCTGTGTAGGATGAAAAGAATCAGATTCTTACGACAAATGCTTGGTTAAATTTGGTAAGTTCCATGGAGTCCATTTGGACTCACGCAATGTTTATAGCAGGGCAAACACTTACTAGGTGCCTGGGTTATCAGTTAGTGTTTGACTCTGAAGCTGAGTGGCTATGAACGTATATAGCTCCCAAGGTGGCGTTGGCGGTTATGCATTTTAAGTACGACGACTTTAAATGTGAAAATATAATCGCCATCTGCGAACAACCAAGACGCGCTCACTTTGCCGCGGTATATTTTCATAATTAACGTCCGTGCAAGGCAAACCTAGAATGACGGCAAATTAGGCCTCTCTCAGAGGTTAAACAGAACATTCCGCAGGCCAAAACAAAATTTTGCCAGTCAATATAAGCAAGATATTCATCGCCCTGCAATAGCTAGTAATTTATTTTCGAAAGTGTAGTTAAAATACAATATTTGCCGCTGTTTAAAATACAAGTCAATGCCGATGTAATGAACACATATCTGGAACGTGCGAAGTTCTTTTAAAAAAGTTGTGTCCCACTTCGGTGAAGGTCTCTCTCGGCGTGGACGAAGTTATCGGGAAGTTGGAGCGTGGTAAAGGCTAAGCATTCTAGGGATGCCTTGTGAGTTATGCGAATTGCACGGCCGCCACCGTCCAGAAAGCACATATGGCCGAGTCCTATCGATGAAGGACATGGCCGTTGCGTGCTTAATGCATGCTTTGTTATGTAACTAACTACCGATGTTTCCCTTTTATTGTTTTACCATAGGACGAGAAGAATCAACTCCTAATAACAAATATTTGGCTTTCTTTGGTAAGTGAAAACCAATTAAATAACTAAACATACGTACACACACGGCAGTTGGTTGATTTTGTTCAGACTTGTATTTTTTCAGTCTTCTTTCATTCCTAGTACCCGCCCGTATGGTATGAGATGGTGTACCCCTCTTTTCTACCTGTATCGAGCTAGTCCTTTTTTTTTTTATTGTATTGCTGTGTCGCTGCCATTTTCCGGCGGATCCACGTACCCCTTAGTTGTATATGCCTCCCGTAAAGAGTTGGTTTAGTTGCTCGGTTCAAGTAAAGTATTAAGTACCAACCCTGTTTTTCGAAGATACCCGTACCAGGTGCCACAGGAAAAATTACGCGCGTACCATTTTGGCGCAGTTGAACGTAATCATCGTTTGGTACCGAGTAATTTTCCCTGTGGTACTTGCGCAATTTTTATTATAGACTTAGCACTTCGGTAGCTGCAAATTGCCGGGTTTCTAGTTTGAAGCTGTAGGACAACTTTTAAGTAGAGTAGCGTAAACCTGTAATATATCGAACTGGTGTGTGATCACTACAATTCATTACCTCTTCAATTTGAATGCACCCATATCGTCATCGCTAACATCAATGAACGTCCCTACGGTACCATTGGTCTACTGCCGTGTGTGTTGATATTTTAAACAGATTTATTTAACCAATGCTTCTTAACTAATATAATGAAAACCGATATTAGCTCTAGGTGTTTTTTTTTTTAGTTTATTTTCATCTGGGAGTATAAGGGTTTCCTTCCTGTCAGTTAATGTCGAAAGTACGCGAATTATCTGCGTTCGATTCGGGGCGAAACCCACGATAACCCAGACCGAATCCCCCCGTCAACCGTTTATACCAAATGTCAAACTAACCCAATGGGACAGTATACCTTGTCATTATTTTTTTTTTGGTATGGACGTCGTACTCCCTTCACTATGCTCGACAAACCGAGTCCGCTAATCCCATCCCTTATCGACTTAACGACGGGTACAATTTTTTATTTGTCGAATGGAGGACCTAAACACCCTGTGATACATTAAACTATACATTTTTTAAAATTATACACTAAACATGAACCGCTAAAAATCAAATTACTAAAACAACTTTCCCTGGCATGTCCATCACGCACAGCTTTTGCACGTTCATGAACAATATGACGTCCATGGTAAGACCAAGAGTTTTGTTGATTTTAATAAACATACACGTGTTCAGATACATCGGTTGTAACTTTTTTGTTGCCATTCTTGTAATTGTAACGCTGTATGTCCTGTATATATACACGTGTTAAAAAATCTGAGGGATATATTTTACTCATAAAAATAACAGTGCCAATAATTTTCTACGAAAATGTTTTGAAAAATCAATATTTACGGAAGTACATAACCTATATATATTTAAATTAATGAATTCCTGAAGGATTAAAAAGCCTTTGTTGACTAGAAAATTAGTCATAACATTTATACAGTTCGTTTTAGAAAGGTATCGTTAGAAGCTGACGAAAAAATCATGCATTATAAGTTTTTTTACCATCTGCTAGTGGGCGCCAGATGTTCAAGTGACATTTTGTAACATACATTTTTGGAGGTTAGGTTTTTTACAATGTATGTCGTATCGGACCGTTTTTTGGGAAAAAAAAGACGTCGCGAAGTCAACCAGGTTTTACTCTGTAATATAACACTGTAAAAAAAATCGGTGTGAGAGAAAGCAATAAAGGTTCGGAGTGAATCTATTGAGTGAAATTATTGAGTAAATTTTCACTCAATATTGGACATTTTGATCATTTTACTCATTTGTGATTATATTTATAAATATAGGTACTCCTTAAATAAATTCTTCACATAAACTTAGTATTTGGTGTGGCGTAAATGTCCTCATTACTGAGCGAGTTTAAATGTATTAATTTTGATTAATTTGATTTTTTTTTAAACTACACATCAAAACAGTATTAAAGTAATCAAGGTATTTTTTTAGCGTTTTCAACAAGGGAGCCATTTTTATGTAAAATCAAGTTTTACATTATAATATACCACACACATACACCTTAAAAAACCTAACCTCAAAAAAGTTATGTCATATAATGTCATCAATAAGGTCGTAACTGGCAGATGGTAGAAAAAAAAAATCAACAAGTTTCAATACATTATCTCTCAAATTCCGGTAAACTATTATTAATATTTTTTAATTTCACAATTTTTATAAATCCATTGATGCAATTTAAGGCATTTTTAGGATTTACCCAAAATATATTAAGCCTTTTGATTCTTTGAAAAATTAAAAATAAAAAAGCTACGACCGATTTTCTAGACAACAAGGTCCACTTAAGACAATTATGGTTTATTAATGCAATAAGTAAATTAAAACAAATTATTTTGAGGTTATGTAACTCTTAATATTGAGTTTTCGAAAAAATTTTCTAGGGGCTGCAGCTCCACTTTTAAAAGTGGAATTGCTGCCAATTTTTTTGCACTTATTTGCAGATAAATTAACAGCGTCACAATTACAGAAACTATCTGTCGGCTGTCGAAAGTACTATAAATGTTGACATATTGTATTGGGTTGTGACGTGTCTTAGTGTTTAATTATCAGTTCTCCAATTTACTACGCTTTTTAAAAATTCTTTTTTTACAATTTATCATGTCAACAGTTGTAGTTCTAAGATTCGACGCCATGGCGCTGTAGCTTATTCTCGGATGCCTAATACATCCAAAGGGGAGAAAAAAAATAAAGTGTTTACAAATGTTTTCCAAAATAGAGAACTGATTTAGCAAGGGTCTTACTGACGACGTTATCGCTGAATTTATGTGTATAAATAGCATGCCCCGCTTTGGGCTGTGTGTGTGTTGATCTGTCGTGTAGATTGTGGGCTTCGTGTTGTTTTGTACTAGTGTCCCGATCAATTGGTAGCTTACAAGAAGCAAATCAATTGAGTCTATATTATCTGTACACTGTCACTTTTACTATAGTATTTTTTGTTCAGGAATGGAACGACTACAACCTGCGATGGAACGAGACGGACTACGGGGGCGTCAAGGATTTGAGAATAACGCCAAACAAACTGTGGAAACCCGACGTCCTTATGTATAACAGGTAACACGTGTAATGCTATGATGGTTGCATTTTCGTCGCTTAGCTACATTAAAAAAAATCAAAAACCATTCTAGGGCGCATGAATAATTAGATAATTGAACATATTATATCCTAAAATATAAATTTTCAAACGTACTGTTTGGTACATCATTATTACTACTACATATTCAGGCTTTCTTCTAAAAACAAATTGAATCTTGTTTGTATATATGATAGGATTTGTATTGTGCACTGCTTGCCGATTTAAAGCATAATAAATATTAACTGGAACGTGCCAAGGCCCTAAACAGGCCTCGCTAATGCAAACAATTAAATTTACATATGCTTAAAGTCGTTACCGCGTAAACTGTGGCCTACTCCCGCTTTCGAAAGCTAAGAGAAACGCTTTGAATTATGTCAAAAGCGATTTTTAACCGTTGGCGTTAAGCAGATGGCGCTGCGAATATTTCAAAATCAATGTCACGCATAAAGAAAAGGTGCCAGAAGAAACTCACCATTTGCTGGGGAAGTTTTTGCAGAAACCCTTCTACATAGTGCGAACTCTGCAAAAAAAAGAAAAATTGAATCAGTAACGTAACACAATAAACACAAAGTTTTGTATCCTGCAACGTAAGCAGGGAGAAGTTCCCTTATAGAGGGGGATCTTAGGGAATTGGTAAAAGACATTAATTAGTTTCAAATAGTATTGGAAGATGCCAGCAACTGTAATGTTTGTTTAAATAAATAAGAGAAGAATAGTGAAGTTGGTAAATAATAATGCTAAAAGCGTTCTATGTTTTGTTCCGTGATAGATTTGTATTAAAAATTATTGTTTTTATTTTTTCTTCAATTTATAGGCGTACGCCATATATATTTTGTTGAAAAATTCTTGGTTGGTGTGTATTTTGAATTTACGAAAACAACAAGACAAGTCTTCGAAATATCTCCCAAGGCGCTTTTCCGAGATGCTTAAAATTTGTTACACTTTCCATTTCAGTAAAATTCCGGTGCTCTTGACTTAAAAAAAAATTTGATGGTCTTTTTTTGAACATATTAAGGGAAAAATGGCATGAATACTATTTTCTCCAAAAAAAAAATAATAAATAAAAAATCAGTAATCAAAAAACTATCGGACTTTTGTAAATGTCAGTCAGTTTTATCACTCCTCAGTACTGCAGATTATGGATCATGTCTGGCATAAACAGCGCAACAAATTTCTTTAAAAAGTGCCTCAGTAGATATTTCGAAAAAGTTGAAATAAAAAACAACGAAGCACTTTAGAAAAAAAATATATGGTTACCCCCATTATTTTTGTGAATTCTAGCCGCTAACTAGCCGCTGCTCTTTCTATACCACAGTCATACAAAAAAAAAGTTGTTCGTACTTTTCATGCGACATGTTATCCGACAAATCCGGTGTTAGAATTGAGCTATCACATCACAGGAATGTCCTAACCTCAAAAAACATAACAAAAATAGCAAAAATTCACAAAAAAGTGCTAGGAAAAGTACAAAAAAATATTTTTTCTATATTCAAATGTTCATTTATATGGTTAAGACCCCGCCGAATGTGAATCCGCGGTCAAAATTGATGATTCATTTTCTAACCTCAAAAAAACAGGTCAATTAAGGTCAGATATCGCGAATTTTCAAAAAATAACAGATTTACGCAAAATCTGGTATACGGGGGTTTTCGTGGTCGCTGATTACGGATCCGAGGTCAATTTTGTAAAATTTAAGATGGCGGATCCAACGTGGCCGACCAAATTTTAAAAAATTTACACATTCGCGTCGAATTTGGTATACGGGTGTTTTCATGGTCGCTGATTACGAATTTGAGTTCAGAATTGCGAATTTCGGATTCGTGATCAGTGACCCCGAAAACCCTTCCTAGCACTTTTTCGTGAATTTTTGCTATTTTTGACCTGTTTTTTGAGGTTAGGAAATTCCTGTGATGTGATAGCTCAATTCTGCCTCCAGATTCGTGATCAGGAGGCAAAAATACTACGAATAACATATGTCGCATGAAACAATAAACAACTTTTTTATGTGTGGCTGTATAATCAATTAGGCTTTGTTGACTATATTTAACAAGAACTACAATTTTTCAAATTACGTACAAATTCTCAGTAGTATCCTATTGGAGATGAAAAAAAATGTTCAGTCTCAAAATTGCCCTGAAGAGCAAAAACTTTTATTTGGAAAGTTAGGAGAAAATGTAATTCTTTATAAAAATGCTAGCTTGTCCTAATGAAGCTAATTTCATTCAAATGGAATGCGTAGATCGACGCGCCGAAAGTGGAAGATTTCGAAAGCTTTCTAAAACTACTTAACCGTTTTTATAATGGAACCGAGACCTCTGTATGGGCAACTTCTCCCGGATCGTAAGACTATGATAAAGGATTTCTGTAATATCGTAACTGAGATCAAGTTCTTTGCGCCGTATCGCCATCTCCTTATTAAAGGGTTTGCCGTTTACGTTAGCAGTGCATAATATTTGTGGATGAGAGAGCGAGTGAATGACAAAATGGGCGGGAAGTACGACACAGCTAGCCGTTGCTGTAGGCCACAGCTACTTCCGACCCTCTGGAGTCGAACGACGGGTTGATACCTTAGCCGCTTTTCCTAGCTATGTCATTAAAATAATTCTAATAAACTGTGACTAAATGGTTTGCATGCTTATTAAGGTTTCTTTTGTTTCTGCGGATGGGTAGCAGCTTGAAAATTCGACTTTTGCTGGGCCGGAACGTCCCTGAAAACTCTCTCTATAACAGCACTAATACACAAGTTAAATAAAAACAACTTAAAATGGAACAGATAAAACAAACATTAAACTTAACCCGCGGATGAGACTAAACCAATCCCCTAAAAATGAATAATAAAATGAGTTTAAATCAATGTATGTTAAAATAATCAAATGGTAAATAACAGCTGCAGGAATAATATGGTCCAACGCTTAACGGATAAAGGTTGAGGAGATAGTAGTGACGATGGCTAGCTTGGTCACTGCAATCGTGTATAGCTCGATGTTCGATGTCTGTCAATGTCAAATTAGATGTTTGTTGTGCTCAGTGTCGTACTCATTGACGCATTGACGACCACACAGCAGTGGGATAGATGTTGATTGTTGCATGTAAAAGCGCGCGCGTTCTACAATCATGCAGAAAGAGCTAAACCGGCTCTATCACTGGCTCAGATTAATGCCGATCTATTTTTGTCGACCAAGACCAGCATGAGTCAGTTTTGTAGCGGCGATTTTTAACGCTTTGTGTTGTTATGAAGTGCTGATGAGGGTTTCGACGGGACATTCCAAACAAATGTTGTGGTCAAACATAACGGCAGCTGCTTGTATGTCCCTCCCGGTATCTTCAAGAGCACATGCAAGATAGACATTACGTGGTTCCCATTCGATGACCAACATTGTGACATGAAGTTTGGTAGCTGGACCTATGACGGCAACCAGGTATTGCTGTAATGTTTACATGTTTTCTGTTACATCACCACACACACACACACACGCAAACACGCAAACACCATCCACCACAACCAAGGCCTTTCATCCGTGTCCATCTACAACTACTGACATCTACGAACTAAACAGAGAACCGAATATTTTACAACCACTCCCCACCGCTTTGTACACTCTCGAATTCAAGTTACTTCCATGCAGTACATCTAGAATAATCACTGGCTTTGTGCACTACTATTTTTTATTCACTTTGCTCATGCTTACAAAAGTTTGCTCCTCATAAGTATATACGAGCGTGTCGATAAAAACTCTCTGGAACCGAAGGAGATATTTTACGCTTCGACTGATGTTACCAACACTGACACATTGACAGCCAAAACATTTTTCGATCCTAAAAACTTTGAAATTTTAAATTTATTGGGTATTTTGCTACCTTTGAAAGAATTTAAAAAATTAACCAAATAAACCCGTGAAAAGATACACTTATAACAGAAATATCAAAGTAATTCAATTTCCATCATTAAGTATAGTCGGGTTTTATTTTAAGAAAGAAAGTCATGAAATTGGTCCTTAATTGGGAGATTAAAATATAGATTGAGAAAATGGTTACACTTTCTATTGTAAAGGTATTAATGTTAATTCAAATAAACTCAAAAAATGTTATAAATGAAGTCAGGCAATGTTCTTAGATACCAGAAATATAGGGTGTTGGGCTAAACCCCAGGGGTGATTCTTTGAGTGATTCTCAAGTTTCGCTACGTCCTTAAATAACACCCTGTAAAGAGTAAAAATTTGAGAGATAAAATAAGAATACCTATATCATTTTAAAAAATTAGTTACACAATATTAATACGATTTCATCCCGCAATTATTTAAACAATATAATAGACGTTTAATTTTAATACCGCAACAAAGAGCTTGCATCGATGAACTTTTAAGCGATTTAACATGTGTATTCAAAATGATGGAAGTAATTGTGAACATTATAATTGTATTATTAAGGTAGTTTACCTTTTTGAATAATTAATTAGTTTGATAATCTGCTGCTTGTTTAATCGAATTTAAATTTTCAAACAGGCTATAAAATATCATTTCATGAATGTACGCAAACTGTAAGGTTATATTTCAAAAACCATCCAACAATAAAATACCTCGAAATCTATTAGTTTTCAGGAAAAGTGCGCAGTAGGACCAAAAAATGTTTCGTACTCCCAAAAGTAAAACATCCTTTTCCGTTTCAGAGAGGTAGCTTTTATCGGGCCACGCTGTTGTTTAAATATAAAGAACGTAAGCAACGCTCTGTTTAATTCGTACGTTAAAAAAAATTAAGACGCGATAAAATATGTTGGGTAGTTTAGATTATTCACAGAAGGGCTTTATCACACTGCACCGTTACACTCGCGTTGGCTTGGTATTGTCTGAAAGAGGCGTTCTCGTGGCTCACCGTCACCGTCACCGTCACAATCGCGGACGTCCTAACACACAAGCTGACAAAACTAGTGGTTTGCGTCGTACGTCCTCTAGACATAGTGCACGCCTAGCTGCTAGCGTGGATCCATGTTAGAGGGTAGCGGTATACGTCACATAATATGACCTGCGGATCCGCAACTGAACATTTTTCAAACTAAGGTCATGTTTCAGGCTAAACTGTCACGAACATAAACTTAAATAATGATGCCACGCTTTAACCGAACTTAATACCACGATTTGTTTCCTCCCAGGACTATTGATTTCCTTCTTTACCAACATCAACCTATTCCGGGGATACACAAATACAAACAAGATATTTATGGTAGGATAAACCCCACTGATCTTGACTGAACACCGAAACAATGTCCAATTTCTTTGACTACGTCACGACTTACCCCCGCCCTTCTTCGCAAAATCCCCAAGTCTCGTCCTTTGGTAATAAGCTTGGTTAAGCGAACTTCGACGGAATAGAATGTTCAGTAGCGAATTTTAATTAGTTTGCTTTTATATCTAGGGCTAAACTAAAGTATGTGGACAACATATATTTTAAATAAGGTAAATTTATAATCCAGTATCACTAATTCATTAAATTACATAAACAAAGGAAATATAAATTAAAACACCACCCACCTATATGAGAATCAAAGCAACCGACGCTGTCATATCTTCAAAGTTCAATTGCAACTCTGCCACGTGCATTAATTAAATTAAAAAAACAGATATGAAAGATGGGTAAAAATAGCGAATTGAATTAATTATCCACATGCCGTAGTCTGGACCTAGTTATAACGGTAGACTAAGACAAAACATACCATTAGGGAACCATGTGACTGTATCATTAGATTTACTATTTTGCATGGAGCATAATGCCATCAATGTCTCTGCTACTAACTTTGCAATCACAAAAACAATCTGCTTTACCAAGATTATGCACAAGGGCTATAGATACATTAATTTAGATAATACAATCTTGACATCCCTACTTGTCTTCTACATACTTTGTTGTTTAACACAGATCGAAATTCATAATAAGATTAAAGAGCCTTAAAGCAGCTCTTAAATTATTAGTGCGGTTAATTTGTTAAAACTTTGCAATCCAAATTACGACCTTCGTACGCGATCAAAGCGAGTCACTTTAACCGACCCTATACAGGGCGCTGCGGAAACGGAGTTACAAACCATTGCCTAGCGTGCAAATCCAGTTTACCGTTCCATATTTTGCCCCCCCAGTCCAATCATCCATTTATCCACGTCGCGTGAAGTTCTTAGCAGAGATGTTGAATAATTCTGCTTCTGGCGGGGATGTGAAACAGTGTGCGTAATAGTAAACATGGAATCGTGAGAAAAATTACCCTCACACTTCCTAACAAGTGATATAAATAAATACAAGATAGAAGTTCTATTTATTATTACTAAAATAGGTGCTACGGCGTAGCTTAGACACTCGGAAGAGTGTGAATATACAGGGTGATCCAAAGATAAAGCAGGAAGTCGACACGAAATGAATTCAGAATATTTTCTTTTTTATTCGCGTAACTGATATTTATGAAATTGTGTATATCATTTTATTTCCCAAGGAAGATCCGTTTTTTTATATAGCGTACTCAATTTAAAAAGATAATTTCATTTCAATGGTCTATATATGTGTAAGTCTATTTTTAAGCATGTTTTTAAAGCTTGTATGTATATTCATATGTTCTGATATGTCGTTTCTTTGTAATGACCGCACATCGTCGTAATGGTACGACGTATTGGAAAATTTTACTACACTTTCTATTCCTCTAATTTAAGAAATTTTGTAGTTTTGTGTACACTTCAGAAATTTGGTCAAAAATGAACACCATGACTTCAGTACTTGTATATTGTGTTACTCATATTTTATTGTGTAAAATTTTGCATGTAGTACTTTTTGAGATTGCATGCCAACATGTCGTTTATGTGCAGACTTTTTTTCTAATAATTTTAAATGTTTTTACCTATTTCGTGTTTTGTTAACACAAAAGTAGGATAGAAATTGGTTAAAGATGTTACATTTTGTTACAAATAATTAATTAACCGCCCCAACAATTTCGTGTAACAGTTTTAACGAATTTTGAAACGTAAGATGAAAATTAACAATTATCTTGAGAAATACAACTCCCTTCATTAAATTTTGAACGAGTTAAACAAAAATAAAACTTATTTCATTTGTATTTCTTAAGATTTACTAATCTTTTATAAGCTGTAAGTGAAATATAAGGTATCTCTCGATATCTACTATCTAGTTTCTAATACAATTCATAGAAATGTAATAATTGTTGTTTTACAGTAAAAAAGTTATAAAAGGTAAGAGCTCTGAAGTCAACTGAAATCGTAGACGTTCGGAAATATCCAAAGAGAACTAGATACGACCGAGTGAAAATATATCCGCAACATCTGAATATACATTTGGCTTGATCGCTATTGGCGATTGGGTTGTCATTCGCTTGTCTACTTGATTTATCCCCAATATCAACTAACTGAACCATATTTTCTCTCCGCATATGTTTCCCGAATAAATATTGCAACGTTTTCTAGATGTTCCTTTATAATTCGTTTGTAGTTAGACTTGATGTTTTCGTACCGATATTTATTAGTGTTATAGTTTTTTTCTTATAAGTAACGCACTGACAAAGTAGGATGATTATATACGTTTTTTGCACTAATTATCGTGTCCGACTGTCGGTGAGCCAGATATTGCTTTTATCTTGATTGTGTACACGATTCAGTACAACATTTACATTAGTCTTACTATTAGACAGCCTTTTGTCATTGGACCTAGATTAGAATATCCTGCACGTGGAATATACTTTTCATTTTGGCGTTACTATGCACAAAATATCCTAGTACAATTTCGGATGCAACATATTCGTATATTTGGACATGCGAGACAACCTCTTCTTTGTCCTATACAGGATGTAACTTTGAGTGGGGGTCATATTTATACAGAGGCTTCCTTTGACCGTTACAAACAATAGTTTATTTTTCCAAATTCGTCTTAAAAACTTAATTTTTGGTTTTTGAAAAATCGAAATCGGTTAATTAGGACGGCCACAGTAGATTTTTAAAGTTAACACTCTTTTTTTATTTTTAAACAATTAGATTACATTTATCAATTTGCAATTTATTTTTTCAAAAATTATAATTTTAGAGTACCTACTATTTTTTCTTAGTTTTATCTGTATTTAACAAAAAAATTAATTTCCAAATAAAAAAAATGTTTAATTTAATTTTCAAGTATCTAGATGCTAGAAGCAACATTTTGAAATTTCGAAAATTTTTTAATTTCGAACCGATTTTAATGAAATTTGGTGTGTTGTTTTATTATACTCTAAAGTTATTTTTCACCAAAATTCGAATGCCCTCGGAGCAATTAAAATATTTTTTAAAAATATCCAAAAAACTTGATTATTTTATTTTTTTCATCAATTATTGCTATTTTGCAACATCGGCAATAAATTTAAACATTTTTAACTTACAGTATATTGTGCAAAATTCAATTTTAAAACTTTTTTACTCTTCAATATTCCTCCAAAATGCATTGGTTCCAAGATATAAGTAAAAAACTCAGATAAAATAGGTATTTTTAAAAATTTTTTAAACATTTTTGCAATTTTAAAAATGTACACTTTTATTATGCGAGTTGTACCTACTGAAGGTAATCCAGAAAAAATTTGACCCGCACTATCTCTCTTCACATGCACTGTAACATGCCTACAATTCATGCATTTGTAATACATGATTACAGTGGCGGCGTACACAAATATTAAAGTGTATTTTAAAAAACTAAATACAGGGTGAGTCAGTTTTTTGTGGTAGGATTTTAACAGTTGATAGAGATTCATTTATTAATAAAAAAATTCCTATAAACGTAGGTCTTAGAACGCTTCGTTTGTGAGATATAGGGTGTTGAAAACAAACTTGTTTTAAGAATTTTTCTTAATATCTCTGAAAGACCAACATATATTGAACTGAAATTTGGTATTAATAACACATTAGTTATGGTGAATAAAATAAAGATATCTGTTATCCATTTCACCCACCAGTGACGTGCCTGAGGCGGGTAGCTGCCCCCTTTAAAAAAATAATTCGTACGCCCGTGAATTTTTCAGGAAAATAACATAATTTCATCATTCATTCAATCGTTTTTGTTGATTTTCAGTGCACATCATATTTTTCTTATTAATTCACAAATGTATTAAATACCAATATCGTTGGAACAGTTTCATGCCAAATGAATTTAACCAAAAACCGTTAATTTTATAAAAAATTGAAAGAGATCTGTTTTGTTCAGAATTGATTAAAAAATTTAGAAACGATGACTGACTCACTGACTCACCCTGTATAACTACTGGACTATTTATTTGATTAAAAAAAAAAGGATTTCAGATTTGTATTCAGGGGAACACGAATTACCCCTAAAAAACTGACCCCCACTTAAAATGACACCTTGTATAGCGAGTTTACTTAGTTTTACTTTTCTGGAGAATAATCACAACTCAGAGAAAAAGCGAATAAGAGGTAGGCCTTTTCGTATAAATGATTGACAACGCCACAGCGCGACTACCAGGGCCATCTATTGTTTTCCTGAAGTTAGCAATGTGTTTGAGATTGGGCAGTAAATTTAAATCAGTATGGTTGAGATTCACTGAGGTCTCAGGTGAATAAAACACAATTCAGATTCAATAAGATTTGACTGCATAGCTTGATATATTTTTTAATAAAATGCCAAAATATAACTGCCGAAAGAAGATAAAGCAGTAAATATAAATATTAATGCTGAAGGAGGCCATTAGATGGCGCTATAACTTTTTCCTTGAAATAGGCATTATTGAAATGCTCTATGTGCGACAACTAGTCTTTACATTGGTGAAGGATATTTTGTGACAGACGTAAACGATTACTTTAGTATGGTTGATTTAAAAGGTAGAAGACCCCCGAAAGCTAACTCCTCCATAGTGCATTTTGTCAGGTTTATAGATTTAGCTTGTGTTATATGCTTAAGTTTTCCGTAGCTGGACCTAGTGTTGAACTCCGAGGAAGGAGGCGACCTTTCAGACTTCATAACGAACGGAGAGTGGTACCTGTTAGGTACGCCGTTTCGTGTGTTGCCGAATACTGTTTGATATATTTTAAATGTATTTTTAGGGATGCCAGGGAAGAAGAATACCATCGTCTACCAGTGCTGCCCCGAGCCGTACGTGGACGTAACGTTCACGATCCAGATAAGAAGACGCACGCTGTATTACTTCTTCAACCTGATCGTTCCTTGCGTGCTGATCTCGTCAATGGCGTTGCTGGGTTTCACTCTGCCGCCGGACTCCGGCGAAAAATTGACACTAGGTACATGCTCATGCTGTATGTCGCACTGTGTGTTTGCACTCCTGTGCTGTGTGGGTGCCGCTTGACACACTGGCCATGCTAGATCGCATCGCGCAGTGTCGAAACATCTTATTTTTAAATACACACTTTCGAACACACCTACTCACACAGATACCCTAAATTCGTTCTAAGACACAACCGACAAAATTCTTCGCACACACATGCAGACTCAGATACATCAATATAGCTGTTTCCGTTATGATAAGATTTGCACCACGACCCCTATCGCCCATCACGACGGTTGTAGACGGACTCGAAACACGTTCAAAATTCAGAATCTTCATTTCAGGTGTCACCATACTTCTTTCATTGACAGTATTTCTGAACCTAGTAGCTGAAAAGATACCGACAACGTCAGATGCTGTACCGTTAATAGGTATGCTTGGCCTACTGGGAGCATCGTGTGTTTTGACGCCCCGTGTCCCCTTGATGGACTGCCGGTTGATACTTGGAGGGCGTATTGCCTCTTCAGTGTCTATATTAACACTGATCGTTGTCAGCATGTACCCACACCACCCCTTCCGTACGTGCCTAGCACTCGCTTTCTCCCCACCCCGGCATAGGCGACACTAATAACAAGGCTTCGCAGAGTTACCTACAATTTGGTTTTTGGTTACTTACCGAACCATCTTCAGTTTAAAGTTAGCTGGTATCACCCTGTCCAGATCATGTCAGTCTAGTCAACTTGTATATTCCAGTCGTGTAAACAATGATCAAGCGCGTACGGCTACAAAACTATTCGTGCGTATTATTTTTCAGCTATTTTATGTTGTAAGTAACTATACATATTGAGTTGGCGACACTGCTAAGCCTTGTTACGATTAGCGTCATCTCCCCGGTATAGCTCAAAGGGGGCCCTTCACCATCGAAGGTAAGTGGCAGCCGTTGACGGAAGTGACCGGAGAATACTGACAAAGGAAAGTACCTGCGGGAGAGGAGAACCAACAGTGCTCTCGATCAAGGCGTAATGAAGCTATGTTCTGTTGCAGGAGTGACCATCTTGCTCTCGTTGACCGTGTTCCTGAACCTCGTGGCAGAAACCTTGCCCCAAGTATCTGACGCCATTCCCTTGTTAGGTACCAACCGTTCTTTGTCTGACCTGCCTGTGCTGGCTACATCCTCAGTGCTGCCTGATGACATGTGTATCGTTGTGTATATGTGATTGTTGTGTCCGCGCGTAACTGACCCGGTCAAGCTTCAAATAGCTCTAGTTGATTTCGATGCGTTGCGATCAAAGAAGAAATGTTTCAGGGCGACGCCGGTGGTGGGAGAAGTGCTGTTTTGGGCTTGGTGTGTAGTTTTTCTCGAGGGGTGCCGCAAACATTTCCTCTTTGAGTCGAACGTTGATCGGGAGGGGGGAGCCGGATACTTGGAAAGGAGGGCCGTCTGTACCAACTCAATTGTAACATTGTACGGGGCGGTCCGGATTCGGTACTTTTGGGCGGTTTCTCCTAATTCCCGAAAAGACAGGAAACTAAGTAGTTTAGCACTATTTTTTTTTCTGTCTCTTGGGGAAATAGACGAAACCGCCAAGTGTCGAATTCGGCCGCCCTAGTACGGGTTCACGGCACAGGTCACAGGTCAGACGCCTCGCGTGACGCACTGTCTGTTGCAGGTGTGACTATCCTGTTATCACAGACTGTGTTCTCTCTGCTGGTGGCGCACGTGATAACCCAGACGTCCGACGCTGTGCCCCTGATAGGTTAGAGTCTCGGTTCAATTACTTTGTTTATTTTATTTGCAAACACACTGACGGGCACGGGATGGGGCGGCCCAGTCTCCATTGCGGCCAAAACGGTTTCCACACCAAACCGCCAGACCTGGATCGCATCGAGGCCGGGCCGCGCTCTGCATGCACTCGACTGTAACAGCACTTCGCCCAGCCACAGCTACAGTACACAACTAGTCGGAAGGCACCATTTTCGACTAGTGCTTTTCTTACTGTGTTGGGGGTGAATGGTTGGCTACTGCGACCGAGGCTAAAATTACTAACTCTATAATTATCACCTGTTAAATTAACCAACCGATAATCAATGTGATCATTAACTGTGAATCCCTCCGACAATCCGGAACCGATCCCCCTGCCTCCTTCTACCTACCTGTCGCCCTGTCGTAGTAGGGTTACAGGATGGGCCATGCCAAACTGCAAATCTAATCTCTTGCTGCTCACTCAGACTCACTATCTCAGGGTGCGCTGTCTAGCCGGCTCACTCTTGATTTGCCAATGACCTTCTCACCTCCAAGTATCAAATGGCTCTGTCCCACTAGGAATATCAATCTGTATGTTTTGTTGTTGACATGTTTCATTTTCCTATTATTGTTTGTACTATTTGTCTTACTTATTCTTTTTTATTTTGTTATCTATAATGATTCGTTACCTCCTCGTTAATGTAGTGCCACTATTAACTATCATAGCAAAGGTAAAGTCACAAACTAAGCCGTACCGTGATGCAAAGGCTAGCAGATACGATAGTCCCGTCAACTAAAATCGGTTCGCTCGCCGCATGACGTCACCCGGAGAGCGGTTTAATCGGTACATTAATAAAATTTACGTTAATAGTTCGCTTGCTGACCAAAAATGAGACAATTTATTTAAGTTAACATACAATAATGCCAAATGATTATGTTATAACATCCACAAATCGCCGGTTGCTCGTCACGTGACGTTATAACATGGCCGCGGGCACGCGCGGTGTCGTATCTGTTGGGCTCTGTACCACGAAGCCGTACATTACTAACAACACCATTAAAATATCATCTTAAATGCGCTCACGCGCCCCGCACCATTTAAATATTAACTAAACAACCATCTAAATATACAAACTTAAAGGAATGGTTTTGTCGTGCATAGATTGGCGGTCGTGGCGGCCTGGTAGGTACATGTTGGTAGCGCCTCGGACGTGCCAACGAGCTGCGTTGTGGCGACGCGTTTAACGGCAACCACGCCAGGTAATCATGCACAGCCTTAAAACCAAATATAAACAAGTACTTAAACAAACACGCACTGAGCGTCTGTATCATAAGACGATGCATCAATAGTATGCTTTGCCTATCCCTCTAATCTTGTTCTATGGCTTTCATCCCATCTGAAACCCGATAAAACTTTTAAAACCGGATTATAAAATTAATGATAACCAAGGAGTGCGTAAAACAGTATACGTGGCAGTGTCGGTTCAAAGCTGGGAGACGTACCTACACCTTCATAGACTCAAGATGGCGGCATAAGTACCACATTACGTTCACTTTACAACGACGACACTGCCACGTGGACCTCGGCCGGTCACATGTGATATTATTTGAGGAGGGTACGATCGTAGAACATAATCAACATTAGTATATTTAATGTGAATTGCTTGCGTGTGTGTGTGTAGTAACTCTATTTGTTTATATTTTGTATTAGAGAACAATCGGTGTGTGTATCATAGCGATTCTGAAGGTTAAGGGTGTTTGTGCTTGGCGTAACAAAAGTATTATGTAATTATTTCATATGAATTCTTTATTTCTCATCATCCGTAGTTTAGTACCTGTCGTGTAGTAGAGTAGTGTTGAGTAGTGTTTGCATCCGAGGAAGTGTGATTGCGGATCCTTATACATTGGGTGTTACAGGGACCTACTTCAACTGCATTATGTTCATGGTAGCCTCCTCTGTCGTACTGACAGTTGTCGTTTTAAACTATCACCATCGAACCGCGGACATTCACGAGATGCCGCAATGGGTATGACGGAAACATAACGCATCACATTAATAGTCACCGAGTATTTTCCAGATCAAATCCGTGTTCCTCCAGTGGCTGCCGTGGATCCTAGGGATGAGCCGACCCGGTAAGAAGATCACGCGAAAGACGATCCTCATGAACAGCAGGATGAAGGAGTTGGAGCTGAAGGAGCGTTCCTCGAAGAGCCTGCTGGCCAACGTTCTCGATATCGACGACGACTTCCGTAGCGTTTCGGGGGCCGCGAGCGGCGGCAACAACGCCACCATGACCACCAGCCTCGGTCCGGGTTTCATAAGGCATCCGACGACAATAGAAGACACGGCCATCCCCGGTTCCGGCGGACAGCGCGACCTCCAGAACATCCTGCGGGAGCTGCAGTTCATCACGAACCGCATGAAGAAGGCTGACGAGGAGGCGGAGGTGATCAGCGACTGGAAGTTCGCCGCCATGGTGGTCGACCGGTTCTGTCTCATAATATTCACAATGTTCACGATAATCGCAACAGTTGCAGTGTTGCTGTCGGCACCTCATATCATCGTTCAGTAAAGGCGCTGAGGCCACGAACCGATTAAAGACGCGACTGTAGAGACTCTGAAGAACTTACTGTGATAAAACAGCAGATCGTGTCGGCAGTTCGGCACAAGCAGCAATGTGCAAATGTGCCTTCCCTGTGGAACATTCACGAGCTGTTAACAACTAAAAGGCAGGCACCTATGTGCACGTACATTGCTAAACGCTGCACACCGTACTGCTGTGGGGCCGTAGGACAAAGTACACCTGGTCGGAATGTATTCGCGACGCCCTTGAACGGACTCCGGACATGCCACGTGTCCCATCATTCCACACGCTATAATCACACACTAAACCGGTGCCGAGTCGGTACTTGTTATTCAGTACTTCGTGCAAGTAGCTAGTTTGGTAGAGTATCATTAGTTCGAGGTACACACGTGTCTGCCTTTTGTTCGCCCATTGATAAAAAAAAATAAAAGGTGTCCACCTACATTAAAACCTATTGTGATGAACTTCGCAAGATAATTAATAAAGTTAAATATAATGATGAGTTACCTAGAATAAATAGTATATAAATAACCTTAACGTGGGTAAAAACAGCGTTCGTTTTATACTGGACCAGGCGACCGGCGGGCTACGTCGGCCTAGGCGAGTCGCGGTTGTGCGGCCAAGCCGTCGTGTCCCATTTTTTTTGGCGCACACCCGCCAGACCCTAGCTCCGTACCGGCGTCGAGCTACGCCCAGTCGCTGTCCGCCGTGTTATGGACGCCAGGTGCCCGGCTAGTTTGGCCATCGGCCATCGGTTCTTCCAAATCTCACCCCCATCCGAGTACGTCATAGTGGAACACTCACACGCATACTCAATTCGTGCTTTTATTTTTTACCAACGATATGCTGCTGCGCCCGTCGGGTACATGGCGTCTAATCTCCTACTTTTATATCATGTATTTATACTAATTTATATTTAATAAACTTCGAATTTTTCATTACCATGACAAATTCTATTACCTAGTAATGGTGAAATGGATAACTAACCTGATAACTATAACAATAATATTGTTTAATTAATAACATATTAATTAACAATAGATTTAATACCATTTTAATAAAAAAAAAATGTTTCTTTGGGCATTTTATGATGTAGTAGTAATAATTATCAGTCACATATCTCTAATTTCGCCGTATAATCTCCCATTGGGCTATTTGGCTGCGACGCGACACTTTTAACTGCAGCTCCAAATGCGACCAAAGAAGAAAAATATCTCCTATTCTGAAATAGTCTCGTTAGATTACGGTCACTCGCTTTTTCTAATTCAGTCAACTATTTCTCGAATGAGAGGGACAATCGAATGAAGCGACCAAATAGTCTAGAACCGCCAGTTGTCCATCCTTACTTAGGCTAGTATCGCAGAGACGTGTACCCGATATTTAGAAATCGAAATATACAGTACCTAATGTTATCCCATCCCCCTAGCTTCATTCATTTAAATAAAATAAAAGTTATGCTCAACTATCACTTGCGTTGCGTTTGCTATATCATATGTTTATATTACGTTATCCTGATGCTGGAATTACAAATGATTATGTCGGATAAATGTATATGGTATGATTGAAAATAAAAGCAAATATCAGTTTTACCCGATAGCATTTTATTATCTCTATACCCTTTTCTACTACTACCGTTCCAATACACAGGTCGACGATATGTAACTGACTTCCTAAGCCACAAGGATACGCTTTTTTCAGAGATATTCTAACCTAAATGTGCCAAAAACACGGTTTGTAGCTATTATTTGAGGTTATGTTACACCACGCAACATTCTTCTACATAAAACTCGTTATGGCGCTCAGGAGTCTGCTGTACTAGAACTTTTCATGCTTATGGGGTCATAAGAATTATTGTGACCGTAATTTGGAAACTTTATTAAATTTTTCAACAAAAACAATGAATTCAATGATATAACTAATATTCATATTTTCGTCCTAGAAGTTTTGTGTAGTATTCCAAATTGTTTTAATTTCTAATTTCCCAAATTTGTTTTTATTCCGTCCGCCGCATTGGATCCGCCATTTTGAATTTTGTAATACTGTCTTGGGAGAACTGAGTGGGAATTTAGGTATTTGTAATTTCATTATTTTCTCTTTTTGGGAAATTTGGTGGTTTGTGTAATTACTATTTATATCAAACTTGTACGAAACATACTCGAACATTACATTAAAATTGAAAAAATGAAACAATATGCTCAAGTATTGCAACTCCTCAGGGCCCGGTACACAACTATAGCATCAACCTCTGTGCAGTATTTTGTACTGAGATAAGTATCCTTGAAAATGTCTATTCTTGATTCACAACATAGTACTTATATTTTTCAAAATCATCTTTGTATCACTCACAAATCGCAAATATACTGAGTAGTAAATATAATAGAACCTCGATAATACGAACTAATTGGGACCGAAGGTAATTCGGATTATCAAACACTGCTCATATGAAAACACGACAAACTCTGGTTTCAGTAATTTTACGCCCGATACTTACTCGCAATGAAAATTAACACGACCTGAACAGAAACCAATCAGATTCGGGTTTTAGGTCGTTCGGATTATCGAGGTTCTATGTAGTTAATCCTTGAATATACATAGGATGGCTTTTATTTAATTGGGTATTTGTAAACAACCCCTTATTAAACAAAAAAATGGAAAATGTTTAAACCCTGTTATATTTTTGCGAAACCTAATTTTTCGAATCACAACCCCTCTTTGCTATGTAATATAACACCTGCCTCTGCATCGATATGTTTTTAAACTTAAACGCCGAAAACCGATAAATTTTAAAATTATTATCTACGTACAGGCACGTTATAAAAATTTCCTTCCCCGCCTATGGTATCTGACGTCAATGATGATCCATGTGTACCTCAGACCGGGCCCTACTTATAACTAATGAATGATGTTACTTTAAATAATATTTACTATCAAAAAATCATGTCGGAAACTGCTACTGTGTAAATTGTAATGACGAATAAAGGAACAGTCTGAGATGTTGAGTTTTATTTTACAAATCCCGACCAGAAAAGATGTATTTAATACAAATGAAAAGTTTTAAAAGTGGGGAGTTTCATCACAACGTGACAACAGCGCTCAACCTAATACTACACAGCTGGAGCACACCGCGTGTACACGTGGCAGACTTGTCCAACGGAAAAAACGTAAACAGCTATTATTGTGAAACATTTAGTAAATTTCAAGACAATGTTTTCCAGTTTTTAAATAAATAAAATAAAATGTATCGATTTTGTAGTACGAAGATGGTGTTTTGCTTAAATTTTAGCTCGAATTTTAGTAAGTATGGATCTCTTAAAACAGGAACTTAACTTTTAATGAAATTATGAATTTGAAAAATATGTTATTGAAGTACCCACAGATTCACGTCGTCCAAATAATCATACGTATAAAAATAATATAGGGACTTACCAAAAAGCAAAATTCAGTAATTTTTAAACGCACAAGTACAAAACAAACTACAACATATGCGCTGGAAAACACCTCAAGAAAAGGAAATAGTGGTACGCAAAAACACCCAGACACGGTCCAATTCCAGATACCAACTGAATTACGTATTGCTTGACAGCTTAGTACATCTTTTGTACATCAAGTTAGATATTTTGATTTTTTTTCTCGGAAATGGTTGAGTTTATGACCCATGTCACATAAGGTTTTTGCTTATTTTAGTGTATTCTATCGTCTGTTAAAATTAAGGCAGTCAAACTTTTAACACCCTGTATATTGAACATACTGAAAGAGATTTCAGTAAAGAGAATGGATTAGCCGTAAAAGGTAAGTACATAATACACTCAGTATATTACAAAAGTGACAATCACATATAACATAGTTAATAGAATATCATAAAATAAAAATGCTCAAAATCTCTTCTGTATCCAAAAAATTGTAACTGCAAAGTCAGCTTTACTTAAGCATAGAAAAAAGCTGTTTATCATTTATGGTCTGGTTTCGTTTATTTACATCTCGCAGTTTGCTACAGATCACAAAAATCACTTACTCGATCGAGATTCAAAGCTCGAGCAATAATAATACTAACTTCAATTGCAATTAACACATTTCGTTTGTATTTTATTTTTTTTTAGAAAATACAAATATACCAATTTTCGAAGCATACCAATTTTTTCTGAAGTTGAGACTTATTTAAAAGACAATTATATGGTTTGTTACGGTAATCTAAAAAAAGTTTTTAGACTCGACTGAAAAACTACAAAAGGTAATGGTATATTCGTATTTCAAGATAATTATTTTTCTCGGCATCAGTCGTGTATAGATTCCAAGAAAACTCACGTTATACGACGACTTCACAACAGAACTGTGGCAAATTAAATATCAATCTCAGTAATACTAAGCTGAAATGCGAGAAAAAAATTCTTGGAATTCATTCAAGAAGTGTTAAAAAGGTGTAAACATTAAAAATTCTGCTACAGTTAATTCTGACCCAAAAACAAATGCGAAATTTGAAGAATGCTGCAAGGAATTCGAAACAAAGTTTTGGAATCCGATTAATTCCTCGCTCGCAAATGATACGCTTATATAAAATTAACCTTCGCAATGTTTAACTCAATTAAATCCGGGAACTTTTTAAAAGGAATAAATGCGGCGCAGAACCCAGAAAAATAATAAATAAAACATTACGCCTTCCTGGTAGAAAATATTTAAATTGCCTGCATGAATAAATCTGCTCAAAATCTAATTAAAACGCTGCATACAATGGACAAGCATAAATTGTTAGCGCCTATTCTGCGAAAATATGACAGAACAATTACATACCCCAACACCTGAACCCGCAAAAATTACCTTTGATTTTGAAATTTAATTTAACGACGAGCACCGATAAGTGTCGTGAGGCATCTACGTGATAACATGCATTTATAATAGACATGTCCAAAATGAATGAATGAAGTATTACTACAATAAAGCTATCGCATAAACGTATCAGTAAATCAGTGACAAAAATATATGAACGTGTTCAATAAAAAAAGAGTAAAGATTTTATCTAATGTATGCTGACTTGTCACGAATTCGGTGTGAAAGCACATTATAAAAGGATTCGTTGGAACAGATTTAACATGATGAATCCAGGCCTACAGAGATATGCCTGTAATAAAGGTGTTTTAAAAACAGATACGAAATATGAAAGGGAGAAATATTTTTAAATATTAACTTTCGCGTACATCCATTTTAGCAAATTCAGTTTCCTTGTCGCAAATAGTGAGACAGAACGTAAAAATAACGTATTCGTTCGAATCTTTTGTAGACATGAATATATGAAAACACAATCTTCATGTAAATTCCGATAGTAGAAGGTTAACCTAATTACGAATTAATGTATTCGTCACATTATGCACGTGTATAAAAATATGAACGACGATAGCGATGCGTTAGTATACCCTCCTAGTCGAATTTTGGCGGGAACCGGCCTCACGTAAAATTTACGCAGCTTTCGTGTCCACAACAAGCGCCTCAGTGTTTGGTTAAGCCTGTTTGAAGGGTGAAGTAAAACGTTTCATAATATTTGTTAACAGATAAGAAATAACTGCACCCTTAAAGGCGCATTCGAGTAAATAAAAACCGATAAGCGCATTGCCAGTGCCAGTAATACGGATGAAGTGAACGGAAGTCGATTATAAAAAAAAACTGGCCAAGATGAGCCAGCGTTGTTTTTTGTTGATTCCCGCGTTTCTTTGCAGTGCTTTGTTTTTGGTGAACGGTGAGTTGATTTAATAAAAACTCTTTAATTTAAGGTACATTTTTTTTAATACGGGCGATATTTTATAGTGGCCTTTAAAGCTCGGAATATTAAACAATGTTAATTTCGCTATTATGTCTGCACCATATTCATTACTATTCCATATATTCAAGGTAAATAAACGATATATTTGCGCCTCGGACTGAGGCGTTAAATCCCATTTTCTTTTAGGGCAGAAATAAAAAAAATATTGTGGTATTTGTGCCTGATACTGTTTTTACTAACCTTTCGATTTTTTATTTTTTTCAGAGACCGTAATTCACATTTCTTTTCAAATTAATTCGTGCTAATTTTAGACATGCAAAAATAAATACACTAATTTTCATAAAAAAAGTCGCTATTATTAGATTTAACGACTATTGTACAGTAAAAAATGAAGCGGTTAAGTATGGGTAGCTTTAGTATTTCCTCCAACATAAAACCCTATAATTAGTCTCACAACAAAACATGTGCTAGAAGATATTGCTACGCCACCACTACATCTGTAATTTGGTGCAAAACAAATTTTTAAAAATTAGAAATTAGATGAATATACATTTTCGGTTTACAATTATCTTCGAAAGTGGCGGAAATTTATTTTAACTAAACTTTCCAAAAGTGAAATTTATTTTAACTTTCAGTTAAATCAACATATCAAATTTAAATGTTAAGCATTTGGAAAACTGCAAAATTCCCATGGTTTTTTGGGCCCTAATGTTTACAAAGGTACTTGGGACAGCTTATTATTTACCAACTGATAAGTTAGTCAATATTAGCGTCAAAAATTTAACTACATATATGCATTTTATGAGATATTCTCAAAAATTGGATACAAGATAATGTGCACTCTAGATTTACCGTCATGTAAATATGTGAATATCAAATAAAACCTCTGGGATACGACGCTTTGATTATTCCTCTGGAGCCAAATATATAAACTGCATAATAATAATTCCTTGCAATACTATAAAATAAATTTACATAAAAAATTCTATTAATACGCTAGCAAGTTGGCGCTAAAAGTTAAATTTGTTGACCTCACAAAAACAACAAATAAAATACAGTTTCGACACGACAATTCAGAAAAGCGACCGAGTTTTCAAATCTTTAACCACGGCGAACGGTAATGATTTCAGGGATATCTCCCGATACAAGAAGACACTGTTGTAGTTTGGGTGCAAACTACTCTTCAAGTGGATCAGACTGTAAAAGCTTTCAGTCGCCCTTAACTGGAGTTGAAAAGGCAGACGAAACGACATGTTTGAAGGTGCTAGACGTTTGTTGCAAAAATCGTCATAGGTGGGTTAAAAATTTTATTTAAAAAAAATTACCAAGGGGTTTTTAAAATCTCATATTTCAGAGAATTACAATGTGAACGAGGAACGGAAGACGCGAAAAATGGGATAACTTGCTCGACCGACGACGGAGAAAGAAAAGTAATCAATAGTTTTAAAATATTAATGCTTTATAATTAATTCTCATTGCTATATTTAAAATATTTAAAACGATTTTAAGGACTGTTGCGAGGCTTGTCAAACTGGCATCGACACTGGCAAAGCTCGGTACCCCTGCCAAGATGATTTAGGTCTTAGACCACCGCTTGACAAGGTATTTGTAGGTTGTTGCGAAGATGCCGTCAAATCAACAACAACAACAACAACAACAACACCGACGACTACTACCAAAGCGGCTACCCCACCTTCAAGCGCAAAACCGTCGTATCCGAATCTCTTTCCATGTAAGGATAACTTATATAAGTAGTTTTTAACATTATAAAAAGTATACCTTGGAAATTATGTTCTAATCGAACAAAGTCCATACTCTCCTGTATGTAAAATCGAATCAAAAATGCCGTTCGTGGCATTCGCTCATACAATCAATTACGGGGCACTTCAAGTTTGAGCATTTGTCGTTCAATAGGCACCAGAAGAACACTTGAAACTCACATAGCAATGCTTGAGCACTTATTCAAATAATAAATGCTCTTCATTAATTGTTCAATTAATTAATGTACAAATAATTATTATTGGCGTGTGGTAAAGTGTCTATACATTGCAAATTAGCAATTATAGAAACGGCACAGCCCACGAGGCTTTCACGAAAAAAAATGTGTTTATTAAATTTTGGACGTGTCGTATTTCAGCTGCAGAAAATATATGCGATTCCGACGTATGTGCCCAGCTGTGTGAACCGGTAGGAGATTCTTACAAATGCGACTGCTTCAAGGGCTACATTCTCATGGAGGACGGTATTTCCTGTAAACCACAGAAAAGGGCCCTCAAAAAAGGTGGAAGGTAAATAAATAATTAATTACGATATACGCTCTGATTTTTTGTCGCGATTTCCCTTTCATCGGTGGAAGAAAATGGGAGTGCTTTGTGCAGAACACATAATTTTATTTTCATATTTAATTCAGTCGAAAATTTTGTTTGATAAAGATAAAATGCCCGAAGGCGAAACATGCTACACAGAATTAATTCGTAAGGAAACGAGATATCTTTCTAAGCTTTTATAAAGTGATATTTTCCATATTCTACGTCAACGAACTTGTTAAGGTAAAACCTATATTCAACTCACAATAATCGAGCTTAATAAAGCAACTTTGTCAAACTTTATATATTATATGGGGAATCGATAATTTGATTGATCACCCATTCCAGTGCTCCCAGATAATTCGCAAGTAACACTCGGAGGTATACGATTATCAGCCGCGGAAGATATTCGAAAAAATAAAGTTAGCACGAACAAATCATCCTGCGTATTATACAGGGCGGCCCAAAAAGACCAATAACTTTTCAAGATCAAAAGTTTTCCTGAATGTTATCGGAAGGTCTTTTTGGGGCACCCTATATACGCGACACTGAAACGTAAAAATACAAAAACTTTTCCAGATGTGAAACCAATAATCCCTGTGATCACGACTGCACAGACACCGGGACAGCTATAAAGTGTTCGTGCCGAGAAGGCTATAAATTGGCAGGCGATAACAGAACTTGTAAAGGTAATACCTGCAGATATTGCTCCTTTAATTGTTTATTAGGAGTTTACATCCGTGCACGTAAAAGTTTCATAGCATATACGATTTTTTTTTATTCGGAACATCGGTAAATTTTTTCAGACATCGACGAGTGCGCGCTAAACATTCACGACTGTTTGGCTGGAGAAGAGTGTATCAACGAAATAGGCGCTTTTGCCTGCTACGAACCCAGTTTTACAGACGAGGAAGAAGATTTCGACAAGAAATGCCCGCCTGGTTACAAATACAACTTCGAGAAACAAGTATGCGACGGTAAAACCAAAACACAAACAAATCAACGATTGTATTATTATAACATCGGTTATATTTCCAGATATCGACGAATGCATGTTCGAACTGATGTGTGTTGCACCAAAAACTTGCAAAAACACCATTGGGTCTTTCACTTGCGAAGGGGAAGACACTCCTCAGTGTCCCCCAGGGTTCCATTTCAAAGCATCTACACAGTCTTGTACAGGTACTTTAACATACATATTTAAAACCACTGTATCTACATTTCCATATTCATTTCCAGACATAGACGAGTGTTTAACAGGAGAAAACGACTGTAACAAAGAGTCGCAAGTTTGTCTGAACACAAAAGGGAATTATACGTGCATAGACAAAGCTTCCAGGAACATGTGCCCCCCTGGCTTTAAGAAGAATACGCTAACTCAGCTTTGTGAAGGTAATTTAGTCTAGTTAGAAATTGAAGGTTGTACGACAATTACAAAAAAAAATTCCAGATATCAACGAATGTGAGGAAGATCCAGATTTGTGTAAAGAAAACGAGGAATGTGTCAACGAAGAAGGTGGTCATACTTGTATTCCAGTGAGCACTACAAAGAAAAGACCATCGACAACTCCTACGACAACGACAACAACCACCAAACAGCCCACCACCACCAGCACAACTACAACTACCACTACCACCACCACAACAACAACCACTCCAAAACCAGTAATTTGTCCGAAAGGCTACAAGTTCTCTCGATCCAGCAACACTTGTGACGGTAAACACGTTCGCCTTTCCCTAACGCGGACCTACTAAAACCCGTTCTGACATTTCCAGACATCAACGAGTGCAAGGAAGACCCAGAAATCTGTTCAACCAGCGAGGAGTGTGTCAACACCATAGGAAGCTTCCAGTGCAACTGCAAAAAAGGCTACGCCAAAGACGGCTTGACGGGAGCTTGCGTTGGTACGATACCCAAACAATCCAATCCCCCTTCCGAACATTTTTCAATGTTTCAGACATAAACGAGTGCCAAATAGGAACCCACGACTGTCAAGGAGCAGAAAGGTGCGACAACACCATAGGATCGTATCACTGCTCAAGGATATTTGGTTGCGGTACTGGTTATACACTAAACTACGCCAACGGACTGTGCGAAGACGACGACGAATGCGTCTTGGGAACGCACAGCTGCAATCAGCTGGGATCCAACTTTAAGTGTAGGAACATACTGGGATCGTACCGTTGCGATCCTGTCAAGCCAAAATTCAGACCGGCTCCTCCGGTCTTTATCCCTCCCCCAACAACGCTTAGATCGTTCCCGACGCCACCTAGCGTCCCAATAACCAAACCTAGCACTACGCCTAGCACGCCAACAACCGCCAGTAGCCAACCAACGGAATCACGCACGCCTACGCAAGCGTATATCCCTCCCGTCAGGACTTCAGTGACGAATTCGAGGACATATCCAGTTCCTGCCTATTCCATACCTATTTTCAGGCATTTTCCCACCGTGCCACCTAAGCCCCAGGAAAGCTACACTCCCAGGAACGTGTATCCCGCGTATCCACCCACTCAAAGGTATCCCGTCATCAGCGGGCAACTCAAGAAATGTTTGCCGGGTTACGTGATGAATTCCAGAGGGGAGTGCGAAGGTAAAGCTCTAAAAACCACCGATGGGTCAGCGTCAATAGTCAATTGTTTCAGATATAAACGAATGCGATAACAATCCATGCGCAAGGCACGAGAAATGTCTCAATTTCAATGGGAGGTATGAATGCGCTTCCCCGATGCAGTGCAAAGTCGGCTATGAACTGAACGATGCGGGAGACCAGTGCGTTGGTAAGATAAGAACAGTACCAGTGGTACTGAATTCGATGAGTCCTATCGTAAGCTTAAGCCATTGGCATGACTTAATCTTCTATCATACCAGTTTTCTTGGTCAGAGAAAAAACACAATTAAGAGTTTATTTGAAAATATTGGCAACCAGAAAAGAATTCTGGATACCCTGTATAAAATACTTTTAATCTAACATCATTTTCATATGATGTACGGGATACTGAAATTAGAATTACCAAATAATTCTAATTTAAAGTTGTATGGAGTACCTACTTTAGTTGGTTAAAGAAAATTAATGGTATTCCATTTAAAAAATACACCCCGTCAAATTTCAAAACGTGCCTAGATATTTTTTTTCTGATCAAGAGCAAGTGCCAATATTATATACCGGGTGATTCAGTTTGGTATTCGTGGCCCTGTATCTCTTTTATTTTAACAAATAGCTTTAACAAACCCTATATATATTTTTAAATCGCCCCCAAACTCTATCAAATGACATTATTAGATCGTCTCCATGGTAAAATATGTCAAAATTACTATATTCAACTGTTTTTGTTTAAATGGCATACACTTTTTATGTATTTTTATGTCAATTCTGGAAGATATTTTTTCTGCGTTCAGCTATGTTTCATTAGAATTATTGCTAGAAAAACAGCAAAACAGATTAACACTATTTTCAGTAGCTTTATTGTGAAAAATGGTAGCCAGCTGCGGAAAAAACTGAATTTTTACGTTTCTAAATAACGGCTTGTCAAAATAATTAATATGTTACCATGGAGACGATCTAATAATGTCATTTGTTAGTGAGAAACGGGGCCGCGAATACCAAATTGAATCGCCCCGTATATACAGGGTGTAAGAAGTATGACTGCCATAACTTCAGTAATCATAAATGAACAAAAAAGTTGTATATTACAGGGGGGGTAAGATTAACAGTTTTCAAAATACAGCGAGTATTAATATTGGGGAGTTTCATCACAACGTGACAACAGCGCTGCACAGCTGATGCACACCGCGTGTGCACGCGGCAGACTTGTCCTACGGAAAAAATGTAAACAATTATTATTGTGACACATTTAGTAAATTTCAAGACAATGTTTTCCCGTTTTTAAATAAATAAAATAAAATGTATCGATTTTGTAGTACGAAGATAGTGTTGTGCTTAAATTTTAGCTCGAATTTTAGTAATTATGAATCTCTTAGAATAGGAACTTAACTTTTAATCAAATTATGAATTTGAAAAATATGTAATTATTAAATGCACAAGTACAAAACAAACTACATACGCTCAAAATTTTTTTTTCTCGAAAATAGTTTAGTTGAGGACCCATGTCGTATAAAGCTTTTTCGTTTATTTTAATGTATCGTCTGTAAGGCAGTCAAACTCCTAACACCCTGTATAGTATATTACTCCAGTCGAATACGATCATAAAATTTAAAAACTTGAAAAAATTATTAGTAAACATTTAATTGCAGTTTATGATGGATAAGGGTGCGTAGAATGATAATATCTAAAAAGTAACTCGAAAGATGCGACGCCAATTTGGCAAATTGCAAGTAAGTGGCAAATTTACGTGTTTTTTTTTTTTACTTTATTTACTGCTTACAAAAATCTAGACGACCTATCGGAATGTTAGTTACTTTATATTGTAGGCAAATAAATTACCTACAATTTAAGGTACCTAGAGTCATTTTTCTCCGATTATTATTGCAAATATTTGAAAATGTTTAGAAATGGCGGAATATCGATTTATATGTAGCTTCAACGAACCTTTGCGTTATTAATAGGAGTTGCTCATATTAAACAATAGGGGCACTAAAACGCTTATGTACACTTTAAAAACATTTATTCTATTGTTTTTATGTTATAAAACCCTATACGAGTAATTTTTTTACTTGTATTTGGCTAATTTCTTACGCAAAAACCTTGTATTCAGCAAATACGGGTATTTGATCTGGGACATTGTCGAATTTACTTAGGTTAATCATCGTATTTGGCAGATACCGGTATTTAACGTAGGAAGTCTAGCTATTAATTAAATGAAATAGCAAAACATTATTTTTCAAGGTAGGTACTTTAATTTAAAAAAAAAAAACGAGAACAAAATGTGTAATTATTAAATATTATAGATATTCTAATTGAACCAAAGAAATTTATCCAAAACGAAAGTTTTCAGTGTTGAAATTAAGTAGCCCTTTGCAACTAACAAAGTACCTAGGACGGATAAAACGGCGTTATAAGCAAATTGTCCGAGGATCAGGCAAAAGCCGCTCGAGAATTCGCTCTTTTTGCATGAAATAGAGCTTATTTTTACGGTAATTAAAAAACCCGAGAAACCACCTACGCCTTTAATCCCAAGGCACCTTTTTTATTTTACAGTTAACAAATTAGTGAAAAATAAGTCGTTTAGATTTTCGTGGGCAATAAAAAAAGTTGAAAAAAACACGTAAATTTTTTGCCACCGATTTGCAATTTGCCAACTTAGCGTCACTTCTTCTCCGTCATAAAGTGTAAGAAAATGTCTACTAATAATGTTTTCGCGTTCAAATTCTAATTCGACTGGAGTACACCTGTACTTATACTATTATGAAATAATGAGGTCAAATTTTAATGGGACATTGAACTTTAAAATCGACAGGATTTATTTAATGCTACACTAATAGGTGCATTTATAAAATAACAAGCCAAATCCTATTGTTACGTTGCACAACGCATAATATTCGCAGTGCTCGTCCACTTTGTTGTAGAATCCTCTTATTGTTAGCTTTGGTAGGGTTTTAATTTATTTACGAAATGGGTAACGTCGTTTTCCTAACTACATATAATTATTAACTTAAATCATTCACTATTTCGGATATAAACTGAATCCCTCGGTTTATAAATCGCCACCAAAAAAATTCCAAAAACTTTCGGTAGGTATCCGCTTTCTGAATTCAAATAACATGCTAACACTCAACTATTTCCGCAGACGTAAATGAATGTGCGCGGGGGACACACAAATGCCACGCGTCTCAAATATGCAAAAACGGCAAAGGCTATTACACCTGCGAATGCCCACCGGGACATCATCTCATGAGGTCCACCCAAACGTGCGAGGATATGGACGAATGTAAATTGTTTAGAGTAAGTTTGTCACCGTTACTGCCGAGAGTGGTTATTGCCTGACCCAATTCCTCTTTCTCCAGCCTTGCGACGCGAATGCCGAATGCGTCAATACGAAGGGTTCGTACCGTTGCGAATGTAAACACGGCTTCAGAAAAATTAACAACATCTGCAGTGATATAGACGAATGCAGGGAGACGCACGGACTGTGTGAGCACAACTGTGTAAATATATGGGGATCGTACCGATGCAGTTGCAGCCCGGGATTTACTCTCAATTACGATAACAGGTACAGATAAATCCAAGTCTAATCACTGTTACGTTTACTTCCTGTTTTAGAACTTGCACCGACATAGACGAATGCGAAAGGTTCAAAGATAGGAAACTGTGCATTGGGACTTGCAAAAATATCCCCGGAAGCTACGCCTGTGACTGTCCGCCTGGCTACAAATTGGGAGGGGATGGACGTATATGTATAGGTAAGCGTTACGTTTTTATTCGTTTGTCGATATAAAAAAAAAGAAATATCTCGCAAACTTTTATTAAAGGAAATATGTCCCAATGGTTTTCCAGAGATTTATTTTCATTTACTTTAGCCGCTGATATATTTTGGTGCGAGAAGAGAAATTTTGTATTGGCTATTTATTACCGCTGGATTTTTAAGATACGTACTGCAGTGGCGGCTGGTGACATTGTGAATAGGTGAGGCCCGTGCTTTTTTTACTAGGGGCAAGAAAGGAAAAAATCGCCGCAGGCAAAAATTTTCAAATTTCCAAGGTCAAACGACTATATGCATCTTCATGCAAAAAACATTTTTGCTTAAAATGTACAACATTTGTTTTTAAGGTATCGCACGTTTAATATATATCGTTTGTTTAATACAAAATTGAATAGTTTTGATCAAATGATTATATATATACATACTTATTTTAAGAATATATTTTGTTTCAAACTCAGTCTCACAACACCTAGTAACAACAGCTAGTATCGTTTGTAAGTTTAACCAACCAGGCATAGGCCGGTTTGGTTGGGACTTATAGATGGTCCTCATCATTATGTGGTTTGAACTTTGAACGATCCAGCTACTTTAGTGACGTTACTCATAATGAGATGTGTATGCACAGAGCGTAAATGCTGGCTCCATCTATCGTGGTACTTCCCACCTACACCATTCTGTGACCTACAATTTTCTTTCAAGAAAACATAAGTTTGATTATAATATGCTACATTTGTCTTGAATAATTCCTACATTAATACTAAATTTTAAATATATATGTATAATTTAAGGAACTGGTAGTTTTGAAACAAATATGTTTGCAGTTTATTTATAATGAACTGTAAGAGATAATAAATTTCAAAACTATACAAGATTTGAATTAAATTATATTATATTTACAAATAATATAAATTGTAAGAAAATTTATAGATTTCAGCAAATATTTCACATAGTTTGACGAAAGTATGTATATACATTTGAATAGAATAAAATAACATTTACGGCAAATAATTCCATTTAAAATTATCTGCTCATTTGATCCAAATACTTTTTTTTTTCAGTGTGGAAATTTTTAGTTGCATTTACAATATTATACAAAAACTGATGTTGGACATTTTATTAATCCGCTCTCAAATAATAAATAGGAATAAATTTCCACGTCAGATTTTATTATGGAGATCTTCGCCAATAGCCCTACTATAACCATAAATTAAAAAATTATATTATTAATAATAATATCAGAACTTTGAAAATTGTATTTACAATAAAATTAAGTTACAGAAAAAAGAACAGTGATATATTTACCTAATAATTAACAAAATTGTTCGTACTTGGTTTATGGTTTATGTACATATGAAAACAAAAAATATGAAAAAATAACTATTTACATATAAAACAACGCCACCAGCTTTTCGTTTGCGTCCATTTTTAACAAAACATTATAAAAACATAGTGAATGTTTTTTATAAAACAGGTTTATTCGTCCGTCTTTTAAATTTGCAAAACTTAATAATGTCTTCATAAAATTGAGGATCGACACTAAGACTTTGCAATAGTTCTTTTTCTATCGTCATCACTGATAAGTTGTTTAGGCGCTCGTTTGTCATCATATTTCTAAGTCTTAATGCGCTTAAGACACAAAAACTTTCTTTCTACCGAGACACCAAAATACCATTTTAAATTCCTTGTATAATATTTCTATCGTTTTTTGAACTTCTACATTACGAAACTGTTCGTCTCCGTACAAAATATTAAGTTCGTTTTTCAACCCATCTATTTCAAAAACGTTTGGATACATTTGCAATAAAAATTCAAACGATTTTTCAGGAAACTTATTTGCATATTCGGGAAATTTAATCTATTCAAGCAAAAAAATTGAATCATGTAAATTCCCAGAACGAGTAGGTACTTAATTAAAGGGAAATATATTTCGAAAATACATATTTCTAATTCGTCGCAACTTTTGCCCCGTTTACTTGGTAGCCCAGTAAAATTTTTCGCATAATCAAAAATATTTTTAAATTTTTCTTCGTTTCTTAATTCAGAAATTCTTTGACTAGTGATTTTAATTTGTTAGAGCAGTAGTTTACGTCATTACGTCTTGAAAAAAAAGGGTTTCAAGAGATAAAACAATACTGTGAGATAGATACATTATTAGCTATCTATGTAGGCATTTGATAATATAATAAGAATCTATTAAATTACGTTAAATTTAGTCTTACTTTGTTTTGTTGTAAGGAAGTTGTTTTTTATTTACTTTAAATTAATACCTGCCTTGTCCTTATCCTTAAAGCCTTTGTACTATCCCTCACACTACCCGCGTACTATGCGACGCGTACATTAACCGCGAACTGAAACTATAAGCAGCTCTGAGCGGGCCTCAGTTCCTGTAAATCACGTTATTTTAACCGCCTCGCATGGAGGGGGAACTGTATCATACTGTAGGCAAGTGTGACGCGCCTACAAAAAAAGAAATTCTGGCCAATGTAAATTTGAGATTAAAAAATTGGGAATTATTTCATTTTATCTCCTTTCCGTCTCGTCTTTTAATTCTCTGCTTTACCGCCTTGCGTTGTTTTTCAGATATCGACGAATGCGAGCAGAGCAGGCCGTGCAGCCCCGAGGACGTGTGTCTAAATACTAGAGGGGGTTACAAATGTTACCAGATTAAATGCCCTAAAAATTACGTTAGAGACAGCGAACAAAAACCGTAAGTATGAACTATTTATTTGATTCCACAGTCGCACTGTTCATTATTTCAGTCACACGCTACACTGAAAATGAAAAAGATTGGGGGCGTACGTTTATTCAGATCACCCCGTACGGCTGAACATGAAAATGTTTTTATTTAAATCTTCGAATAACGGATAACATTTTCGATCCGCCAACGTAGAGGTACCCTCATGTAATCACGGAATATTTCAACTTTTATTCATTCGGATCGCAGTAATGACCTAAATTAGAAAACTCCAGGCAAATTAGAGTTTCAAACTTTGTTATGGAGTTTAAAAGCATTCGGATAATTCATTTTATATGTTACAGGGAATTCATAGAAAAATGTTTGCAATAACAGAAAGCAAAATCAAAAGTCAAACAAACTTTTAATGGACTTCCCAATTCTGTTAGTTAACTAGTTCTCTATCAACGTACCATCTTATTAAGGAAGACTTAGTGTTAGGCTGAAACTCCTTTTTTCATATACAGGGCGTCACAAAAGTGGTGTAACCATATTATTTTCATTAAACGTTTCAATTTATTTTGGAAACCCTGTATACAACGTATTCCAACAGGGTTCTATTCCGTAGCGACCGAATCAAAAATAGTCGTTGCCGAACACAACTCATCTCATAGTTCGTTCTGAATATGTTGAAAGCAGACATTAATTAATGTAACATAAAACAGATCTGATCATTACAGACGATGTAAACGACTTCAATCTGTGTGCGATTCGAGAGACAACCAATGCCTATTGATGCCGGAACAATACACTTATCAATACATGACATTGGTTTCTAATCTGCCGCTGCCAGAGGGGCACATTCAACTGTTCCAGATAAAAGGGCCTCAATGGACCTTAGCGAGGGCCGAATTTTCAATGAAGCTCCTAGACGTCACTGCCCCGTACGGCATCGAGAAAGTAAACGAACATTTCTTCCAAAAAATAAACAACCACTTTAACAGTATGCAGTTGTACCTGATTAAGAAAGTGGCAGGTCCGCAGGAGATAAAGATCCAGATAGAGATGCGGCTCTATCAAGGCAACAGCATAATTGGAAACGTGGTTGTCTATATCATCATTGTAGTCTCGGAATATCCGTTCTAGTTTTAATGCTTAATTTCATGTAAATTGTATATTTTCCCGCTTATGTTAAACAGAGCTTACACGAAGCGCGGTGCCGCGCTTTTACTTAGATGTAAGTTTTATTGTAACGAGTATTTTGTGAATAAACGATTTTTTTTTAAATACTAACGACTTTACTGTGTTACAAAAGAGATTAATCAAAACTGACTAGTTTACTTTGAAGATGCCTCTTCGCTCGGGCCTTACAATTGCCTGATATTGCGAGTCCTAGTCTATTGTGGGATACGAACAATCAATAATGAAATCTGCGAGTGTTACTAATAGACTCCATTAGCGCTCGGCCGTAATCCATCATTTGATTTCTTCGAAAAAATGCAACAGCTCGAGGATAACTTTTCTGGGGTACGGGGATCCAGGAGCGAATTCGACATACTTCAAGGATAAATCAAGTTACATCTTTGTGAAATTTTGTTTACTTAGAAAGTGTGTTAAAAAACTACGTTCACACTCCTACACCTCGTGTGTTACCCTTTAAGCTAAAGCATAATAAATGGCTTGTAGTATTTTAAAAATCGCTTTATTTAATGAACGAATATGAGAATATCGATCGATTCCTCGCGCCAGGATGTGAATTTCACGATTCATTAATTCGCGGGATATTTAGGAACATTAAAAACTTACGGGGCGCTTTTGTTGTATCACCCGACGATTTTTTAATTTAATACATATAAATCGAAATATGTTGTTACTTTAATTAATTAACGTGGTTGTGATTACGCTTGTTCGTTATCCTGGTGCGCTATGTCCGTTTTGTTCGGATTCATTCGAAGTGATGTAAATGTGTCTGACAACAGGCCCTTTTTCTACGTAAAATTAATTATAAATTAATCCCTTTACGGAGATGTGCACACGAACGCGCTTTTTTTGCCGAGGCGTCACGGGGAAAAATTGCGTTTTTAATTAATACCAACTTAAAATATTAACCCAGCGAGGGACAATGTAATAAGATAATATCTAGATGAATTCATTAAAAGGTACACATCATTTTTATTTCCCTGGCAGGCAAATTAGTGCGTTTTGTGTATCCCAATAATCATAACAATATAAAAAAAAAACATATCGGAAATAGATGAAGTGGCTCGAAATAGCGTTTTTTTTCTAATTAAAAAAAATTGTTTTAATCAAAAAGCTATACTTACAAAGAAATTTAAAATCGTGAAAACATTCAAAGGTACGATTTGAAACTACTTTTCCCTTCCCTTTGATGGCTTCTCAAAAAAATCGAAACATGGGTGAATTTTGAACATGAGGAAAAAACACGTTTCTGATGTCCTTTGAAGTTTAAGTTTTCCTGGATACTAAATTAGACTTGAATAAAATGATTTTAACGAACATAATATACAAAAGCTATATCTATAACAAAATTTACAACCATGAAATTTCAAACTATGAAATCCAAATCCAGATAAAACCATTCAAGACATTTCAGACCCCTTTTTTCTTTAATTTGATGGTTTCTTAGAAAAATAGGAACATGGGTGAATTTTGAAGCGCCGCGCCGTCAAGTAAAATATCTCTCGCGTGCAGGCCCTTTATTAAGTTAACTTTTACTGCTGGTAGCGCGGTCATTACATGAACTATCGATGTAAAACTTTCTGAAAATAAAAGTTTAACCCTTTCTTTAATTGTCTCTAAAATCCCGCTCCGTTACCTTGAATGGTTAATTAACAATTAACGTTATAAAAAAGCTATCTTGGAAACAAAGACGCGTAAGTGATTTCTCTTCTTTTAAAAGTTACCGCAAAATTAAGCTCTATTTAATGCAAAAAGAGCGAATTCCCGAGCGGCTTTTTCCTGACCCTGGGACCATGGGCGTAGGGTACAATTTTTGCTTGAGATGGGCATATCTTTACGTTTAGTAATTAAACAATTAGTTGCAAAAAAACGAACGAAATTAATTAACAAATATCTGAAGCAACAATTTCACGGTCAATCGAATCGGCCTTTGGCACACATGTTGGTCTTTGGATTGACCGTCTTTTCCATAAATTTCATCAATATCCATGACTTTTTGCAATAATAAGGCACAATTTTCGAAATCTAATTTTTCCGCGTTCAACAAATTGGTGAAATATGACTAGGTACCTTAAATTGTCGGTAATTTAATTGCCTACAATTAAAGTTATAAAAAAATAGATATTTTGGAAACAAAGAGGCGTAGGTGATTTCTTTTCTTTTAAAAATTACCGTAAAAATAAGCTCTATTTAATGCAAAAAGGGCGAATTCTCGAGCGGCTTTTGCCTGACACATGAACTATAAGGGTAGCTACAATTTTTTATTGAGGTGGGCATATCTACGATATTAACTTAATTAATGTATAGTAATTAAACAATTACTTAGTGGCAAAAAAACGAAAGAAATTAATTAATAAATACCTGGAGCAACAATTTCACAATTAATCGAATCGGCGTTTGGCGCACATATTGGTATTTCAATTGACCGTCTTTTCCATAAATTTCATCAACATCCATCGCTTTTTGCAATAATAATGAGCAATTCGCGTTCAACCTTTATTTTACAGTCAACAAATTGGTGAAAATACGATTTTAGATACCTTCAATTGTAGGTAATTTAATTGCCTACAACAGAAAATGACTAATTTTCGGATAGGTGGTCTAGATTTTTGTGGGCAGTAGAAAAAGTGACAAAAATTTGCGACTTATTTGCAATTTGCCAACTTATTGTCACTTCTTTCGAGTTACTTTTTTGGTATTATCATTCTACATACCCTTCCCCGTCATAAAATGCAAGAAAATCTACTAATACTTTTTTCACGTTCAAACTAATTCGACTGGAGTAAAATTACGCAAGAGTAAAATGATTTTCAACAGACAACACAGGATCTACAATTTACCGTCAAATCTAATGCTTAATTTCAGTATCGGTCAGCACCCAATGTATCATATTTATTTTCTTGGCAGGTAAATTTGTGTGATTTCTGCAATGTACAGAGTGTTGCGTTACGAGGGGTCCACATTCTAGTAAATACGTTGTAATATCATAATAGAGATAGAATGGTTGACATAGTCACACACACAGTACTACTAAAAAAAATTTTTTTGAGGTTCCTACGAAATATGGTGCATGGAATTAAAAAAAAAACCTTTCTCATTTTCCTTGTCGTTCAAGTTTTCCAAGATACAAAGTTACGGGAGTGTATACAAATTCCAGCAAACGTGACAAACAAAATCGACAATTTAACATCAACCCTAATGCTTAATTCAGCATCGGTCGTCGCCCAATTAAAATAATTGGATTTCCAGTTTGCGGGCACTAAATTTGTGACTAGAAAATTTTAATAATCAACATTCCGAATACGATATAAAATAGGTTTTAAACAACATGTGGACATAAATTCTATAATGAAAAATGATGACAATAATTGCTATCCATCGATTCGTCCTGGATGTATATTTTGTTATTCAAAAATAATAATTGCGACTGAAAAAACTACACCGACCCTAGATTTATTTACGTCATCGCGTGGGCGGGGAGATTTTTTTACAACAAATGATTTACGTAGTTCATATTTGCACCTTCCTTTTTTTTTTTTTTTGTTTAATTTCTGAATTATGATGAACCGTTACCAGATTCTGCACCACAATTTTCGAATTGTATTACCAGGGCATCATAACGACGCGAGAGGTTGGTTTGTTGAGGCAGGTATCTACTGCCACCTAACGTTAAAATCGCTACTTTTCTTAAATTACAATAACCTACAAATTCGTTGCATAAACGAAAAATCCATTTATATAAGATCTAAAATTAACATCGTTGTCTTCCTCTAAATAAACCTTGTATTGATTTTCAAAAAAAAAGTTTACAGTTCTCTGTTTGACTCTAGTACACTCGAGTGTACGATGCTTACTAGCAGATGTCGGGCACATCGGGAACAAGAACGTTACATAATTCTTTATTCAACGTACGCAGTTTTCTGTGTGGCATTATCAACCCCTAAGTTTGTTTTATTCAATTTTTACAAGAATGCGCTTTGAAATTTTCGTTCACGAAAAACAAGCCCCAGTAGCGCCGACACCTGAATTCTTTTATCATAATCAAAGCAACGACTAAGTGCTTGAAAAATTAAATTTATTGAACGGTTAAAGAGAGGTAGACGACCTGGGGTAACATTGGTCATAAACAACAAATGTATTTACCTCTACAGGTTATTTTATTACATTACATGCAGGTAGAAAACTGAAACTTCCTAGAATGCAATTCTTGGGAAATGGCCCAGGCATAGATCCTTTCCATCGGGACCTATTGATTTATTGATCAACAAATAGTTAATCTCAAAATATTTTTACCTGAGTTTCGACCCTCTACCTTCGAGATTTGGTTTCCGCAGTTTTGTCACATTTTGGAACACAAAAAGCTTTACGAATATACAGACAATTTTGTTTTTCGTGGCACCCTGTATAAAATATATGTGAAACGAAGGAAAAATATTGAAAAAATGCGTTATATACAATAACTTAACTACGTATAATTATTTATTGTTTTTTTTTTAATGGAGATACGCAGCTAATTTGTTTGTATTGTTATGTTTAAACCGTTCCCTGTTTGACAAACCAGGCCTACGACCCCTGCCAGGTGCAATACCACAGATGACAAACTCAGTGGCGAACCAGTGGTTCGCGTAACAGCGGACAACTGGCGAGATATATGGCACACCGGCATGAATAATGTTGAAAGATAAAAATGTTACACTGGACGACAGATCCAAAATAAAAATGAATATTTTCAACGAAGTAATATACAGAATAGCAGAATATTGTTATCTAACTTCGGATGTTAACAACATTAGTAAAAAAAAAAAAAACAAGGGCCATTTAAATTTAATTGGAAGCAGTAGATAAAAGTACTATTTTAAAATTATTTGTAGAAATTTTTCAAAAAATACTGACAAATATTAAGAGTTTTTTGTTACACCTATGGCTTTTAGGTCTATTTTACATTAGAATGGTTAGATTTAGTCTGTCACGTATGCAGACGTGTCATTTGTTGTTGCTGGCATTTATCATGGTTGTGAATAATTGTACAAAGAAAAATATAATGGATTTGCTTCAAAAACTGGACGAAATATAATACTGTGTCAAAATCTGTTTTTATTGTTATAGTAAAGTTTAACTTAGTATGCTCAATTTTTATTAAAACAGCATTTTATTAGAAGCTGCGGCCAAACAAATAGTTTTTTAATTTGCTACATGCCATTATTTAACAAATGTTAATATTAAAAAGGGCAGCGGATCTGCTCAGGACATTTTAGAAGACATATTAATGTTTTTCCTTATTTCCACTACAATCAGCGTTCATTTGAAAAAATTATTTTAAACAGCATACACTGATAAAAATTGTGGCAATTAACATTCAGAATGCCTTGTCCGTATTCCTATTATTTTGTGTTTTACTATATTTGATGTAAATAAAACAAACGAAGTGTGAATTTACCCTGACCGGTTTGGCTCAACCAATACGATTAATTCACGTGATCTCCCGGTGTGGTGTTGTCGTGTGTGTGAGTGTAGGGCTCCCAGCTAGCGGTCTAACACACCACCTGTTTAGGTGTTTAGGCTCATTTGTTACGCTGTAAGGCAGTATGGTATTTTAAATATAATTTTATTATAAACAAATACTGAGATAAGTAAACAATACGACAAATATCAATATTAACCGTATTGACCTTTGCCTAACTTTTACGCACAGGCCTAACGTTGTAGCTTTACTATTAAGACCTATTTTTGTGATTGTTTTGCATATGAACAATTTAATGCTGAAAGGAGTGGATATTACCCTCTAAATGGTTAAAATAACCTCAGTAAAGTTAATCTTCATGAAAATAAATGAAAAATTAATTTATTTTAAATCAGAAATCAGAATCAGATTTTTTAAAATAAAAATTTTTAAATTTAAACAAAGAAAGATGGAAACTTCACTAAAAAACGTATCTAAAATAAATAAATTAGGTACTTTGGTTCTTTACGGAAATTTCATAATATTCAGGGTGTTTCTTAATAACGTGCTAATATTTAAGGAGGTTATTCTTGGGTCCATTTTAAGAAAAAACTTCATATGAACATATGTCCTACAAGTCTTAACTTTTGAACTACAGGGTGCTAAAGTTTTAAGAAAAAACATTTTTTTATGATAAAAAAATTCAAGACACCACATTTGCTCATAAAGGAATGAGGATTTAAAAAATGATTTTTATTTTAAGAAAAAGCAGTGGCGTAACATATTTTTCTTCAAAAATATTCAATACAGACGCCACTGACAGATTCTGTACAGACGCCATTGGCAAAAATAATAAAATTGTTTGTGCATCAGAAAATGCATCTCGATGAATAGAAGGCGTGTACCAAATTTGAAAAAATATCTAGGGTAGGTAATACAAACGTTTTTTCATAAAACTTTAGCACCCTGTAGTTCAAAAGTTAAGACTTTTAGGACATATGTTCATATGAAGTTTTTTTCTTAAAATTGACCCAAGAATAACCTCCTTAAATATTAGCACGTTATTAAAAAACACCCTTTTAAGTTCGTTAATTTAATTTAAATCTGTAGGTCAAGTGCTAATATTTAACAAAACTGTTTAATTAATTAATTTAAATATTCTGTATTATTTTTTCATCGTAACAAGTAATCTAACTTCCTCAGTTGTTAAAACTACTACAAAATAAGTACAGAAAAAAGGAACAAATTCTTTATCATTAACTTTTATTAAAAAACCCGATAAACCAGATCCGTTTTTAATTTTTTTTAGCGAGCCATACATTTTTTTAATTTGTTGTCCAGTTTTGTACGGTTATTTCTTTCAGTGATTTGTATTACAAAAATTATATTTTTTGAAGAATTTTGAAGAACGTGAAAATAATTTTATTTAAAACGTAGTTTAACGTTTTACATTGGTTCAGTGGTCAAATAGCAACCAAAGCTAAGGTGCAGAAAAATAAGAAATATTTTCTATAAGAAGGATAAACTTTTAGTATCTTACTGAACGTGCTCAAGTAAGTACCGTGTACCAAACATGCGATTAGGTGTCGAAAATTAGCAGTAGTTACTGGTAGTAACCTGTTAAAGCGTTAGTCGCGAGTGCGCTTTTTTTTCAGATAAAACATTCGTTCTGCTAGCAAGTAAATTCCCGATTTATTTGGACTTAAATCTAAAATCGTCAGTTCCATGCGTCAGTAATATAATAAATAGAAAACGAATTCTCTTGTCCTAGTGCGGAGAGAGGTACAGGGCGTTTTGTATACAATCACAATCACATATTTCTTTATTTTGCAGCTTAACTTTTTTAATTAGTTCCGGTTTTTTAAGAACATTTTCAATAATACAAAGAGAATAACATTTCCAACGACTTAGTACTATATGAAGAAAAAAACAAATAAATAAAAAATGTATCTTTCACAGTGGACAATCATGTAATTGAGTAAAAAAAAGTTAATATAGAGCTGTAATTACTTTAATTTTAACTTATTAGATGCAGTTTTCTTCTACATTTGGCAATTTCTGAGATTCCGTCGAATTTAACACACTTTCGAAAAATTTCGTTACCTACATCATAAAAAAATTGAATTTATAATGTTTTCGTTCTCAGCTTTCATGTATTAGCATTTTTTGATAATCAGATTGAAAAACAAATTGTAGCTGTAATTAATAGGCAATTTAACACAACATTCTTAAGAGTACAGGTTAGAATTAAGAGCTTTAATGTATATTTGGAGAATTGGAAGAAACGATTAAAGATTCTGCAGAGGAGCTTAGTACAAAGTTTTATTATTTGCTAATTAAGTGATTATACCAGGTAGCCGGGTAGAATTTCCAACCCCGTTTGCCGGAGCGGCGAATTCGGCACCGGGGACAGTGCCGGCCCGAGCGGTTTAGTCGTGTCGGGTCAGAGGGAAGAGAAGCGCGACGGCCTACAAGCGCAGCACGAGGGTACGGGCGAGACGCGCGCATAACCACCTGGCGTCGCCCGCTCCCCCATTCACTCAACTATCGACCGGCTGGCGAGTTACAATTTCACCAAGAATACAAATCGAAATCGGAGCCCAATGACAAAGTCGGCACTGACACGGGACCCCGAATCGAAGTGAGCATGCGAAACGAGTAGCCCGGTCGGGAACCCCGGTGATAATGAACGCGAACGTCGTCGATGGGGATGTTGTTTTGTTACCGCTGTTTCCAGTGCGGCCGTTGGGATGGTCGACGCCGTCGTAAACAAAGTGAAATCCTCCAGTATTTTCCAGAGCGGAATCCGGTGTATGCCTCGTGTGCAGTGACGGCGGTGCGGGATCTTCCGGGACGTAGCCATGTGCGATGTAAGACGGTATGCGGATGGTGAGCGGCATCGACGTCGCCCCTGCCAGTAGACGACTCTTCGCCGTGATGGATAATATCGGCAAAATGATTGAACAGCAGGCACTAGGTGAACAATCGGTCGATTCTCCAGACAGTAGTGCGCATGCGGTAGTCGCCGGTGGCATGGAGACGCAGGTCGTCCGTATGAGGCTCGTGTCACGCGCCGTGGTGGAAAGGCGTCTTGTAAAACAAGAAGAAGCTGATGGCCCACTGTCCGTTATTGTGCAACCACAAGAGGAGTCCAGAGACTCGGAGCTCCTCAGCCCTGGGAAACTGTCGCCGAACTCCGTCAGCGTGGCAAGTATGATTGATAACAATGACTATCGCACCCTAAACCCAGAGCCCACGTACCAAACCTTAACCTCAGTAAACGGAAGAATGTCTCCTCCCGGGTACAGCCCCAGCTCCTCGTACGCCACGCTTACGCCGCTTCAACCCCTGCCGCCGATATCGACGATGTCGGACAAATTTGCATATGGACATGCCAGTAATGTCACCGGGTCGTTCACTGTCATGCAGAACAATAGCCTCGGCGGAATTGGCCTAGGACTCGGGGTGGGTGTCAATTCCAACACTCCTTACACCATGACGAACATGGGCATGACACCACCGCACAACTACTCATCCCCAGGAATGGGGATGCAACAACAACCCAGTCCCATAAGCCCGCAAAGCACGTACAGCCAAAACGGCCTGCCGTCACCCCAGAAAAGCATGTCGCCTCCTAGTTACGATTCGCCCTACGGCAATCAACGGGACATGGTGACGCGGTTGCACAGCCCACAACAACTGAGTCCACCATCGGCGTCTCTGAACTCTCCTGACGGCACGTTGGTGACTAGTTTTAGTGGTACGACCTTAAACGGACTAGGTTTACAAAACCACCCACCGACGTTAGTGCAAATCGCGCCTCCCCCACGTGACTGTTCGCCTTCGCCCCCAGTTGTTACCCTCCAAACGGCTCCCCCCGTGTCGCAACATCAGCAACAGCAGCAGCAGCAACAGCAGCAGCAGCAGCAACAACAACAGGCCCAACAGACGACGATGCAGATAACCACCAAGAACGCCAGTCCCGGTTCCCTGAGCGTACCGGCCATAGCTGCGGACGTGGAGGAAATTAATACCAAAGAGTTGGCCCAGAGAATAAGCGCCGAACTGAAGAGGTACAGCATACCTCAAGCCATATTCGCCCAAAGAGTATTATGCCGATCCCAAGGCACGCTATCCGATCTCCTAAGGAACCCGAAACCTTGGTCCAAACTGAAATCGGGCAGGGAGACCTTCAGGAGGATGTGGAAATGGTTGCAGGAACCTGAATTCCAAAGGATGTCCGCTCTACGACTTGCAGGTTTGTATTTGTTAAAGTAACCCCTCTAAAGATATAAATTTTTAACTATTGAATACACACAAATTGTACGATTATAAAATTTGTTACAACACAACGTCTACAAGCTAATAATACAACCACTGTTAATTTGGAGTGGGCGAAAATAACGCTCTGCTAGAGAAACCATTAAATTTCACAGGGCTATACGCAATAAAAACAAAAGCCACTACGCTTCGTTTTGACTATTAAATTAAAAAACCTATGGCTTCTTCCTATGTACGAACGTATACACGAATTTTAAAAAGTAAAACAAAAAACGCGATTAATGACACTGGTAGGTAAGTAAAGAGCTTTGTACTTCTCACAGAAAATTTTACTAACACTCTGTTATACAACAAAAACTGTGCTAAATCTGTACTAACCTAGTTACAAAACATATAACAAACCTTTTAGTTTTTTTCTGCTGAGATAATAATAAACAAGTACCATTGCCGTACCAGCATATCCCATTAAGAGGATGAAGCTAACTAACCTTTTATTTATTTAACACCTTTAAACAATAACTTTCATTGTTCCCTACTTTGGATAAATCAATTTTTGTTTAAGTTCGACTACGGACAATTATTTTTCACTGTACTCAACTTCTTGCGACTTGTTTCTAAGTCTTTAAGTTTCCTCTGTTCATCAAATGATATAAGGCAATATTTCAAACTATTGAAAAACATTTTGGTAAAGTTATTCATTTGGAGTAAATACATAAAAAAAACGACTAAAATAACATGCTACTTCGATCGGAATGTGAATATTATTGGCCCGATCGATTGAAAATAAATCGTAAATATTTTGCGCACTTTTACGCTTCGAACTTTTTAAAATTACATGCTTTAATAACATCCCCACTGCAAAACCTGTTAACCACAATTTTTTCACCGTAGAATACCTCCCCAGGAATCTGTTTTGGTATAACACTCGTTTTTTATTCATAATTTAATTTGTCCGAAGTACATTTCCAAGACAATCAAGCAATATGCGGAACTATCCCTTTCTTTTAGATACGCATTTCTGTTCGTATGCCTAATTTTACCTTTAGGATCATATCAGTAATGTATATTTTCGATTTAATTTCGAAAAATTCTGACTGTATTAACAATTCTTGATTCGAAAGGTGGGTAGAAATATATGTTCAAAATCACGATTTCCAGATTCTTATATTATTCGTATAAATTGGTAACTAATTCAAAACGGGCTTGCACAATTATCTTCGTCTATTGAATTTTTTGTTGCTTAACATTTCCAAAAACAATTCATGTAAAACGAGACCTAAATTAAATAAAACTTGGAACACTGTGTATCGATGTGTCCTGGTAATAACCTCGTCCTTCGTTGCCACTTGCTTAATATCGATTTTTCACAAGCTGTAGATTTATGTTAGATGAAGAGAAATATTACACGCGTTTGACATTACCGACCCTTCACACAAATTTTATATAGGGTGTCCGCGAAATATTTATGACGAGGCTCGATATTGACGGAGTTACATAACCTCACAGTTATTTTTATAACAAAAGTCTGAAACCGCAAAGGGTTTTTACTGATTAGGAAATTGTTCATAGCACTTTTATTTCAGGTTTTCAGAAGTTGCAAAAATACAAACCAATAATATTAATCTCATTGGGAAAAAAAACCTCGCATTCAAGAATTTTTTTGCAAATTAATTAAGTAATGTAATAAATTCTGCTTCATTTATACTGTGAAAGAGGTAAATTTTACCCGACTTTAAAAGTGTCTCAAGTATCCAGTCTTTAATGTCACCCTGTTATTTTTTTCAAAAAACCGCAAATAGAAATGTTAATTATCTTTTAAATCCTTTAGAATTTTGGAATTTGGATGACTATTTTTTCGTAGATGCGATTTATTACCAGTAACAAGTGTACAACCTGAAACAATTGTTAACTGTGATAAAAAATTTAAAAAACTCCCTTAACATACCGACATGGTTGAATAAAAAGGAATGCCTTAAAAAAACTAAACCCAACTGCAAATGGTCATTATTAAATATCAAACTTAACAAACAGCCAGTTTTTTCGTAAAAACAACGCATTTCTTTCGAATGGAATATTGAATTTTATCCCTCGCTACATATTTTGATGCGGGCGACAAACGCGGGTTAAAAAAAAATCAGGTTAAGCGGGAATAGTCCGAATAGGATATACCTACGATAATATAATGCAAATGTGGAAGATTCAACTCTGTCCGCGGAGTGCGAAGGTGAATCATCAGACAATTATCGATTTTTCCCTACTTTCAAGTTTCACAGGGGGTTGTTAAGCGAGAGAGAGGGCGATATCTATGTAGCGCGTGTTATTCCATTCGTCTACCCTTGTAATCTAAACTACCCCGCTTTATCAGTCCAGCGCAGCGCATTTAGATATAAAAAATGAATTAGTTAGTTGACTTATGCTTTGTACGATGACGAGCAAACACTGGTTTTGTAGGTACGCATCGGCCGTAGCCGTTACCTGCGTAAAAAAATACATGGGGCTACTAAATTTATGTACGTTAGACGTCTCGTCTATTTTCCTTTTAAAATTAAACAATATTTCCCGGCAACTGGCTGCTATATCTAGGTCACGAGATGTTACGTAAATTTCGGAGGCAACGGAGATATTAATCGTTTTATAATTAATTACAACTTCTTTATCGAATTTAACGCGTTCGATTAAATTCTAATTAATTGTCATATTAGGTACAACTCGACGCTCGAATTGAAATCCGAAGAGATACGTTCTCGTAACGGGATGTCATTTAAAATTATATTCGCTATCGCCGCTATCGGTTCCAACGTCGACGTACCTTATCGCTCGCCATCAATGTGAATAAACATTATCACCTGTTTAAAGCGCAACATCGTATTTATATGCCTCGATAAATATTTATGAAGTTCGAATTAAATCCACCAAATTGCGTTAAAACAATTATTCGTGGATGAAAAGCTGCGCGCGCATCGCCAAATGGAAAGATCAGTTAAATTGTGTCCCGCTTTGTATATTCTTAAAAACATATCTGCGTCCAAATCGACACCGACTTGGATCCAGTGCTCTTATCCAAAAAAAGCCGTTCTAATTGTGAACATAACTCTTGAGAGTTTCTTCCCTCTCGAAAGTACCTGCTTTTTCGTGAAACCGCGATATTTTCGAGAACCCGTTTCAGCGTGTAGTGTAGCGCTATGTTATCGACATTTTCAGGACGCACTGAAAGCGGTTGTTTGTAAACGTATTGATTTTTCCCTGTGCTCGCGTAATATAAACCTGATGGAGTTTCCACGTACACTCTTAATTATTGTACAACTACCAACATCATAATCTTTCTTTTCCATTATTCATTGCGTTGTTTGAATCGAAACATTGATGAAGTTTAATTGATTAACTGAGCGTGCTCGTCACGTTGGCGACAATGTTCGTGACGATGTCATGACGTCATTGACAAAAACTGCGAATGTCGAAATAGTGGAGACTTTTTTCATCGTTTGTTTCCATATTGCGGCCGAATATCAAGTAAAGCTTTTTATGTGAACAGAAGTTTTGTTGTTGTTTTTAGCTGAACTTTTGTTCAAAATATAAGCGAAGATAAGATAAATGATACAGATAATGAAAATAGAAATAGAAAACTAAAACAAATATTCTTCTTATTAAAACTCTGACTGAAGTAGAGTTAATTGCGAAATCCTAACAACATATTTAACGTAATATTTTGTAATATTGAATTTACTGTATACAATTTATACCGGCTGTCCAAATGCTAATTTATAACAAACTAATAAATGGTGTGCACGCAAACGATAGCAACGTTCTGCACTATAATTTATCAAAACTGTTACAAGTTTGTGATTACAAAAGTAGACCAGCTATCATTTGGTGTTAAATTTATGAAATAGTAAAATTAAATTTGACAGACCTGTAAGGCGTCTAAATTCCAGTCTAAACGTTTTTATAAACACACACCCTTGCACAGTACAAAAGTATCAAAGCAAAAAATTGCTACACTTTCGAATATCACATTTGTTTTCCTTCAAACCACCACTTCTTTGTGTGTTTATAACAACGCAATTTATGCTCGGCATATTTTTTTTTTGGGTCTACCCAAATTGTGACAAAAGTTAATTGGCATTTGGACTGATATTTTTTGTAGTTGTTGACTTCTCTCTTGTTTCATTGCAGACTGCCAGACGCGCAATGTAAACGTGAGGGCAGTCAACTCCAAACGAAGAAACTCATCCACCTCTTCGTGCTTGTGAGTTTTAACTGTCTGTCTGTATCGATGTTCTCGCGAGATAAAATTTGCATGATTGATGTTTATTTATTAATACTTTTTAATTTCTCGCTGACCGATGCATGATTATAAAACAGAGGGCGTCAGCGCCTTTCCTCGAAATCATTTTAAGTCGCAATGGACTTAAATTTCCCGCGGAGAAACCTTTTGGAGATGCGCATGCATTAAAAACATAACCTAAGAAATAGATCATCCCCGTTTCACATGGTAACCTGTAGAAACGTACATACTGTAGCTGTTCATGTCATCTCACGAGACTAAAATCACAACGTACTTAAAATAGTTCATGTGAACTGTGAAACTATTTTTTTTATATTTTTCAAGTTAATTTGTATACAGCGGTTTCACGTAAGGATCTTCCCCATTATCTTTTTTGATTTTAGTGACAGTTTTAGAACATTTTCTTACGATCTCAAATAAATAAATAGAAACAAATGAGTGCAGTGTTTTATATATCCGAAATTTATATTTAATTATTTTTTATTGAGATCGCAAGTAAAATTTCGTTAGGCTTTGGTCGGTATCGCTCTCTCCTAGGTAGAGGCAACAAAGATAAGGGGGTAGTATGTTACGTGAATACCCTTGAACACGGTGCGGTCTCAATATAGCACATAGTCGTCTTCACAGGTAAAGCTTATATTTTTCAAATCTGTGAGATATAACCGTTGAATGTTTACGTTAATTTTGACATTGTATTTACTGTAAACAGGAATACGAACAATATTATTTAAATGTATTCAAATATTAATTACAAATTTGTACAAACAAAGAAAACAGTAAGAAATGTATAACTCTGATAATCAAATAATCTAACATTTAATAATGTGATGAAAAATATTCTGTAACAGATACACTTTTTAGAAACGATATAATTATCAAAGCCAACTGTTTTAAACTTAGAGAAATGCCTTTGCCCACTTTCATTTCAATTTTTTCTGGGACGCCGTACATATCAAGGTGCATTTTTACTATCAAAATACAGTTATCGAAAAAATGTAAAAAAAACTGAAGCTCTAAGAGGAAAAAATCCCACATACACTTTTTCGATAGCTGGTGCATCTGACACACTTCTTATTTATACTATTTATTCTCCACTAACAACTTTTTTTATTTTGCAGCTGCTCAGATACCCCAGCGAGGCAGTGAGTATAAATTTTTAGTTATTCCCCTTGTCGTAATCGCTGCTGATAATATTTTTAATCTAAAAGTGGTGTCGGATAAGCAAATATAACTTAATTTTTCGTTGCGTGGCCTATTTACCCGTACAAAAATTATATGTATGCGTATCTTTCCCACTGCTGGAGTCGTTGAAAAGCACGGCCTGTGAGAAACTGCGTAGACGCCTCGGTACGGAACGTCGTTTTTAATATTTGTTGTTGCTTATCTAATTTGAATAATAAAGGCTTTTGGCAATTATGGTACAATATCAGAGAGAGAATTGCGCAGATGTCCTGGGCCTTTGTTAGCAAAGGGTCCCTTGTAGGTCATGTTATATTGTGACCTGTACTCGCCTCAAGGCTTGGAACGACGTACCAGATTACAAGACTTTAAATTCTGCGAGCGGGTATAGTTTTCATTAGAATTAAATCTCGTAATTGTATAAAACATATATTTGCTTATTCATATCACGCGAGTATAATTTTAATGAATCTTTCGAATAGCTCTATTCAACTATGGCTGGTCTAAAGTAATTTTTTGTTAAGAACTATCGTTCCTCCAAATGTAACAGTTCAATTATAACCTAAACTGATCTAACGCCATCCTTGAGTGATCTATACATGTCTTTTAAACTTTTTCGATTCCGTTATTAATAGATATGTTAGCATGCCTAACTGTTACAGGTTGCAAACGGAAAGAGGACCCTTCGAACAACTCGGAGCAGCTTCCTACCCCCAAGAAGCCGAGATTGGTTTTCACAGACCTCCAGCGTCGTACTCTTCAGGCTATTTTTAAGGTTAGTGGAAAAAACACCAAACGATCGTACCGAGCCCTAATTCGTTACCGTTCGTAGGAAACCAAGAGGCCATCCAAGGAGATGCAGGTCACCATTGCGAGGCAACTAGGTTTAGAACCCACGACAGTAGGAAATTTCTTCATGAATGCAAGAAGAAGATCTATGGATAAGTGGAAGGACGAGGATCCCAAGGCAACAGCGCAGGCGTTGAGTCACCAGCAAATGTCGCCCGGTATGGACCACGACGAGTTGGATCAGGATGGAGATATGGACAATGATATGGACGATCACGATGATGTCTTGTGACATGCGTTTCGTGATCGACATTTGTTATTGCTGTGACACTTTGAGTGACGCGTTCATATAGAACAATTAGTTATAGTGTAGATTCACCAACTAATTGTGTATTTGACCTACAGAGTTTGGTTTTTTACGTTTCTTTTCAACCAGCATCACCAAAGTTAATTTTTAAGACAATCTATACACACCCATTGTTCTGTCTGTCTGTTTTCTTTAACTCCCAAATAGTCTCAGATGGCAAGGTGAAAATTTTGAATTTTTGATAAACTTTCAAATCCTGACTAACAGAACAAGCAATGTCTACAATACTCAGCTCAACATTTCACGTAAGTTGCAACAGCTTTGGGTGTGTTAAAATAGCGTACGCTACAGAATTATTTATTTAATCTATGTTTGTAAATCGAAATACTATTAGACAGTGTTTATAAAAGTGTAGATTTTTTATCACCAGCAGTACAAAATTTTTATCACATTGAAAGAGCTTCCGATTGTTGTTTTGTAAACTGATTTTTCCAAATTTCCAAAATACGGTCTCCGTTAAATTACGTTCATACTTCTTTACATTCCTACGTTTAAGATTTTAATTAAGTTTCAGAATGTTAGAGAATTCAGTTTAAGAGACAATCAAATTTAGTAAATAAATGTTGGTGATTCAGTACTTCATTTAATAGTAAGAACTACAAGAAGGCCATACTGAAAGATACAAGAAGTGTTCTGAATATACACTGAGACCAAAAAGAGACCTGCTCTATATTATTTCGTTGGATTTTGATTAAAATGGGTTTTTCTAACCATGTTGCCATCACCAAGGGTTTGCTCCTGATGATGCCGATATAAGAGAAATTGATTTTTGTCACATTGATAAGTAGTTACCTGGAGTTATATCAAAGTTTTAATCAAATGTTCTTGTATGCATATATTCAATTAAATGTATCTCTTTTACAGCAATAGAGCTATATATTTTATTTGGTAGTTTCCAGGTATATTACCAGACAAACTATCATCAATTTTTCGTCAAGATTCAGGACACAGAAAGTAAATCTGGAGATCTTAAAGAGGATCTTACGTATTTAATTAAATTATTTGACATTAAAAATGTACCTTTAGTTTTGTTGTCTAGTCACGAAATTATTTTATTTTAAGATGTAAATAGTTGTTATTCGCCATAATTAATTTATTATATTTATTAAATCAGTATGTGAGAATATTTTTGTTTAATTAGCTTAGCTATTTAATAATTTATATTGTTCTAGAGTATTTAGATTAGTATTAATTATTAATGTGATTTTTTTATCTAAGACCTGAATGTCACGATGTTTGTTTTTATATACAGGTCAAATACGAATTGAATTTCTACACAAAAATTTGTAAAATATCAATACGCTATATATTTTGGTAAAAAATCTAAAGTTTATATTTTAGCACAAATAAAACAATCTGTATTCAAGTACGGATAGATAATGTACAAAACAGAATTTCCATTTTTGTGTTTTCGTGTGAGAAAGTAGCTGAAACTTCATGTCCGTTCTGCCATGTCAAAAAAGAGGGGGGACAAATGGAATATTTTTTTGTATCATTTCTTGTAACATACTTTTGTATAAAATTATTAAAAAGTAATAACAATACTGAACCCGATTGTAGCATTGTTATTACTTTTCCTTTGTGTTGGAAGTCTGTGACAGTGAAAATAGGACATATTTAATAAATAGTACTGTTAAAAATCTATGTAAATATTACGGGAAAAAGTATTTATAAAATAGGATTGTTGGGATCACTTTTGCTATAAAAAGAAAGAACATTATGTAACTTTTGACTCTTACATGGAATCATTGGCTTTGTTTAATTTTTATAACAGAATTGTAAGTGTAAGCTCTATCATAGCTACCTTTTGTTACCTATTTTTGTTTTTTTTTGACTTATTTTTTAGAAAGAAAAACCCTTCGTGGCATTTTTAGGGTCACGAGATGCCTTAATATAACATGTTAACTGTTGTATAAATCTAGTCAGCACTTATCAAACGTGTTCCTTTCCGTTAACGTTCCTTTCTAGTCCTTTATTATTTCATTCACACCAATCGCCATACACTCCGGCGACATTCAACTGCCCAACCACTTCGAATTGCCGTAGAACATTTTCCAGTTTTTTTTTTGAGCGCTGATTTTTGCGATGCCGGACGATGACTATGTTTCATGCCGCCAAAGTGGTTGGAAACTGAATGTGGACATTCGTGTATGTAGAATAAGATTATAATACTCTGTAGAGGGCTGCCGCTTGGTGTCTCCATAGATATCGATTTTTTTACGAAGACATGACACTGGGGAATCGAGAGCTCGATCTGAGGCGGGTAGCTGTGTTTCATTTGTATCGTGCAATTTTTTTTTCGACTTTATGCAGCAACCGCGTTAAGTGTGTACTATAAATTTTTGCACAGCGAGCACTCTTCAACAATCGGTTCTTGACATGAAATTAGTTTTTTTTAATTGAAAAGGTGCCATATCTTTTACGCATTTTGAACATATTTCACCTGGACGCGGAATTTTAAAACATACAGTATAACGTGTACAAACTCCCCTTCATACACTGACCGTATAGGGTAACTCTAAACGCATTTTATTTGAGTAACGTTAATTTTTTTATTAAATCAAAGCTGGCTTTGAGTTATCTTGTACGATTCGAATAATTTGCCGAGATCTAGTTTTTATAGTAGAGTACTGCTATTGATTTATTGAAAATTGTTAAAAATGCCGTAAAACATGTAAAATATCGGTCAACCGACTCTTAATAGAAATACTTTATACTGCTAAGTAAGTTTTTCACAAATCATGATTGGTCATAACCAACCGGTATATTTTTTAGTGCAATAGTTAAAACGTGTAAAAATGGCAATACCATATCCCATCAGTGTACTCGTGGTTTCACGAAATTACACGATTCTGTAGAAATATAGCGTTGATTAAAGAAACATTTAAAGTAACTCTGTGTAGTTTTATTTTAGATCGGCACTTGAGAGCCGAACGCCAGAAAGGGATGAAAAATAGGGCGATCCTCTCGAACGGGATCTGAGTAATGCAGGGTCTACCTTAACAACGCCCATTTACTGTAAAGGATAACGGAATCCTTCATCCAAGCGCGCAAGCGCGAACGGAGATGAAGGATCTTTGGAAATAGGGATATTGCGCCGTATTTATCTCATTTACGTATATTCGACAGCATAAAGTATTGTAACTCAGATTTGAGACGACAGACAAGAAAACGTGGTCTTAAGCTAAAATAATGATTCGAAACATCAGTAAAAATGTTTATACAAATATATACTCTACCAAAGATTTATTGCATAGCAATTATAGGTTATCTTAATGCTAAGCAAGAGAAGGCACATTGTATTGCCAATTTGCATACCAAAAATTAAATTTTTTCAGCACCTAAATTGTAGGAAGTAACAGATGGCAACAACTATGAAAAAAAAAAACAAAGGTTATTGCTTAGAGCAATCAAAATATCAAAATCAGATTTGATTGGGATAGATAAGAAAACAAATATGAGCTCGAAACATCGGTAAAAATTTTAATTAGAAGATATACTTCATTGTCAAAGATCTACTGCAACAAAGTGCCAAATAGGAGAATCGGTATATCATCACTTTATATTTGTCTATCATTTATGTGTGTTATTCTTCGAATAGAATTCGGCACGCCAAACTGCAGACAGTAAGCTGTTTTCGGCAGTGGAAAAAAATAATTTTCTAGGATTTGCGTTGCGATTCTGCCAACAGATGGCACGAGAACGTTTCTTAGAGAGAAAAAGCTACGTTAGCCTTTAAATTTTATCCGGGGAATGGAAAATAGGGGTGTTCCAAGTATTCCTAATCGCATTCGTAAATGCGAATTATTTCATTAGATCTTATTTCCGACTAAATGCGAATAAGTTAATAAATAAGGAGATTCGTAAGATGTGTCGTTAAAAAAAAAAAAATAATTATTTAATTATTTTGAAACAAATGTGTATTTTAACAAAAATTTGAAACTGGCGATATAAATAACCAAAATACGTTTTTCCTTTTGATTGTTGTTAATTTTATGTTGTGATTTATTTTCCCGTTTTAAATCACAAATCATTTATTTTAGTTATGTTAATAATTAAGATTTTTAAAGATTGTAACTAGATTTTTCGCACTGAGGAAACCAACCTATTGAATATGTAACTCATTATTTTCGGGGGGATTGTAAAGGGTATGACAATATAATTATTTTCCAGTAGTTGGATAAAAAGTGGGTCATTAGTTACTTGAAGCTTGTCGCAAAAACTTTTCGAAAACACCCGGACAATGGGAACGAGATTTAGACGCATATGGTACCCTGGATCGATGTACGCCGTCCTGCGTCGTGGCGTAAAATCGGTGTGCGGCTGATCTGGCGTACTCGTCGTCCCGCGTCGGCGTGTTCCGTTACAGGGCCCAGACGTCGCGGTCGTCAAAAGCTACGCTCCGCAGTAGCCACCCAAACGATAACAGAAGTATGATTTCACGTCGGACGCCAGAAACGGACCCGCGTTCGTTTTCACGTTGATTTGTTGATATGGTGAACGGCCGGTCTGCGAGCGCGGGTGGTTGGACAGTGCCTGGTGCCCCACGCGCCTCCCCCGGACCGTGTGCCTGAACACTGTCAGCCGTCTGACGGAACACTGAGCCACCCTTTCGCGATGTGCGAGTGAATCAAGCCGTAGACGAACACAGTGGTCGAGCAGCTGGCCATAGTCACAACAGTGCTAACATTCCACCGCACAGTATGGCCTCGGTCGCCGCTTGGCTGCCATTTGCCCGGGCGGCGGCCATCGGTTGGGTGCCCATCGCGACGCATCCTCTCCCGCCGCCACCGGTACCAAAGGACAGACGGAAGGCCGACGACGAGAAACTACTGATCAACGTGTCAGGCCGACGATTCGAGACCTGGAGGAACACCCTCGAGAAGTACCCGGACACGCTGCTCGGCTCCAACGAGAGAGAGTTCTTCTACGACGAGGACGTCAAGGAGTACTTCTTCGATCGCGATCCCGACATATTCCGTCACATCCTAAATTATTACAGGACTGGTAAGTTGCACTACCCCAAACACGAGTGTCTGACCAGCTACGACGAGGAATTAGCTTTCTTCGGGATATTGCCGGATGTAATCGGTGATTGTTGTTACGAAGATTACCGCGATAGGAAGAGAGAGAATGCCGAACGCCTTATGGACGACAAGCTTTCCGAGAACGGCGACCAGCATCTTCAACAGCTGACCAACATCCGCCAGAAGATGTGGCGGGCTTTTGAGAACCCTCACACGTCGACCGCCGCTCTGGTCTTCTACTACGTGACGGGATTCTTCATCGCTGTTTCGGTAATGGCAAATGTCGTCGAGACGGTGCCATGCGGAAGCAGACCTGGCGGTGCTGGTTCGCTGCCTTGCGGTGAACGATACAAGATTGTCTTCTTCTGCTTGGACACGGCCTGTGTCATGATCTTCACCGCGGAATACCTGCTGAGAATGTTCGCTGCTCCTAACCGTTACAAATTCGTAAGATCGGTCATGAGCATTATAGACGTAGTCGCCATCCTACCATACTATATCGGATTGGGGATCACCGACAACGACGACGTCTCCGGTGCATTCGTCACGCTGCGGGTATTCCGGGTATTCAGGATCTTCAAATTCTCGAGACATTCACAGGGTCTTCGAATCTTGGGTTACACGCTCAAGTCCTGCGCTTCCGAGCTGGGCTTCCTTGTGTTCTCCCTGGCGATGGCCATCATCATATTCGCCACCGTCATGTTCTACGCTGAGAAGAACGTTGGCAAAACCTTCACATCCATTCCGGCGGCATTCTGGTACACCATCGTCACGATGACCACCTTGGGGTAAGTGGTAGCAACTCTTCGATCGTCATTCCCTACCTTTCACTCCCTACCAGTCGTTTTGAATTCAGCGCCTTCTTTGATACCGAAACGCTTTGTTTGATTCAAATTTCAACACTTTCCAACCCACTTACGAATATTGATCGCCCACCATAAATCAGTTTCTTGGCTAAATAACTTCAGGTAATTCCATTTTTTTTTTTTTTATTTCGAGTAGACCGGAAATACGTGGACTTTGCTAAGTAATACGTCTATCGTACTCACATAATTTACGGGGATTTTAATAATAAAAATGGCATAATAAAAATGATTAATTAAAATCTCTTAACATCCTGCATATGTCTTAAATATTTATGTCATAAACGAAGCAAAATATTATTGCTTTCCAGGCAATAAAACTATCTTGGAACGGTGAATGTAAATGTGCAAGCTCTATTTGTAGGATCACTGTTTATCAAGCCAATGTCGCTTTTTAAATAATAAGTTAACTACTGAAATTTCATCCTGCTTGAATGTAAATATTTTTCAGGAGGTTTTTCCTGGGAACGTTAACATTTCTACCAACAAAAACAATTTTATGACCCATGGAACTCTGTACGCATTTTCGATGTACGGGTACTTCAAAATTTCGTTCAACCCACTCGTACGAAATATTTATTATTTTATTTTTTTTTCAATTAGAAAACTTCATTCGGACAGTCTGTCTGTCAAAAGCAGTAGTATCATAATTTAAATATTTTACAATTTTTTACTTAATAACTTTTATTATGGTTAAAAATTTCTCAGTTTCTGCGTATTTCTCAATTTTCTATTTGTTTATATATTAAAAAATATGCGCCTGGATATTTTGAAGCCACTTTTCATTATAAACACATTTTCTTAATGGAAAAAATATATTTTGCAACACATTACTTTTTAAAATATTTTAATTTAGTTATCAAAACAAGTCAACATAAAGTGGTGATTTATCGAGTCGGATATGACACTTAACGTCAACTGTCATATTTGTTAATACCGCTGGGAGATTCTATTGTTATGTAAAAATACGTTTGGAAAACTAACGAATGACTAATGCTTTTGGCAGACTATCTAGTTTATAAAACTACAATTTTTTTTCACCGCGGCACAATAAATAACAATGTGTTTTAGCTTTTATAAGATTTAGTTGAAACAAGATCTTCTGTTGGCGCAAAATTCGTAATGAAGCAGCATTTCACATCCAAAATAAAGTTGGCTTTCGAAACAAAACGTAATTTACACTTGATTCCTGGCCTGCAATCGCCATTTTCAAGCTTGCATTTTTTACAATTACCATTATTTATAACTCGAAAACAGACGACTATATGAAAGAAATAAAAAAATGGCAGCATAATTGCTCAACCCCTTTAGTATGAGGGTAGCCAGTCACGATTCTAACCCCAATACAGAATTATTTAAATTGTAAGTAAGCATATAATCGCACATTCGAGCACGATTAACCCGAATATTAGGAGAATTACAAAGTGGTCCACTTCTCTGTTATCGATCAGAAGTGGTATTTATATGGCGAAAAGTGGGATAATTAAAAAATGATTAGCAGGGGCCGGCTGAGAGTAGTTTACCCTTTCTTCATCAAAGGAAGGATAAAAAATAAAAACCGCTGATTGCGTAACTATGAAACAAAGCTATTTTCTAAATCATCTTTGTAGTGTGCAACCGCTTTCCGTATTTAAAATTAATGTCTTATAACGTATGTCATCGTTATAGCTGTCTCGCAGGTGTATATAGATATTTTAAGCTGCAACGATGATTTTTCTTGCAGAAATATCTCAACCGTATTTATTTCTGGAAAGTGTCTACGGCACTAATAATAACGTCACCTTAATTCTGAGATCGGCAGAAAGCGTACATTTATTTGCCACAAATATAACAAGACCCTAATGCAAAACCTACCAAGATCTGACTGGTCGTATTAAGTATAACTAAAAAACTTTTTAAATGTAATTAATTTTTGTTATACAACCGTCTGTAGAATTGTTTATACGTATGATAAATAATCTGTCGGATTCACACTTTAATATAAGGGGCATATTATTCTGTAGACTTCGTAAAAGTAAATATTTTGGCAAATCTCTCATTACAGTAGCTCTAAAAATATATGCCCTGTGCTACTAATCTGAAATTTGACAATCCCTGAAATACATTTTCATAACAGCCGTTCTAACATTCTTAGGCACAAAAAATGAGAAATATTCAAAAGGTGCGCAAAAAATTCTATCACCCTCATAATTGTCCCCTTTATTTAGAAAAAAAACTGTAACCCACTGTAATGTTATCTAAATTTGTAAAAATATACAGGGGGTTATGTCAAAAAAACATGGATAAATTTGGCTTGTATCTCCGAAATGCCACATTCCATTGTTTTGTCTATCACCATTTTCTTCTAAGTAAGAAAATAAAAAAATAGAAGTTTATGTGTATAACATTAGATCAAGAAAAAAATTACATTGAATCAAATCAATTTGGTAGCACTTACTACAATGTAGCTTTCGTGATAAATGCTATTCAGTTCATGACACCCTTTTTACACGAATAATTTGAAACTTTACAATAACCGACTCCCTCAAACTACAGATTAATGGGATGTAGCTACTTTACTTTTATATAGGCCACTGCCCTGTGTCTTATAGCATGTAATTTATCTTTGGCGTACTTCCCAAATAAGACTTAAGGTAAATATTTTGATCTAAAAATAAACACTAATCGATAAAGTAAGTCGGCTGCTTTCACCTATTTATTAAATCGGATAGGTATGTAATTATTAGTTACTGGAAAGAAATTATAAGATAGCTTAACATTTAATAAAAGTGGCAAAACTGTGAATTTATTTTATTAAGAGCGATTTAGTAATAGTATTAATTACTAAAGAACACAGTTATGGTCAAAGACCTATTTATGTCCTAGCTATCTTAAGTTAGCTATCTTTCCAATAAAGCACAGCAAATAGCGCTAAAAGTTAATAAAACAACTTAAATACTATTAAAACACTTTTATACGAACATCAAAGCGATTTTCCAAAAGACATGAAAATTTGAGACAAGTTGTTTGTTTTAACAAACTAAGCATGTGTAAATAACTTTTTTTATATTTCATGTGAAAATTAGGTGTGTTGCGTTAAAAAAATAACTTCCTCGGTATTTAATATGGGATGTTATTACTGCAAAATTTGTGCCGTAGATTTATCGACGGTTATTTTTATACATATTGCCAGTCTAAATATTTTGCTGAAATTATGGATTGGTTTCACTAAGCGGAAACATTTTTCCCTGTTTCCACGAAATAATAACAATAAGGGGCAAAAATTTCAAATATCAACTCACCCTTCGTGTAGATACAGAGAATTGTTTCTTTTACGCCAAAACAACGTCACTGTCCACTCCACTCAATAACCTGTAAAATAATAACATTTCTCAATATAGTTAAAAAATTATCACCAATGACAGTAAAATTAGGATAAAATAGACTAAAGATCTTATTTATTCTTTACGCTAAATGTGATAATAAATCTATAATAATTGGATTTTTGGCAATAAATCGTTCCTTGAAATTAAAAGTTATAGCATCATTTAAAACGGCTGTTTACAACAATTCTGACATTTAGTCGTTGTCAGACGAACATGAGCTTTAATCCCATTTCATATTAGAACAAGTCGTAACAGGATTAGCAAGGAAACACGTCCCAGATATAAATATCCTGTACTAAAATAACTAAGAAGGTAAAGAGAGTTAATTATTTATTTAATAGTAATTATAAATTTCTTGGGAGTTGGATGTTTTTAAATCAAATGATTTTTTTAGCACAGAACCGTTAATTCATTTTTTGGTTACGTAGGTGTATTATAATACACAGTTAGTCTTGATATTGGTATAAGAATATTGAGGAAGGTCAGGTAACATTTATTTTAGGTATATTACTGTGTTTTTAAACGATCTGATTTATTCGTTTCAAGCGGTTCGTCACAATTATAAGGCCTGGTTTTACTACAGTTCTGAATCATCATTCACGTGGATAATGCTGTGACAGACCATTTGGCCAAATAAATTGAGCGTACCAACGTCATCACATGTGAAAAATAGCCGATTTCCATTATGACTCATCCGCCATTGTTGATTTTAGTTACAAGATTGTTTTACAATATATTATTTTGTTTTTGATCAGAGCAGAACCAATGAAATATTATTTATACAACTTAATATGATTTAGGAATCATAAACAGCTTCCAATCTGTTCCGAAAAATGTTATTCGCTAAAAAAAACAGGCCATGTTTCCAAACAACCTTTGCAAGAGAATTAATGTTGGTAGTACATAATTGTAAACCTGTCATCAGTAAAAAAAAAGACTGTAGGGTTCTCTTATTTCTTTGGCTCTACTAGTATTCATATTATTTTGCTCTTGGAGGAAACAAAATTTATGAATTCGTTTAAATTCGATTTAAACCAAACCCCATTTATTTCAGTAGTCTGATTCAAACCCATTAATTAAGGAAAATAAAGAATTGCGTAAGTAAATGCCAGAATCTAATATATGTTAAATATATAATTCTTTCCTTTGTAACGGTATTTTTTCTACATTTCACCAAACAACTGCGTCTAGTGTAGAAAAACAATAGGCTGATTGAACATCTTTAATTGTTTGGGGAACCTCGGAATATCAAAAACAACTACCTACTCTACTAAAATAACTTCAATTTTCTTGCGAATATATGTAGAATAACAAATTATAATTACATGGATGCCGATTGACTAAAGCGTATGTCAAAATGGGTATGGGCTATTAACTAATTGATATTCTAAACTGTTATTTATTTGTCTTATGACTTAGATTTATTACTTTATTACACACAACTCGACTGACTGATTTATATCTTACCATCGAAAATTTGTTTGTACTTTCTAAAATTTCGCTACTGTGTCTTCGTGACAGGAGTCTATTACATTTTAGTGGACAGTAAAAGTGCATTTGGCACAAGCCCAATACTTGAATTAGTAGCTCATATTTTTCTATAAGCATATTTTTGCCGCTTTTTAACGTTATTCTATGAAATGTGTACAATGGAACTCTAAACTTAAAACTGTGGTCAATTGTTAATTATGGCTAACATATAGAAAAATATGTGAAGCTACTAATCTTACGATCTTTTTATTTACTCACCACCAATTACCACATAATTACTTTCAAATAAAATGTAACAAAGATGGGAATTCTTTCTTAATAAATATTTAGAAAACATTATTTCGATATAATTTTTATAAAGGGTTCAAAATTCATTGTTGGACCTATGACTGTACAATACAGATGATGCTCTCTCTGTACTTTCTTCTACATTTTATCGGGTGTACTATTACAGGAAAAAACTTTTTTGTTTTAGTGAAAACAAACGTTAAATTTTCATTTATTAACGTACTGTGTAAATTTAAAATACACATTTGTGTGTGACAATTCTAATGAAAAAGTCGTAAAGACTTTTTTATTACTCTCTCTTTGAAATTGAATATCTCCTCGATCTCTGTGTTTATTTAAATGACGTTTACAATGAAATCCTACGCAAGACAAAAATCAAACAAAAGCTAAAAATACACTTCTTAATATTCGCTCGTGTTTTTATCATTTTAAATTATAATAAATCGCGATTTTAGTAATTTATAGTACGAATGAGTTTAATATATTTAAAAAGATTATAACATAAAATGAAACTGTTCGATACTTATGTATGCCAGGGTAGTGAAAAGAGAAACGGTTCATTGACGATTCAAATAGGAAAAGAAAAGCTACACGGAAAATACGCTTTTCAAATCCCATTATCGTAAATCGGAAATAATGTAAGAATAAGGTATCAGTTACGGTTGAATGAACTTTATTGGATGCGAATCTACTACGCATTTTACACTATGTAGTTTCTTCGTTAATCTAAATATGAAAATATCTGCAGTGTCGTAATCATATCCTGACATTGCATAGCTTCCTTAAAATATAAACACTTCCGTCTACGTAATTCTCTGTAAATTAATTTAAGAACGAATAACCCGTTTTTTGACTTTCTGACAAAGAAGAGACCTGTTTTGAAGACACGTATGTGTACATCAGTTTGTATGTTCGATACTATTTATTTATTGTGCAGTTTAATGCTGTTTATACCTGAATAAATTTATTTTCACTCACAAACTTAGATTCCAGATGTCACAAACAGTTCACAGCTTATAAGAGTGCATCTTGTTTTTACTTGAATGTTGTATTTAGACTAAACAGATACAAAAATAACTATATTGAATGAGTGACATGTGTAAGTCAATTTAAACAATTTTATGTTATATTTAAATGATATTAAGAGAAATATAAATATTTATGTGTCTGTTGTATTTTATTACATTAAAATAATCAATTATAGAACACGTGTACGAATAAACGCGAGTATTGTTCTATTATTTTTAAATTTTGAGTTTTATAATTGACCTTTATAATTTATTTCTTTTCATTTTTACAACAGCCATCTATTAAAGAAAATCTGTTGTAAACACTGGGAGACAATAAAATAGTTTTACGTATTTACTAAAAGAAATAAACGCCCCTATAAATAAATGATTCATAACTTTTCCGCGGAACAAAAAATAGTAAACAATATTAAGTATTTGATTTTAATGGAATCCTTTTTTTCTTCCCCCTTTTAGCAAAAATCGTATGTTACAACTATATTGCATTCAAGGACATAGTAATTTTAGAAAATATGTTTATGGATAAATTACGAGCGTGGATGTATGAGAATTGCCACAAATTTTTGTGTTTTCTTAATTGATCTTCCATTTTTTTTAAGAATTTTATCGTGTAAAACATATTTTTGGGAGTGTATTTTTTAATGCATATTCAAAAAACACGTATTTAAGAGGAACCCTTTTAGTAGTTAATAAAAATCTTCTATATCGATAATAATTTATTATTTAAACTCGTCTAAATATTATTCCTTTGCCTTCTACACTCCAGGTACATAAATACATTTACTTTACTCCTAATTTTATTTTGTTTACATGTCCGAAGTTGCCAGGTTTACATCCCTGTACTCCAGATATTTTGTTAAGTACAACGTACACATTTTTTTTTTCAGGTACGGAGACATGGTACCTGCCACAATAGCTGGCAAAATAGTGGGAGGAGTCTGTTCATTAAGTGGTGTACTGGTAATCGCTTTACCTGTACCAGTAATTGTATCAAATTTCAGTAGAATATACCACCAGAATCAGAGGGCTGACAAGAGAAAAGCACAACGGGTAAGTGTTTAATCGATAAAGTAAAAAAAAAAAACGCCAAATTGGGGTAATCTTCGTGGTTGTTAAGTTTTTCCAGGTCAGGTTTCAATCTCCAGAATTAATAGTCTCTAGAGCGGAATTGCTATCTGTACGTTTTAAGATTAACCGACCCAATTATTATTTTTTTCTAGTATGGATAGGATTTCACTCTTAAAGTAATAACCTTCAGCGGATTCTCGTTGTGGTATTATCACAGTAAATTCTCCGCGAATATTGAGTTTCTGTCAAGTAGTATAGCATGGATGATACGATAACTAATAGTTCGACGTGTTTTCCGGTTAAATATAACACGCGGAAGTCAAGACATTTTCAACAGCTAACACCTAGCCTGATTATTTTTAGTGAGAGCTTTTTTGTAGTTTGTTGGATCAATAACGATAATTTCCCCTTCATCAAAACTAATTAACTGCTTCTTTGGCGTAAATATCCTTTTGTTTTATAATACCGAATGAACTCGATACAAAAACTAGAATTAAAATTAACTGTACAGACCTGAAAAATAAAAAACGACAGAAAATGCTTATAATTATACTTTTAATATTCAGTATATTTTCCATTCAACCATTCCATGATTTGTTCATGAGATGGTTTCTGTTCGTCGACTATGGTAAAAGGTGCATTGTCCATGACAATCTCTGCAACATGTTCGATGCGAAACAAAGTAGATGCAAACAAAATTTCAAATACCCCACCACCCCATCCTGACGGTAATCCCCTGTTCGTCGCTGGAATACACGAAATAATTATCTACAAAGCCCTATTCACTTCCGATACATGTAATTATTAATCGCTGCCCTTTACCAGAATATGCTTTTAATCCCGTAGAAAATCCTTCACACCTTGGAGACCGTATGTCCGTTCATCCATGTTTCGTCGCATAATAAATTTTAATTTTCTCTCTGCCATATTACAGTTTCGTACTTTTCTATGTCTTTTCGATTTCGTTCCGAATAACGGAAATTCGCGTCATGCAAAGTGCGCAATAAAACTGTGATTACAGTTTGAATTTTTGGCATTTGTTAGGTTATTTAGAATTTCTCCCCGATCGTATTTCACGTGTACATTATTTTGTTACATTTTAGGCTTCTTCATATTTTATCTGTATTTTCCATCGGTGTCATTCATATAATTAAAATACAGAGAAACTTTGTGATTGATCTACGGAGCAAACAGCCTTTGTAGCGGCGTTTACACATGATAAAACCAGCCAACTCAAAGGCATTTCCATCATCGCTTTCATCTTACGTCTTGCGTGAATTCTATCTTTATTCACGTCACCAGGGGGTGCGAAACTTCACTGGAAGTTTATGTAAAACACGGTATCACAATTTATCACATTCTGAACATTATCTGCGTACAGCTGAATAGTTTACCGCCCCTATAAAAAACACTACCCGGCAAGAGATAATGCAGAACAGGCTTCACCTAGACAAAAGAGTGTTCAAGATAATGCGGAATATGTGTATATAACAAAATTATAAGATTCTTTTTGTTTCCAGAAAGCTCGCTTGGCTAGAATCCGCATCGCCAAGGCATCATCAGGGGCGGCGTTTGTCAGCAAGAAGAAAGCTGCAGAAGCCCGGCTGGCCGCTCAAGAATCCGGAATCGAACTCGACGACAACTACAGAGAGGAAGACATTTTCGAACTGCAACACCACCACCTGCTTCGATGCCTGGAGAAGACAACTGATCGCGAATTTGTCGAATTAGAAGTACCCTACAACGGCCATCCGAAAAGGCCGGGATCACCGTCACCAATGGCGAGTCCTGCCCATTCGGCGGTGTCCATAGGACTGCTGCAGTCCTGCTGCGGGCGATGCTGTCCGAGGAGGTATCAGCAGACCTGCGGAAAATACATGCCCGCTGCTTCCGCCGCTCAGACCAACCAGACAGGGGGTGGAATGGACGGAACCTATCTCGTTGAGGCGTCTTTTTAAGACATATCACATCTTATTGCCTTCACTGCAGCGCCAATCTCATGGTGTGGGCGTCAATGAAAAACGACTTTGATTCGTCTCGAATAATTACGACTTATTTAAACCAAACGTTCTCGTTCTACACTCTCGTGATTTTTTCGTTGTACCCAGTGGTCCAAAGCAAACAAATTCATTTCCTTAACGGAAGCGCAAGGCGTTTATTGAAATTTATTGAGTCTCCAGCGCTGTCCGAATTCCCCATACTTATTAAACGTCGCATAACTATAGAATCGCACTTGCATATGTAGGTACCGCTAACCATTAAATAACAATTTTGACGCAAACGGAAGACTTATACATATTTTTTTTTATGTAGCAGTAGCACTAATGCGTGCTATGTTAGAAATGTAATTTTATGAGTCATACATCCAGTGTTAGAACAGATCTCGGGTTATTGGCATCTATATAATAATAGAAAAATGTATACAAAGTTTTAAAACGCCTGACGCATTTGTAAAACAATATTTAATTTGAAAATTGTTTTCAGACCAATATTTTGTATTATTTTCGTATTTCAATAAATTTGATGAATGTCTTGCAAATTATTATAGTATTTTATTCTGCATATTTAACTCTATATGTAATGCAGAATTTCTATGTACAAATCTTACGTGTTGTTTTATCAGCCACTCGGTATAACACTTTTCAATCATCTATTGTTGTGTAAATTGTGTAGTATAAATTGTGATATAGCTAATAATTTAAACAATAAACAATTATATAAAGGAAAATGGTTGTACACCTCTTCATAGAAAATATATTTATTGTAAAAATAGTTGCATTTTCAGTTGTAAATAGAACTGGCCGATGCAGCAAAACTTTACTGAAAGATGTAGTATTAGTTGTTCAGTTTAACATAATCATTGGAATTGAATTCTGCCAATACATTAGCTTGCCTCATGTGACTTACAATTACAGGTTAGTATATTTTTATTTCACAAACTTGCACAGTATAAGACGGTTTAAACCAATACGTATTTGAAGTTAGTGACACAAAATATATATTTTTTAATATCAGTTCAAATTCTCATTTGTATTGTATCATTATAACTATCGTCACATATTTATATTTATGATTTAATTTTGTATTTTAAAATGTAGGGAACCGTTTAAATTTAAATCCTGTACAATCTGTATGCCAAGTTAATTTTTGAATGTTGGTGTGAAACTGGCATCTAAATATTAAATGTAGGATGTGTCTAGAGCAAGTTAATTTTCTGGTACAAATACGCTATAAATTTGCGGTACATTTGTACCTCCACGCGAAAAATTATTGCAGCCTATAGACAAATCAATATTTTCCCAGTATCCCGCACAATTAATCAAATTTATAGCAATATTTTACCCCTTACGTAAAAACATTTCTCAAATTATTTAATTAAACGGCACTACAGAGGTCATCTAGGAAAGTACTACTGATTGAATTTTGTGAAAATTTGCCTAATAAGCAAAGCTGGCTGCAAGCCAAAATGATATTTGTGTATATTTATATAGTAATCAGTTGAGAGGGAGCTATGATTTTGTAATAGATATTGTACTATTTAATATGTACTTCCTTTATTTTCTAGAAATAGATACTCTTATGCATGGTTAGCTGTATATAAAAAACGATTGTTCATACAAACACAACGTTGCAAAAATCGAAAAAAATTAAACATAAATATATATACTGCGGTTCTAGTTGTTTATCATTTACCATCTTACCATAGAAACTGTTGATCTCATTTGGTAGAAATTGAAATGAATTTTGCATGTAAATAGACAAAACAAATTTGGAGTTTGTTGTACATGATAGATGAGTGAGCTTATTGCAAAAAACAACTCCGTACGATAATTACCCTTATACATTCCCATCAATCGTTCTTCATCATATAAGAGTTTTGCATAACTTTTAATATGTGTACTGAATTTTGAATTGAGTATTCAGAAATTGCTACGCTTATTTAACTAAAACTAAAAACTGATGGCCACGATTACTTTACTTTGTAAGAATAATTTATTAGTTTTAATAGCATGTGTTATTCGCACTTGTCGAAAAGTAACCTGATTAGTTAATTGTAATGAATACTATAGCTAATGTAAAACTTTAAAATTACAAATATTAGATTACTTTAACGAAAACCCTTTTTGTATAGGTAGTTCGTTTCTTCATATTCTACCAATTTTATTCTTTTGAATTTATTGTAGGAACAATAAATTTTCCATAATAAATAACGTTTTTTAATTATTAACCCTTACATCTCACAATTAAACCTACAATCTCAAGTCGCTTTCCAAAAATCTTTCATAAACGTAAAAACTTCAGTCAAAATTGATAAAGAAAGCAAGGGCTAAAAATATATTTTGGTGCAGATTGCTGGCTGCAAATTTTTACATCATAGCACCTAATAATGATACAGTAATAAGTCAAATAAGAGGCAATAAAGAAAAACAAATATATGATCACAAAAAATATTAATTTAAAATATTTGAACCATACTCGATAATTATTATCAAAAGAAACACTTTTTATAGAGCTTTATATCAAATTTCAATCAATAAATCATTTTAGACATCTACTGAATGGAATTGAAGAGTCAACGTTAGGGCATTTGCTAAATGAGTTTAATGATCAGTTCTCTGACAGTTTGCCCTATTTTGGAGATTGACCCACATATTTGAATAATATTCCTCCCACCAAGAAGTTCAGTGATCAATAATTTCAGCCAGGCTCTGCTCTACAGATTTACGCACTACCGAAAATCACCAAAAGGCTCAAATTAGTAGGCTGCTTTTTAAATTAAAACAAACTCCGAGACACATTAAACCACAATTACCATATTATATAAAAAAAAAAGATTTCCTGAGACATTAATTCCATAGTAAGAATATATGGGGAGGAGACCCAATTAATAATGAAATGAAAAGTTAACATTGTATCGCCCTTTTTAAATTTAAATGAATATTTTTGTGGCAAATTTTCTGAAAATTGTATATTGGCGGTAAAATATCTATCGATTTTCTTCTTCTTCTTCTCAAATTACAAGTTTTGGTTTTTCATGTTTTCCAGAGCTATTCGTTCAAGTTTTACACTAATCTAAAATCACTATTGCCAAAATCCAAAATTCAGAGAAAGATATCCCCATCGACATATAAAAGGAAAAAAGAAACTTGCTTTGGACATGCGTGTTTACTGTTTACTATTGTTTACTTTTATCATGGAAGAGTATACATAACCGTAATACAAAAGTATTTTAGGTGTATTACTGTTATATTTTGTGATTTTGAATATTTCTTTTTACCATTTGTCTCTTTATATTTAATACGATCGTATTATACTCCATAAAAAAATATAATGAACGGACCTAAACGTTTACATATTGTACCTACAAGTGGTGTAGGAGAAGGGATAGGAAAATATATAGGAAAACAAAATGCTTATTCTTCTTCACGGCAAAAATCTGAAGGAAAACTATTCGAAGCTGACTTAACAAATATACCTATCATAAAACAATCTGACAACGCCAAATTATTGCCTAAATATACAAGTATATAAATTTTAATGATGTATTTGTGTATACTATAAGATATATTCAGTTGTAGCTAAATTGGTGGACGATGGAATTTCCATGGAGGATTTAGACCAATTACAACAAGATTTGGAAAAACTCTTATCCACTAGTGCCGTCAGAATTAGATATTTGCTTTCGGAAATTGGAGAAATTAATAGAAACGACGATACTCATGAGAGAAAAGCTCATGAAAAGGTTAGTATTCATTAGGTCTTTAAAGAGCAAACTGACGTATTATTTTAGACGTCTTTGAAAAGGAAACGACCTGACGAAAAGCCAAAATTCAAGGATTTAAAGAACGGGATGAGAGTTATGAGAAAAAGTTACGGCTTGCCTGTGAATAAATTTACAGGCGAATCGCACCAACAAGAGATCCCAAAAGTTACACTGCCAAAAAATGATAACTCAGACAAATTTTGGGCTTCCATAGAACCATTTTGTACAAATATAACTAAAGATGATATAGCGGTATGTAATTTTGTAATGCAAACAATAGATTACTAATTAATTTTTCTATTAGTTTTTGGATAGCTTAATTCAAGAATTTTCTAAAGAAATTGATATTAAAATACCTGATATAGGTGAACATTATGCTAATTCTTGGACGGAAGAAATTATTAATGAGGAATGTAATTTGGGGAAGTCCCCGTCCAAGAAATGTGCTACCATTACCGATCTAAAAAAAAATGACATCAACGTGTGAGTATATATCGAACGACAAGTTTCACAAGGACGTTGAGTACTAATTACAAAATTTAATTTGCAGAATGGTTGAAACTTTCTCAACACCACAAACACAAAAACTTTTAGGTGCTCTCTTAGAAGAAAGAATTCTAAATGCCATTCCCAAAAATGGAGACAATGGTGCCAAATCTACAAATATAAAAGCTGCTGAAATCAGTAAAACAAAAACGTCTTCTACAAATCAAAAAATAGGAATATGTTTGGATAGACGGTTGAAAAAGGAGCTACTAGAACAAGGATTCCTCACTACTGAGGATATAACCAAAGTAAATTCTCTTACAAGTGTTTCAACATAGATTTTTTTATGCTACCACCCACTAGTTTGAACGGTCTAAACCCGAATCTCTTTGCCATAGAGTTCTGAAATTCGGAAGAAATACGCAAACAAAATATTACATGTACATACATACTAGGGTGCTTGGTTTAAAACGTACATTTTTTTTCTCACTCCGTCGACGAAATATTGTTCTAAACATTGGAAAAAAATTCTCACCAAATTTCAGCTCTTACTTTTAATTTTAAGTACTCGTAAATGACTAGACTTTAGACTTACAGCAAAACCGTAAATGACATTTTTATAGGAAATTAAATGATAGAAAAATGCAAAAATATGAAAATTAACTTTAAGATTTTTTTGCAGTGAAACCGTTTAAGTCACATAGATCCTGCTACGGGCACTTTCAAAGAACAATCATTCCCCTATAATTACTGCCAGAAATTTGGTGAGATTTTTTTCCAATGTTTAGAACAATATTTCGTTAATGGAGCGAAAAAAAAAATGTACGTTTCAAATGAAGCACCCTAACACTCGTATGTATGTACTACATGTAATTGCGTCTTTCTCTGATCGATTCCTGTTCGGGCAGTTTTTATTTTGATTTTGATTAAATTCCGAGCGTTAAAGTACTGAATCCAGAGTTTGTTGTGCGTTCATGCGAGCAGTGTGATAATTCGGTCCCATTCAATTCGAATTACCGAGTTTCTAGTGTAATCATTTTGGTTAATTCTTTTTAGGATATGCCAGAGGATGAAATTTTGAAGGAATTAAAAAAGTGTCAAGAGGAGTTAGTTACAGTGAATGACCATAATATCGAAGAACTCAAAAAATTGAAAACGGTAGCTTGTAACGAATTACATTCCAATGAGTTAAAGGAACAGCTTGAAAAAGTGGATAAACAAGTACATACTTTAAATAATATACCGTTCAGGCTTCACTTTAAACGAATTGTATTTTAGGTACTAGAATTGTACAATAAAATTATTATTATAAGGAAAAAGGTTCAGCAGGAAGAAGGAGAAGAATTGGATAAAGCAATGTTTACAGAGCAAATTACCAAAGAGTTTGAAGCCAAAGCAGATGCCTTATTAAAACAACAAATAGAACTAAATCGTGAAATAAATGGTTTGATGGATACGCAAATGACATACTGATGACTACATCGAATGCAATTTGGCTTCTGCAATTTGGACAAGTACTGTAGCTCATTGCTTTTAAAGATAATTCAAAATTTGACAAACCACATCAGCTTTATGCAATTATATTGATCATGGAATTCTTTTATATATAGGTGACATTTTTCAAGATATTAAGCAATTTCAATATTTTAGTTTCAAATTTTATTTTATTACTTTTTATTTATATTTGTACTTATTCAAAAATAAAGAAACAATAATTAAATTATACATGTAATAATAGTATATTTATATTTTTTCTAACTGGATATGTCTGAATAAAATAATATTGCACAATAATCATTTTTATTTTTAAACCATCTTGGGACTATCAAATATATTCCAAACATACATACCAATCTCTACCAAAAACTGGTATATTTTATATAATACAGAATATTCATAATGAGAGAAAATTTATTCTCGTTAAGAGAAAATAAAAAAAATTATTTTACATAAAAGAGTATATAAGTATTGACTTGATTTTAAGAGCTCCGTGTAACAGTGTCCAGAAGCTTCTGTACCTGTTTAATTGTTCCGCACTCTGTATACCTAAATGTCTACAAATATTGATATAAATCTGGGACAATCTGTATAAAAATAGTTACAAGCATTGATTTAATTTTGGGACGCTCTGTATAAAGTATCTACAGGTATATTTAAAGTATAATGGTTTTTTTGGTCGCTGTGTCGTGGCCTGTGTACTTGGTCGCCAATTACAGAATTACTTCTCACTTGCTTCTCTACCAAATAAAAATTTGAATGGAAAAAAGTTATTGGCCTTAACTTAGCGCCAGGACAATTCAAATTCAGTACACTCGACAATACAATGTCTTCTTCTTCTTCTCCTTTGATACACTCAATTTTCTACAGTACCTTTAAAATATTTATTTTATGCCATGGAGCACTGAACACGGAATAGACCCATGTAGATTGTAAGTCTGTTGTCGTAATCAAATCAAATATGGAAATATGTCAAATGTCGAATACATAGTGCCATAACATTTGGTAATTGTCGGGGTTAGTTTAATACAAATTCAAATAGATTTTTAGTGTAAATAATGTTTGTTTTGCTCTTTGCAGCCGTATGAAATCGTAATGAACGGACCTAAACGTTCGTATTCAATTACAAAAAGCAACATTGGTAGATGTAACGGAAAGTTGAAAGATATACTTTCATCTTCTCGATATAAATCTGAAGGAAAAGTAATAGAGGCTGATTTAACAAATATACCTGTTATAAAACAAACAGACAGTGCCCGGTTGTTGCCTAAATATACAACAAGTAAACATATCGTTATACTCCGAGATACATTTTCTTTACCGAATCACGTTTAGTTTTAGCAAAATTGGGAGAGGATGGAGTGTCCATGGATGATTTGGATCAACTCCAGCAAGATTTGGAGAAATTGTTGTCTACCAGTGCCGTTAGAATTAGATATTTGCTTTCAGAAATTGGAGAAATTGATAGAAACGATGACATCCATGACAGAAAAGCCCATGATAAGGTAAAGTGCTTGAATAACATACATACTGTTTTTATAAAGTTGTTTCCCTTTCATAGGCATTTGACATATTTTTTAGACATCTCTGAAGAGAAAACGACCCGACGAAAAACCAAAATTTAAGGATTTAAAGAATGGAATTAGGGTAGTTAAAAAAAATTATGGTTTACCCGTAAATAAATTTATTAACGATGTACATTTACATCAAGACATACCAAAAGTTACATTACCTGAAAATGATAATTCAGATAAATTTTGGGCTTCCATAGAACCGTATTGTACAAATGTAAATAGGGACGATGTTGCGGTAAGTAATTCAGTATTGTTAGTGGATTTATCTCTAATTATCCTTTTGTTAGTTTCTCGATAGTTTAATCCAGGAGTTTTCTAAAGAAATTGACATTAAAATACCTGACGTAGGTGAACATTATGCCAGTAGTTGGACGGAAGACATTATTAATGATGGACAAAAATCGCCATCTAAGAAATCATCCACCAATAATGATTTTAAAAAAAATGGACTTCATACGTAAGTATCCAATTTGCCAGAGTATCATCTATACAATAGTTTGGTGTTATAGGATGGTTGAAACCTTTTCAACACCTCAAACTCAGAGGCTTTTAGCTGCTCTCATAGAAGAGAGAATCTTAAACACTCTTCCAAAAAATGGCGATAATGGTGCTATAACAACAAAATTGAAACGTAAATACATATAACTTTAATTGTAGTACTTTATATTACACACGATATTTCAGTTTCTGATTTAACAAAGATAAAAACTTCCTCTTCGAACCAAAAAGTCGGAACCTGTTTGGATAGGCGACTGAAGAAGGAGCTAGTAGAACAAGGGATCCTCAGCTTGGATGATTTATCCAAGGTATGTGATTGATACCAATTATAAGCACGTTTAAGAATAAATTTTTTTCAGAATATGCCTGAAGATGAAATTTTAACAGAAATAAAGAAGTGTCAACAAGAACTGGCCACAGTGAATGAATATAATCTAGAAGAATTGAATAAGTTAAAAGCAGAAGTGTGCAATGACCTGCACTCAAATGAATTGAAAGAACAACTGGAAAAAATAGACAAAGAGGTCTGTCAACATTTATCCAGTTTGACACAAATTTATGGGCCTGCCCTACTTTTCTTTCAATCGATGCACCAATCGCAATGAAATTTTGGTGAAATTTTATGAATTTTTCTCTTAAAATTGTGTGTCTCTTAAAATTATGGTCTCACAAAACAACATTTATTGACAAAATTAACAAATAATTTAATATGAAAATTTAACAATTAATAACTAGCAACGTTTCCCGAACTTTCGATCACCTCAATCATCATTGGCATGATTTGAATCGGAGACGTGAGAACATCCGAGAGTATACAGTTCCAAGCCTCAAATATAGCCACCTCAACTGCCTGCAATCAGCGTAAACGTCGCAAACTAGAATGCCCCAGAGGTTCTCAATCGGATTGAAATCCGGCGACTTGGCAGGCCAGTTGAAAACCGGCACGGTTTTCGTCCAAAGCCAGACTTTTATGGAGGTACACGTGGATGGCAGCATTGTCGTGCTGGAATGTAAATCGCACTGACGGAAATCACTGTTTGTATCAGGTAATCAGGTAATCTGTCGATTTGGTGTCTGTCGGCTAATGAGATGTTATTTGCTTTATAACGTTGCAGGTGATCTTTTCCGATGAAAAGAAATTTTACCTGGATGGGCCAGAAAGAATGGCGAGCTATTGGCATAACTTCATTCCAGCACGACAATCTGCCTCAACGAAAGCCTGGGTCCAGACGAAAACCATGCCAGATTTGAATTGGCCTGCTAACTCGCCATTGAGAACCTCTGGGGCATTCTACTTCCCCACGTTTACGCTGATGGCCGGCAATACGACAACGTTCAACAGCTCGAGGCGGCTATATTTGAAGCATGGGACCGCATACTGTTGGATGTTCTCGTGTTGCTGGTTCAAAGCATGCCAAAACCGATGATTGAGGCGTTTGAAAGGTCGGGAAACATTATTAATTATTAATTGTTAAATTTTCATATTGAATTATCTGTTAATTTTGTCAATAAACGTTGTTTTGTTAACTGAGCCCATAATTTAGTGTCACCCAATTTTAAGAAAAAAGTTCAGAATTTTTTTTATTTTTTTATATTATGTTATTTTATTTTTTTATATTGTTATTTTATTTTTTTATATTATATATTATTTTATATTTTCTATTTTATTTATTTATTTATATTTTCAATCATGGTACACAGACCGATATGAAAAACCATGTCTAACCAAAATTTCAGTGCGATTGGAGCATTGGTTGAAGAAATTCAAGAAAAATAGGGTGGGCCCTATGCGTCGCACTGCATGGTTTGAAAATAAATATTTTATTTTGATTTTTAGGTGTTGGATTTATACAATAAAATAATGATAGCAAGGAAAACAGTGCAACAAGACGACGGCGAAGAAATTACCAAAGAATTTGAGGCTCAAGCAGATGCCTTATTAAAGAGACAAATTGAATTAAATCGTGAAATAAACGGTTTGACGGATATGCAAATGTTATACTGATGGTTAAATTCAATATAATTTGGTAGTCCGGTGTGGTTGGTTAATCAGCTAATGCAGTAAATATACATACTGGAAATTCATCTGTAATACCATAAAATGTATTTACAAGCATTAGCTGAATTAATTTGTCAAATATGACACACACCCCGGATTGCCTAATTATATTGGCCAAAAGAGGAATGAGTGATTTATTTATACAAGTAATAAGTTATGTTTCATTAAGAAGTATGGTTATTTACACCACATTAAATTTATCGTATATATCATACAATTTTCATTTGAAAAATAATTTTATATTTTCGTGTGGTACTGATAACGTACGATCATATTTGATTCTAGAATTCCCACATTTGATAAAATATTTAGAATGTATGTGCACAATTATGTATATATTAGGCACATTTATCAAATTGAGGGTCGATAGGTACGTATCTGTAATTAAAATATACAGTAAACCTATGCAAGTCTAAATTATGTTAAATATTTACATTATATTTTTATTTTTTTTTATACAGACATCTTTTTTAATTATAAATTGTGTAGGATATTCTTTTCAGTTTGTATAACGGGCTTAGATTTACTGTATACCATTTAGTACTTACTAAAATATTACTATAATGCCTTAACTTTATAGCAATTGAAACTTTTTTTTTAGTTTAATTGTACATACTTTTTACGAATGTTATTTATTTTTACATACATATTTGTGGCATTGCTTTTCAATTTATTTCAGATAGTTCGAAGTGTGATAAAATTTGCAGGTTTATCTAATTTTTAATCATATTTTGGTATTAATGAATGAGAAACCGATTGAAACTAACTGGCAGTTTGATAATGACGTGGAAATAATTTTGAAGTTTAGCCGTACTTTCGCCAGTAGATACTATAAAATATGTCAATATATTACACCTTGTCTTGTAAAATACGATATTGTACAATTAATTATATATGAATATACGAAATGAAAGAAGTACAAATAGATTTTGTGTGTTAATATAATAATTTTTATATTGTGTTTATACTTACCTGTGGTTTCATTTTAAATAAATAAATCAATACGAAACATATTTTAATACAAAATAAATTGTTTAATAAACTTTTATATACAAATGAACATTAACTTGTAACTATGATTTATAAAAATTTGTTCAATGGACAATCTATTAAATAATGGATGTCTACGTAACTATAATATAAAGTTTTGCACAGTAATATTTCTATATGAATAATGACCAATAACATGATAGTGTGAGCAAGAAATTTGGAAAAAAAAACCTTTGTACTGGCGTTCAACTAGATAGTTATAAAACCTGCACGTAGTCTAGTAGTATGGCAGTTTCGAACTTAGAAAATGAAGTTCTGAGTACTTATTTTACATATGTTTTTATACGTGTTTTGTTTTTATGGAGCAATGTAGCAGTTATATATAAAAAAAAGTGATATACTTTAGAAATAATTGGAATGAAAAAAAAAATCAGTTTGGAAAAGCAACTTTACTTTTTTCCGTAAAAATGTAACTTCCATAAAATTAAAACACGCTTTGTATTAGAAATCATTACGGAATTAATAGTTTTGTATGTCAATTGAAAATTGTTAAAAAATTAGAGCATATAAACCCAGTCAATGTTTAAATTAATGTGTGACGTTAAATTAGAAAAAAAACGTTGATTTAATTTTTTTAGTAGTGGCTTATTGAATGTCAATGTACATGTAAAAATCTGTACAAAAATAACGATTTAGTAACAATACGGAAGGGCTAGGGCATTGACTCAAACAGGTGAAGTGAGACACACCGTAAATACTTCGTTTTACCCTGTTCGACTATCAACTTTGAAAAAATTAGGTGATCGTGAAACATTGCTATATTAATGTTGTGTTCAAATTACTAGCCCTTTTTAGCAGGTATCATGAAACTTGTAATATGTTTTTAAGATCGTCGGGTAAAGAAGTGATGATGTCACTTAAACGAAGATTTAGCTGTTCTTTTGTTGTTTCGTTAACTGGTATATCGTGTTCATTACATTTTGTAATTTTGTTCTTTATTTTTAAAACCATATCGACTACCTCAACTTCTGGACGACCCTGAACCCAATCCTTCAAATCCTAAAACAAAAATAAATCCACATATATAACTTTGCTTACACTGTTTTTTTTTTCGAAATTTGAGGCTTTATTGTAAAAAACTGGTTACACATTTTATTCAAAAAATTGTCCATCGCTGGTCTTTACTTTCTCCTGCGTCGAAAAATCTGCTCATCTTTCGAGGAGATCCACGTATCAATTCAATTTTTGATTTCTTCATAAGATTGGCTGGGAATTCCCCATGATACCTATTTTTCTTCCTCAGTCACAATGCGATGCAGAAATACCTTCCGTCTTCGCCTTTCGAGCAAACTAACGCCGTTCAATATCTCTCAACCTCAACTCATACAGCACCTAATTTCCTTGATTCTGAATCATTCCCATGGCTTTCAGGTGTTCTGAAATGGCTTGTCGAGTCACTCCTAACGATCCTGCCAATTCTTCATATCAGTCTTCACGAAGTCATGCATCTTTGAAAACCTTCTCTCTTCCACCGCCATGCTGGTCTTCGATCTCAACATCACAGTTCTTGAAGCGTTGAAACCACTCACGACACGTTCTTTCACTAATAGCGGTCTCGCCATAAGTATTTGAAAGCATTCGATTAACCTCCGCCGCAGATTTCCTCATATTGAAGCAAAAAATTAAAACATTCCGCAAATTATGAGAATATGGTTTTTACAAGATGCGGACACAAATCGACACGTTTCGATGGGGTTATGTCGAGAAATGCCCAAGCTCATTGTATGACGTCTACATCTGTTTATTTCGACCACCACTTACCGCTACGGCCATCTACTGGAAAATGGCGGAAGCAAAGTTATACACCTTTTACAAAAACCACGTAAAAATTCATCAATTAAAATTATAAAAACGATTACATATAGGATTTACTTTAGACTTACAGCATTTGAGAGAGCTTCCAATTGCAACGCTTGAAGTTTCAAAGTTAATTCTGTGTATCTCGTATTGAACCATGCTTTAAAATTAGGAGATCTAAAAAATTTTCTGTACAACCCAACCCAGTCTCCTTTTATGCCTGTATTATTTAATGTTAGTTGCGGTCCGGCAACGTCCAATGTGGCAAAAAATTGATCTGGGTTAAACGGCAGGGGTGTCGGAGCTGCCTATAATAGTTTTTCATTAAACGATTGCTCCTCAATAATAAAACAATTTGTTTCTACTTACTTTAAATGGAGATATACTCTTTTGGAGTGGCATTAAACTAGCTATGTACCTCTCTAATGGAATCATAAAGCTTTGAGTAAGTTCTAACAAATGCCTTCTAAGAAGAGCTGACTGAACTTCAAAAGGTCTTTTTGAATTAACTCCCGTCAGCAACTTTTTTATTATATTTTTATCTTTTTGTAAGAACGGTTTATAAGCAGTAAACACCCCAGGGCTATTATCAATCATCTTTGTAGGGGCCGTTTTTTTCAGTTTATATTTTTGAGCTTGCCCTAAGTCGTCGCTTAATCTTATGGTGTGAGGCCAATGGTGAAGTGTTTTGGCAAAAAATGGATTAGTTACTCCTAATATGACAGGAGGAGGACCGTGTACTTTACTTGTAAATTGCTTGAACTCGCTGTCGTGAATGGTAAAGTACGGTCTGTAATCCCCACAATATTTTAATGGCAATATTAACCTAAAAGAAAATAAGAATGAAGTTTCGGTCACTTGTAACTCGATTGCATATGCTTATCAATGTTGCCTATTGTTGTCTTTTTAAACTAACTGTTAATTAAGATCTCGATAAATAAAACACTGCTATTACGAAAAAATAAAAAAAGATAAAAGTTTACAACAACGGTTAGTGTATGTGTTTGTCTGAGGTTACACCAGCCTGCATTAATAATTAATACGATAAAACAAAAATTTATTTTTCATGACCCGAGTGTGAGAAAACAAGCTTATGTGTTTCTAGATGTGTTTCCGTATAAATATGACCCCCATTCAGTTACCCCTATGTATAAAATATATTTACCTTGTCAAGGCTAACACCATAGAGGAACAATAAGTGGGAGAAGAAGCCATAATAACTATTGGCTCTGAAACAATTACTAATTCCCATAACAAATGAATATGAGACAAAACAGGTTGGAGTATATCGAACATGTTGAGGTCTTCGACGTGAGTTGGGATCTGATTATTATCACCTGGTTCGCTTAATAATGCCAACGTTGAATTGGATGTGTGATTACTTGATAATGGGATGTACGTCTACAACAGAAATTGATATTTATGTCTAATTAAATAGTTTGATATTTAATTTACTTGAAAAACTGATCCTAATAATGGCAAGTTCAATGTAGTCCCTGGCACTGGAGGAGGCCATTGCTCTATATTATAACATACAGCTTCTAAACTGACCTCTCCATTTTCAAAATATTCCGGAGCTATGTAACTACATATTTTACTAAATAGGTTGTTGAACGGAAGAAGTGACAGTATTACGACACTCTGAAATTAAAAAAGTTTAGTCGTACTCTTACGTTATCCATAATGAGAGTCGATTTATTAATTTGCACATAACAAACCTTTTGGAAATAGCCTCTAGGTAGTGTAACATCTTTAACTTGTCTAAAATAAACATAGCCCCAGTAATATGAACCATCTATTTGAAGGGATGTAGGACATTTAGAATTGTAATTGTTATGTTCCTCTTTGAGATTTTTCTCCCCTTGGGTATTTTGCAGTCTTATAATAAAAGTTGTATCGCCCATACATCCCGAATTGGAATCTGGGAAAGCTAGATAACAAATATTTGAAGTTTCTTGTTTAGAAAGTGAAACATGTCGTGGAAAAACACTCTAAAATACAGTAAACAATTACTATTATTATAGATGATGTTGAGATACTCACTTCTAATGCTTGTCCCAGTTCCAAATCAAATGTAACTACACACACACAATATAGCCAGTTGTGAAAACCATCCCAATTATTGTCTTTTAATTCATTTTCATAAACATTATTTCCTCCATCTGTCATATTTGATTTATTTCAATCAACATTTTCAATTTTAGTTGGACAAGGACTGGATTTAGTGGATAACACTAAAAACGTTACGAAGTTGGCACCGCAATTTATAATATTGGTATCACTTTAAATATACGATTAGTTGGAATAACCATATTTCGTATTGGACACAGCTCCGACATGTCATAGATCCGAAAAATGTTTTTAATAATGGAATAAACAGAATTAATTAAACAAACGCATACTTGAATTTATTTCATTCAAGAACACCTCCCCCTACAAAAAGGGTAATTCATTATATTGAAAATTATTCTAAACAATGCCAATTAATTACATTTTAACTGTTTGAAACGTATTCATTTTGTAATAACGTAATTAACATAAAGTTATTGCGATTAAACTGTTTACCCTTCAAATTAAATAAAGATAGCAAATACCCTCAAAAACGCCCAAAGCTGTATCGTTGTTTACTGATAATTTAGTGGAGGTATCTTTATCTCGGTTTGACAAATATATACGTATATATGTGTATGACATCCCGTTGTTTGTATATTGGCGTTCGTGTCGATTCAGTGATGAGTGATGCTATGGTGCGGTAGTGATTTTGGATTTTATAGTGAATTCCTGAATGTCAGCTGTGTAGAGAGGTGATTGTCTGATCTTGGAACTTGGGAGTCATATGTCCCCCACCCTTTTCTAAATTATATTGATGTATCACAAAAAGGAGATAAACTTTGTATAGGTTTTAAAAATAATATTTTAGTGGTTCAACCGCTAGAAAAAACAAAAGTAATAAAATGTGTACAAATTTCTGTGGTTATGTGGTAATTTAAATAAGTTAGTGACCAATTTTTTTAAATAAATGGAATTATGGCGCCAATGATTTATACTTTGTATGGATTTGCAATATTTTTCTTCATATTTTGGTGTGGTATGTGGTTACTACATTTAATAGCAATAGTTTATGGGTATGTATTCTTTAATTTGACTTTACATAACCTTACCATTTAGCCCCTTTCGTAGCTTTTAAATATGTACCTATCGACAGCTAAAACTTATATGTTTTTTAAATCTTTTTTAGTAAATACCGGCTGCACAAGAAAATTATACCTGAACCTACAGATGAACCTTATCCTGGTGTTTCAATATTAAAACCTTTAATGGGTGTCGATCCGCATTTAGTATCCAATTTAGAAACGTTCTTTACTTTGAATTATCCTATGGTATGTTATTGTTAAGTTTACTTTTATTTTGAATATACAAAAATTTTATTTTTAGTACGAAATATTATTTTGTATTGAAGATGAAAAGGATCCCGCAATAGACGTGGTTAATGCATTAATTGAAAAATATCCGAAAGTTTCTACAAGTGTATTTGTTGGCGGTTCTCTAGTAGGTGTTAATCCAAAAATTAACAACATGAATAAAGCTTACGAAGCAAGCAGTTATGATTTAATTCTCATATCAGATAGCGGGATAAGAAGTAAGTCTAATTGCATTTTAATATAATTATGTGAAGTATATGTATATTTCTGTTTTAGTGAAAGAAGATACGTTACTTGATATGGTTAATCACATGACTGAGAAAACAGGTTTAATCCATCAAATGCCTTTCACGTGTGACAGGAATGGCTTCGCTGCTACCTTAGAAAAGGTATGCCCTATTACTATAAAGTTGAATGAAATATTACAATCAAATTTTGTGTTCTAGATATACTTTGGTACGGCGCAGTCTAGAATATATTTATGTGCGGATTTTGTGAGAGTTAATTGTCATACAGGCATGTCAACGTTAATGAGAAAAGCTGTTCTGGAAGAACACGGTGGCTTAAAAACATTTGGCTGTTACTTGGCGGAAGATTTTTTTATTGCAAAGTGTTTCATAGATAGAGGATGGAAAATTGGTATTAGTAGTCATCCAGCTTTACAAAATTCTGGTCTCTGTGATGTTAATAGTTTCCAAGCCAGACTTACCAGGTAAGTCCAATTCTATCAATTGTATGAGCTCCACCTTGCAAATAATTTACAATTTATGTTATGTTTTCGTTAATTCTAAAATTGTTTTCATGAATTTATCTTTGCACATTACCTGTACTTATCTAAATTTGTTTCCTATGTTTATGGATAAAGCTGGTGCATCATCTGTAATTACTAATCGCCCTTATCAAAATATATTTGTTTGAAAGCATTTTAAAATTAAACTATTACAATAACTAGGTATTATGTATTTCCCATCTTAAAAATTAAGTACCCACTTAGATAATAAACTTATAAATCCCTTATATATAACTTAACATGTATAAAATTTGAATTGCTCAAAAAGTGCTAGAGCTAAATATTTATTGTTCTAAATTTAACTTGTTTGTGTAGGTAATTTAAGTTATAAAATAATTTCCTTGCAGTATATAGCAGTGGTACTTTAGTTTTTATTTTTGAAGTTTATTATATCAAGTTATTTGGTAATATATAAAATATCTAACATCTACAATCAACAACATTTCAAGAATTTTGCAGTTATACAATCATATTGTCTTTCCAGAAATAATGTCATAAATATATTTAACCGAAATATTTTATGAATCATATTTAGAAAATTCATTTATTTGAGATTTTTCATCTGCATTTATCTCTCTTTTTTATGGGCGGTTTATAAACAGGTTAAAGCAATTTAGAACAAATATTTTTATGGTTGTTAAACTCTTAACCTTCACTTTAATTTCCCTGTAAGTGTAAATCCACTTATTTGATTACATTTTTTAAATTCTTCTATAAAATAAATAACATTTATCATTACATTGTTTGTTTTTCATTAGTAATAATTTTAAACGTCAATTCAGGGCAGTAAAATCGAGATAATTAGGCATCCTATTACACCACCATAAGCTAGTTTTTAGTACACCCACACATTTCTTAAATGTTTTAAAGTAATAGAATACTCTAGAGATAGTAAACTTATATACCTATACATAGTAATTTATATTTAATTGCTATGTAGTTTAACTATTACACTTAAAATTTAACTTTATTTTCTTTTATTTATTTTAATCTTTATCTTGGTTATGATGTGATTAATTTGTTGAATTTGCAGTATAAACAAATTCTGATTATGCTATCCAAAGAAACCAGACAAATCCTATGACTCATAAGAAAGTTATTGTAAAATTAGTATAATAGATGCTAATTGATTCAAAGGAAATATTGTAAATTCAGAGCCAGTAAATTCAAAGAAATTATGAATGTGTTTTCCAATAGTACAAAATTACATATTATTAAATTTTTGTTTATAACATGATTTACTTATGGATATTTCAGGGTCATGTAGTTTGGAATTATATAATTAATAGAATATTTGTGCCTACCCTTACCATTTTAATTTTAATAAATTTTACGAAGTACATTAATTTTTTATAGATGGGCAAAGCTACGGTTGGCCATGGTTCCCCTGGTAATAATTTTTGAACCTCTTACTGAGTGCATGGTAATAGGAGCTTGTGCAGCTTGGGCATTCAGCCTGTTGTTCCTTTGGGAGCCTTTAGTTTTTTATCTTGTACATATTTTAGTATGGTTTTTGTGCGATTGGATTTTGTTATCGATAGTACAGGTAACAATTAAACTTTTTATATTTAATAATAATAATAATAATAAACTCTTTTTTCAGAATGGTACACTACCGTTTAACAAATTTGACTTTATAATTGGTTGGCTATTTCGTGAATGTTCTGCCCCATACCTGTTCCTTCTCGCAGTGCTAGACCCTACAATAAAATGGCGTAATAGAGTATTTAAGCTAGCCTGGGGTGGTGTCGCCCAGGAACTGAAACCCAGAATCAAATGTTAATAAATATGTATTCTAAGTTATGTATTTACTTCTGCACATTTCTCATGTTCATTGTCATAGTTATAATTATTTTGTACATATGTTCGTTTCATCAAACATTTTCACCAATTATCTTAAGTGATGTCACATTCGTGAAAGATTTAATTTTATTTTTTTTAATAAAAAGTGGAATGTATTTCGTTGTCTACTTTATCTGAACTATTCCCGTTTGCATGTGTTGATAATATTAACACATCATTACATTTAACGATTGTTTTATATATTTTCCAAAGTGAGTACACATATAACGACTATTACTATAGATAACAATATTTAGCCATTACGTTCCCGAAATTCAGAAATTTATACATAAATGTTTTGTAAAAAATACTAATTGGTGCGATTATTAAATGATTTTAAGATAACATTTTGAGTCGATAGATACACTAGCCGGCTTATTTTTCTAATTTCCTGGTTTAAATAAAGCATATCGTGACAAAATTCTTGGAATGAATACACCATACAAATAAAATGTTTGATAACAATTATATGTCAACATAATGAGTCACGTTTCGTCTTATGATAAATAAAACTGGAATTCCTTTGATAAAAAATTTTTTACTTTCTATGATGGATAAATCAAATCTGACAGTTGTGACATAACTATAAATTTTATTGATACTATGACCACTGTTGCAAGTTAACTTATAGAAGTTTCCTTTCTAGTTTTACTTTTGGATGCATTAAAGAAATACTTAGCTTTTAACTTGCCTTTGTTAACAATTTTATTGAATTTCCAAGGCATAGATGGAAAGCCATAGACAAGGGCGTAGCTAGGATTTTTGGTTGGGGTGGGCCCAGATCTGCTGCAAACCCTATGGAGGCCTCTAAAGAGAGAAAAAAACGCAATCAACGACTTCCCGATATAATATTCCAAAACCTTAGCACTCTTTCGTTTCACTCGATTCTACAAAAAAACTTACCGATTTTGACAAAGATGATATTATTGGATCTTTTTTTCTGGAATGGGCCGCGCCCATAGATAGATCGGGCGAGAACCTAACCAAAATTCACCTCGCCAAACCTTTTAAACACTATACAGGGTGTTTCAGTTCGAGTGAATCAAACTTAACCACAAATAGAACTCAATAAATAATTCAGAATTGCCTTATAAAACAAGGGTCTAGTCTCACCGTTTTCACTGTACAGGGCCATATTGGTCGGTTGTTAAAATCATATTATTTACAAAATCTTTGGTATGCTTAGAACGAATTGATTGTGACCGCAAAAAACCTGTGATTTTCGCCCGTTTTTTCACAATACACAGAGAATTAAAAAAAATACATAAAAATATGTTTTTGGTTGTAAAAAACTGAAATGAGCATAGCTTTTAGTATTTTGAAAATTTAAAAAATCACCCCTACGTAGGGGTTGAAAAAATGCCAAAAATGAAGAATTGAATATTACCAATTGATATAAAAACTATTAGTATGTGAATTATCTTAATTTATTTTTTTTGGTTATTTTTACAATTATTTCTGATATTCTCTAGTTTTGGGGATGATTCCATCCCCTGAGCGCGCTTAAGGGTGGATTTTCTAATTCAACATAGTCATTTCAGTCATGAGAATAAATCTTTCTTTGTATCAAGAATAATTCGATAGAAAAATTCACATGCTAATAGTTTTTATATTTAATGGTAATATTAAATTCTTCATTTTGGGCGTCTTTTCAACACCTAAATAAGGGTGATTTTTGAAAATTTTCAATAAACAAAGCTATGCTCATCTTAATTTTTTACGACGAGTAATTTGAGACCAAAAACATATTTTTATCTATTTTTTTAGTTCCCTGCGAATTGTGAAAAAACAGGCGATTTTTGCGGTCACTCTTTGATGTGGTGTTAACATTTACACATGTGCATAATTTATTGTAAAATTTACAAATTTTTTGTAGGTCAGTGGCATAGGAATGGGTATAATAAAGCGGTATAGTGTATCGTTTTACCGAAAATCACAGTTGAATGATTCCGTTCCTCTGATAAGAAATTTAGTTTCTTAAGGATAGGAAATAAATTTTAAATTAATGTCACGTATTACCTTAGAATTCAAAACAATATTAAATAATGTCTCTACATCCGCAAAATGACTAGTAAATTTTAAATATAACACCCTGTGTATTATTTATTGCATTCGTAATGTGGTGAATTCCTTCTCTGAGCTCATTTTTTTGTTGCATTGCAGTGCGGTGGACCTTTTCTAAAATTGCATTTGTGTCAAAAAAATCAAAAAGAAGTAAGAAAATTATATTTTCAACAACCAAGGCCATAAGACCAACGTCAATATTATGTTTATTTATATATACTTAATTTTTTGAGCCCGTGTCAGTTTGATTTGGCAAAAGGGCAAGTCCCTTTGATTACTGATATAGAAACAACAGCACCATCTTCCAGTGTAAGTTGTGAGAGACCTTTTAACAATTTAGAAAGAATTAAAGATTATTTAAGAACCACTATAAGTCAAGGTATACTTACTAACTTGGGTACTTTGTATGTAAAAAAAATATACTAAAAATTTAGAACTCGAATTAATCATAGACTAGTTTAATGCTGCGCATAATAATAAAATAACCCTGTTCCAGTATTCCATACGACATACATCATTTTCCTGGCCATATAATTATTCCTGAACATTTACTGGAACATTGGTCAATAAAATAACTTAGTTTATAATATTTTTTTCCAAGTTGTTTTATTTTACGTTCGTAAAAAACATCATAGACGATTTATCATAAAAAAATTTTTGCTTCCCACTTTGTTAAAACATAGTTTCATTAACAATGCAATGGAAAATTAAACTTATTAATATTATGCTGCGCATATTTTTTTTAAATTCAAACAATACTTGATTAAAATTTAACAATTTGAAATTTTTTTTATGATAAATTGCCTATGATGTTTTTTCTGAAGATGGGATAAACCCGAAACGATCGTAAAATAAAGCAAATTAGAAAAATATTATAAACTAAGTTATTTTATTGACCAATGCACCAGTAAATAAATTCAGCAGTATTCTATATATAGTATACTGTATTCTATACATACATACCGATCTGTCCTTGACCTTATTTTTGTTAATTTAAATAATAGTTAACGTTTATTGGCCAAAACATTTAAAAGATGTTTTGTAAAACCCAATGCCCCTTACAATTATTAAATATATGACGCCCATCCTGTAATATTTTCTGCGAGTTTTAGCCCTGTCGAAAAATAATGTTAGCGCCGCTACTGCGTCATGTATAAGACTTAAAAGCCAAAGCCATGAAAAACTATAAACTAAACGTGACTGACTTCCTAAATACATACTGTATAATTTTTCGATATGCTTTTATGCGATTTACTTACTTATACAGAGTGATTCAAAAAACCGCTGACAGACTTCTAGGGTAGATAATACATAAAAATTTAAGACGAAAAGTTTTAATAAACATAGGGTCGCAAATGCCTCCTTAACGAGATACAGGGCGTCAAAGTTTCTGTAAAATTAAACATTGTCAGCAATAATTCCAAAATGACTGAACATTTCTATTTCAAATTTGCTATGCGTAGTTAGCACCTTAAGACCAATGTTTGATGTACTGCTCAAAATTTTATGAGCAGCACTGTCGTAGAGACGGGGTCAACGTGACCCTTTTTTTTAAATATTTTCTACGCCACTGCTAATTTTGTCAAAAGGGCATTATTTTCGTGTAAAGTGTTCAATTGTCTATCGAATTGGTCTCTTGCAAAATTTGGATTAAAACAACCATTTTTAAGAAAAACACCTTTGCAGAAAATTTGTAAATCCAATTTTATTTTCATTCATTTTAGTTTCGCATAGTAGGCTTGTGCTATTCAAAATAAAATTAAACATCGCCTGTCACTAATGTCAATGTGTACAAGTGAATTAAGTAAACTCGATTATAAGCTTCTTTTTGTCATTTTTACGCTTTAATTTTACAGAAACTTTGACGCCCTGTATCTCGTTAAGGAGGCATTTGCGACCCTATGTTTATTAAGACTTTTCGTCTTAATTTTTCATGTATTACTTACCCTAGAAGTCTGTCAGCGGTTTTTTGAATCACCCTGTATATGCGTCAAACTTACACTAATCTTTCTACAAAAAAATTAATTTTCTAAAACTGGGCTTCCCTATTAAGAAACTGATTATGTATTGCACAGGGTGGTAAAATACCCAAGATGTAGTTTCTGAAAATGATTAGTCAGTTATTATTTTTATGTGCTGATCGTAAAATCCCGTTTATTTGCTTTAGACTTAACCTCATCATAATTATCGGTACCCTTTTGTTTCGGATGGGGTCAAGTTCACGGGGGTTCACCAAAGTTATCTTTGTTCTTACATACATATATAATACACCGTTGAAAACTATGCCTTCAGTTATTCGCAACCATGTATCTTAACTCGGCAGTAGTTGTTCTCGTATCAGTTTTCTGTTATGTTGAATGTAAGTTTTGTTTTTCCTAATAACGAAAATGCTTAGGTTTAAACAATGCAGTTAATCAGTTAATTTTGATCCAAATTTAATTGTATCTCTTTTTTATTTGATTTGTGTGTTACTTACTGATCTTTATCTTTCAGATTATGTTATCTATAGCTTAATGTAGTCACGAACTTTTTTTATTTTTATGACAGGACGTTGAATTGTTTATAAATCATTATGGGGACTTAAAATTTATATTTACTCATTACATCAGAAATGCGACTGAATGATGCATAAGTTACAAAATATCTTTATGCCTTTATACACCAATAAAAGCTTGCGATATATTTTCAAGGTGCTTGTCCAGACATAATTAGTAAATCCAGCTGGGGTGCAAGATCTCCAAAAAAAACCAAAGCTTTAAGATCAACACCCCCTTGGATAGTGGTTCACCATTCGGACACACCAGCCTGCAACAGCAGATCAGCATGCGAATCGCGTGTCAAAAATATACAGACGCATCACATCGATCACAACGGATGGGATGATATTGGTTACAACTTCTTGGTAAGAATCATAAGCTTTACCGTGTAATATCTAAAGATAATGATTTAATGATCGATCGATGGCATAAAAAAAAATGCCATAAATGTTTAATATCTTTTGTCTAAAATTCCACTGAAATGTTATCTACATATTATCTCTTAAAAGGATTTTCTGTCCCGCGTATTTTATCTTTTTATGTGATTATAAAAAATATTTACTTTTCAGATCGGTGGAGATGGAAACATTTATGAAGGCAGAGGATGGGGTATCCACGGTGCACATGTACCTAGGTACAACGCTAAAAGCATCGGAATTTGTTTAATTGGAGATTTTCAAAGTATAAGTTTAAGGTTCAAGGTTTCAACTTTGACTTAAAAATATTTTCATTGCAGATACCAATCCGCCAAGCAACCAACTGCAGGCCCTTGAAAATTTAATCAAGTGTGCTGGGGATACAAATAAAGTTACTTCAAATTACCGGGTCATAGGTCACAGGCAAGGTGGCGCTACTAAATGCCCTGGAGATAATTTATTCAACAAAATCAAAACGTACAGCCGATGGGAGCCCAATCCCAGCTAAATTAATAAATTATTAATTAAATAATTAGAGTTTATTTAAGATAAACTCACCACTTGTTCCGATATTCTTTGTCATAATTAGAATTATTTATTAAACGATCAAATGGACAGAAAAGAAAAAGGCTATAACTTTGTTTTAGTTTGTATCACTACCCCTCCTTTCACAAAAAGTTGTTTTCTGTATCGTGACCGAAGCTGAAGTAAGTCCTTAATAATTTATACCGCCTCATAGTCAGTGGCGGTATAAAGCACTGTCAGTGCAGTACAACAATTTATTTAAAAAAATAATGAGATGAAATAAGATGAACTATGAAATTGCGCATTTGATAGAATTTTTAAATATGCTATTTTCTAGTACGCGCCTTTCGAAACTTTGTATTTTTTATAAGAGAAAATAGGAAATCTCATTTAAAGAAATTAGGAAAAATGTAAAAATACAGACTTTTGCTTATTAAGCTAAACGATAGACATTTGTTTATATTAATTTTTAGTGATATTGCCAAATAAACTGTAAACTTTCATAGTCGTGTATTTCATTGAAGTCTAGTTGCAAAGTCAAACAGTAACACACAAATTGACCATGTTTTGAAAAATATCCGCAATTAATAAATTTCTTGTCCCAAGAGCACCGCTGCATCCACACCATTGGTAGTGCCGTTACAACTGTAATGAAAACGTAATTACCCGTAGTATGTGTTAAAAAAAGTAGTTGCAAAGTATAGAGGCGCCCAATTTGACGCACTGCGCAAATGATTTTTAATTTCTTAAGCCCACTGACGTATTTATTTACCCTAGCGACCATTACTATGGTTTTACCACGTTAAAGATATTATCGAATAAATATAAGCATGCGCTAGCCAAGCGCCCTGGAAAAACGTGCTTTTCGGATAGGATCACTCCCCCAGTGGCAGCCCTCTAAAAACAATGTTGGTCTGCAGGAAAAACTTCAAATTATGAATCAGTTTGCCGAATTAAAATCACCGAGCAGTGAAACCGTTCAGGCAAACTACAACAAACTTTCCGATCATATAAGAAGGTTGACCCCACACGGGATCCAGTGTAGTGTTTTCTGTGGGGGGCTGAATTGTAAATATGAAAATCCAGAGAACTGGAAGGCCGACAGTTTGGCCATCCAAGGTATTTATTCCCACTGGTAAGTGCATCGCATGAACATAAATGAATTTTATTTGCACGGCACGCAATGACGCTTCAACAGGTGAAAATATTTCTGCGAAACCTGCTACGGTACCTACTTTCAGAGCAGTTTTAATTTTTACTTTAATGAAGGTTTTTTTGAAAATAAAATTATCAGTTTACTTACACTAGCCAAAGTATGAGAAAAGATCTATCAGTTCTGCATATTTTGCTGATGTTTTGAAAGAAATTCCATTATCATAGGAGAGGAAGATGTTCACATAAATATCATTGACTACTTCACCTTGAAAAATTGGTAACCAAAAGTTTCAAAATGTTGAGAAATTTATTTTTAATTTTTAAAATCTTGAAATATTGTATAAATAAAACATTTAATATTAGAATATTATTTTTGATAAAAAATAAACTTTCTTTAGTCCTTCTAGTTTCTTTACAATTTTGTTAACTTGTCTGTACATTATAAAGTATTAATTGTTAATAACTTAATAATCATATTAATACTTTGAAAATTGCCTTTAAATTATGTGATTGAGAATACACGATTCTAATAACTGACTGATAATTCTAGACTTTAGTGCAGAAATGACATCCATTACCTAATAAACAGTAATTCAAACACTGTAATTTAAACTCAAGGCAATTATAGTAAATGAAATAGTTTTTATTCGATAATTCTAGTATGTAAAGTTTCTCAATTTCATGATGTCAATAAAAATCAATTTTTTATAAATGATTTTCATCTACAACTGAGTTGCGCTTATTGGATTAAAAAATATCCCCATTGCAAATTATGAACTATATAATAGAAATGTATTGATTGGCTAATGTACCTACGTAAATTATTAAAAGAGGATACCTCTTTTATTGCTGAAGGATGGCGATGTATTTTTAGACAATCATTTCTAAATAAATTATCTATACAAAAGGGGTTGGTTGACTGAAGCTCTTAATAAAATTTGCATCTGTGTAACTTTTTTTACTGGAAACATATCGATTTTAGAAATTAAGTATTATTACATGTACAGTGTACAAAAAATTTATCATCGTTTAGATCGAAATATTTGAAGTAGTATTTTCTTATGTATAAAAATAACTTTCAAAATTAAGGGATTATTATTCATTCACACGTATCTACGTCTAAAAGGAAACGGAAATTTTCCCCCACATTATGGTTTATGACTGGCTATTTGCATATACCGAAACAAGTCAGGGTCAAGTAAATAAATTATTTACATTAATTCCCTGACGTAAACGGAGTCATAGAATAAATGTTTACTACCATTTTCAATAGGGACCTACTTATACATATTACTATTTACCTATCATAATTTAAGGGAGCCTAAAAAATGACACCTACCTGTTCAGAGAAATTGGACTGATAAGCACACATCGACATTTCGTTCTAGAAATGTCGATAATACTATGTGACTACCCCGAAAGTTAAAAAAAAAATAGAATATTAAGTTCTTCAAGCAATGGCCAAGAAATTCAAATAGAGAGACTGTCATTAAATAGAACGCATTTTGATGTTTTTGTATAAACAACCTAATAAAAATTGAACCATGCCATAAGTATAGATAAATATTCACATGCTTGTAATAGTATTAATAAAATGAATGAAACAGAAATTTTGGTAGAATAATGTTTCGATAAACAATTTATCAATATTAAATTTTCCGTCACATTTTAATCAAATTCACTGATGTTTCGATTTTATTAAAGATCTTCCTATGGTCTTATACCAAGAAGTTTGGTTTGTCTCTACCACAAATCTATTCAATATGCTTATTTTTTTTATATATCGAGCATATTAGCTAATGTGTAACAATTTGGAAGCCACGCTATTTGCGTGTAATACAACCAATAAACACGAGCACGTTTTTGTTATAAATGTGTATAAAGTAGTCTATTATATTTTACAGGATAACAGATGATATCCTGGCGATGGCACGACCCAGTACGATTGTTATAATTCAGAAAAATGTAATACAACAGTTTGAAAGGTATTTTATCGATTTTCGTTTGGTTTTGTTTATAATATTTAATTGTACTGACAGTTTAGGAATCAAATCGATCATAAATCTGCAATGTCCGAAGGAACACGCCAGTTGCGGACAGCCTTTAGAAGCTTCCGGATTTTCTTATAACCCGAACATGTTTATGGAACACAACAGTGAGTAAATTTAAATTATATGAGCCAACTCAGAAATTTGGCACGGAGTTCAGGACAGTTTGTAATAAAGACATTTATAGGTTGCAACCCTTTTTGGTCGAAGTTTTATTTCCTTAACCTACTTTTGTTTATTAGCTCTAAGTGCTCGATAATAAGGGGACAATTATATTTTATGCAAATCCGCGCAATAGAATGGGAACTGTGAAGTTATAAATAAAATACTTGGCTGGTTTAACATAAAGTGGGGCTAATAATTTACATGTATTACTATGTTCTGGGTATATTAAACGTAAAGCCATCGAGTTGTTTATGAAATCAAGACGTTAATGTCCACAAACAAAACCAGGTGCATAGCAATGACAAATTAATCAAAAGTACAAGTACCTAGCAAAATACCGAGTATTCTAAAAAATTTTAAAGTATTTCTTATATCACAATTGATTTAATGTATTTTATAAATGACGTTGCATCCTTAATTTATTATAACTTATAATTTATTTCTTGTTATAAGGTTAAAACACTAAAGTGTAAGGTTAAAACCTTAATGAAATTAGTGTTAATTTTTTATTACTTAGAAGACACGCCACTGTGTGCTACACTAGTCATTAGTTTATTATAACCGCAAGTTTCCCCTAATGCACGATTGTATCTTTTAAAATTGGTTAATTTATACCAACGAACCCATTACCGTCGTATCTTAGATTTTAAATTGTGTTTTCTTTAACCCACTTCTCGCTTTTCGTGTTCTTAATAATTGTCGCTGAAGTTTTCAACGAGGTTGTTTAATATTCGCCATAAATAGGTTCATTTGTACAGGTTGGTCTGGCTTATTTCAGGAATTTTAATTTGTGGTTAGGCCTATAAACAACACGCAGTATATTGTGTGTTATTTATAGAAAGAAAATCAATAGTACACCTTTCTTATCAATAATTTTCCATCTATTTATGAAATCGATTACTTCCTGAATCGTATCCTGTAATTATGTGCATATATAACTAAATTTTAGGTGAGCAAGTAAAAGTGATAATATCGCTACATAAGGGTGTAAAAAAATAAAACATTTTTTCCAGTATATTACTACAATTTTACGTGGAAAGATTACGGGGACGCGACATTGATGGGCCTTTTGAACATGGTCAAAGTACTGGCATTTGCATTAACAGAAGGGCGGGTGGCAATACACTGTCATGCAGGTAGGTAAACCGATAATAATACTGATATCTAGAGTTCACTGGCACTAATTTAAACGATTATTTATTATTGCATGAGGCACGTGCAAAAATAGAAGCAATATATCGCTCACGTTGTACGCCGATTTAAAATCGACCACCCTATAACTATATGGATATGTCTTTCAGGTTTGGGACGAACAGGCGTTTTAATAGCGTGTTATCTTGTATACGCCCTACGAGTAAGTGCAAACGACGCTATTAGATATGTCAGATTGAAGAGGCCAGGATCGGTACAAACCAGGGGTCAAATATTATGCGTCAGGCACTTTGCTCAGTATATTCTTCCGCAAACAATAACTTATTACTTAAAGTAAGTTCCTACCACACTCCAATCAAGTGCACATTGTTAATTTTATTTTTATTCAGAGATGCCGTAGGAAAAGATAAATACATGAACGAATTTACCCTCCATAGGTTCCTAAGGAGGCAGAGGGTAGTTCTTCATGGATATGACGAGAGAAATTTCAAATATATACCAAAGGTAAAACTACACTACCGAATTTTTTAAAGTTTTATTATATTTATCTTTCCAGATCGTCCATTGCCTGTGTGAAAGAATTTTGAAGTTGTGTGCGTGTTGGGTGGATGAATTTCCGCCTACCAATATTCCATATACCGTCGACTTTTTGTCTGCCAAAATACACGGGAATTTAAAAAGACATGAAAGCACCTATAGCATTTCTAGTATATCGAGTAGCAATTCGGAACGTATGTATAACAGTTTATCAAATATGGCTAATTTACTTTAAACTTTTTAGACATATTTCTTAACGCGGAAATGGTTAAATCCCCATCGAGCGAAATTTCAGCACCTTCCAGCCCCAATCCGTCTGAAATGGGCGATGTTACCGACTCATTTTCTGAACTAAGTACGCTCGATGGGGAAGAAATGAACGAAGAACTGCTAATAGAAAATAAGTGTTTTCAAGAACTTGAGACACAAAAAAGTTTTGCTCAAGAACAGGCCGAGGAAGAAATTGTAATTCAAGACATAAACGTTGCTATTAACGCTCTTTTAAGCGATACGGAAGAATCTGACCACGATATGAAACGAAAAATTAGACAGTTTCAACATGAAATTAACTCGTCACAACTTGGATGGGCAAAACTATCTGTTGAGAATAATTTAAATGTTTTGTGTGCTCTTTTGTTTGACTGGATTGAGGGATTGAAAGTACCCGTGTTAAAAATGGAAAATTTTGAAACGATTGTAGTATTATACAAACAGCCAGAACTATGCCTACAAAAGTTTAATGTCGAGGATTCTTACTTAATAGAGTATTTGTTAAGGTTTATCAGTAAATTTCAACCTATAAGCAAAGATAATCAAGATGACTTACTGAAGAGGGTGATTGCAGCATTATCGAAGCACTGCGTACAAATTAACAATCACAACATTCCTTCAGGTAAAAAAGCTAAGTGAAAACTAATGATGTATTTAAAAATTGTTTCCAGGAAAGGGTTTCAAAAGGATTGGTGATGGAACTTTCAACTGTACTTTCCAGTTTTTCCAGTCATTGTTTGAATTAATAGAAAGTCACCATAGCCAGAAACCAAATGTATACAGCTTGGACGAGGACAAGATTTCTGCCAACGAATACGATGTAGAAAGCGGCTTCCAATAAATTTATCCTATTCTAACTAAAATTATCTACTGTTCGCATGCCAACGAAATTTTATAATTAATTCCTGTTAGTATTATATTTCCGATGTTTTCTAATTTTAATAAACAATGCCTATTATATTTTACTAAGAAGTATGTCTACTTTTAATGTAATTAAACTCGTTATAAATGCGTTTAAATAAACTATATTTGTATAACTTGTATCATTTAATCATAAAAACAGGGAACAATAAACAGTCGAATTTCTGAATTTGTTCATTATTAACCGTTCATAATTTAATATTTTTTTATCAGTAACGCTCAAATAATTAAAGGAAATAAACATTTACCTCGACTAATTTGTATGTAGATGTACCCATTTGAATCTCACTAGCGAGTTAGTTGAATACGCCTAATGGCGGTTGTCAAATACATTAGAAGAAGAAGAGGAGAATAAATAATTCAATATTCAATTCAAATATAACCTACAATTTCCAATGAAATGCGGAAATTTAATTTTAATATAATATTTATTTGATTAAAACATGGCTGGAAAGAGTGAGGATGATTTTTGGAATACAAGTTCATCTTTAGGATTTAATTTTGATGACGATGAGGTACGGAAATTAAAAAAAAAAACAAATGTATTGCATATATATTTCAGGATACAAGTGAACCATTTAGCGAATCTGTGTTCAACTCGCCTACTGAGGAAAGCAGCGTTGTTCCCATATTTTCAATTATCTCCAAAAACTGTTTAGATTTAGGTATGTTTATGTGATAACTATGAACGTCGTACAATTAGTATATTTATCGAAACTTATTTGTCTTTAGTACTAGACGATATTAAGTCAGTAAATGAATATGTGACGCCACCTGTTGAAGAAATTATTAAAAAAATATTTAATGGTCAAAAATACTCGTTAGAAGTTTACAAAAAGTTCGATGAGAAATTACTGCTACTTGATTCAGCCCTAGACACTATGGATGGAAATATAATACTCAAAGCAAGTAATACTATTCGATGATAGCAATGAATACATTATTCTTTATTTCTAGGTAATTCTATTTCTAAAATCGACACTCAAACGGAACATATTTTCTCACCAGTTATCTAAAAGAAAAGTAGCGGTGAAATATTATGCCGATTATTTAATAGTTACTAACCAATTTGGAGAACTGACCGATATTTATATGTACGTTTATAGAAATACATAAACTTGAGTTTCATTCTTGTTTCATATTTCAGGGCGACGGGAAACAGTGGGCACATGGTAAGACTTACTAGTTATCTTTTATTTCTTTGTCATGTAACTTAATTAATAAGTACTTATTATTTATATATTCCGTCATCCGTGATTTATGCAGAAACAATTATATTATTTAATTGGACGAGACGTTAGCTGCAAAGACACTCTATATAAGCGGCTGGATCAATTTATGAATGAACACATGCCTAAATTAGACCACGAAGACAAGAAAGAATTGTTCGAAAATATGCAGTTACTTCGTGAGTGAACGTTATCAGTAAGCGACATGTTTCCGAGTTAAATTTGTCTTTTAGATTGGCAAACGAAAACAAAACAGACGGCAAATTCGGTTATAGAACAGTTGGCTGCTTGGTGCAGGAGGGAATGGGAAGGAAATATTAACTCGATGGCTCCGGTCATGGATTTTAAGCAAAAATTTAAAGTAGACGACTTTGCATTTGAATGGACACTAATGAATGTTATGGCGTCTATGCAGATGTGGCCACAACTTGCCGCTTTGTTCATAAAGCCCGTAAGTGGATTTGGTAAATATATAAAGGGTTAAATAAAAATTGTTTTGTAGAATTGGTTAACCAAAAAAGACGCTCTCAAAACGGTGATGACTCCGGAAGTTTTTGTGTATGGTCTAAGCAGGCATAAGCCGCCGAAAGAGGTTTTGGAGCAGTACTTACATTACATTTCCGATTCAGATAGGAGTATGAATTTAGCTCAGAAGTTAAATTGTCACAAATTTATCGTTCAACATTACATTAACCAACGTGATAGATTAGCCCTTGTCGGTTATAAAGGGAAGTTAGCTCCTCAAACTGAGGAATATTTCATGGTAGAGCATGCGTTACAGTCTGCGGTAATTTGATATAAAAATTTATGTATGCACTATTAAATGTTTAATTTTAGGATAAAAAGTGGAAAAACTAATTGTGATATCTTAGGGTCCATCCATGACAGAATACGAGATTTTAAGTTGATATAACTAGACGTACGATATTTAGAGTGTATTTTTGATGATTTTTTAATATTTTTATATCCACCTGTTTAATAAACAAAATACATTATAAACAGCTTTTTATTTATTTGTAATAGGAATGAATAATAATACTGATACATTTACATGCCTTGTGAACTTAAAACTGAAAAAAAAAAATAATTAAATTTACTACCTAATGATAAAAACAAATCAATAAATAATAATGTATGTATCTATAAAAATAAGATACAGTCAATTTGACTATTTTAAACAATATTATAACAAATTTTATCTAGAATATTACTTAATACAATATATATAGAATTAATTTACTTAAAAATACATTCAGGAACTTAATTAAAAATGCGTCAAAGAAAATTGACGCATTATCCCTACTATTTACAATTCATATATTTTTTATTATACAAAAATATATAAATATAGATTTATTGCATTTAAACTAACATCTGCGTCAGTTAATGAACTAGGTGATTAATGTTTATCACATTTTTCGTTACAGTGAGTCTTTTACATTATCTTGACAGTATGACAAAGAACATAGAATCACATAACAAAAATACAGGAATACTCACTTCTTGCTTCAGTTACTAAAAAAATTATACGCCAAAAATACTATCTTTTTCCACAAAACAAAAATAAAAAGTCAAAATTTTGTTTTCAACCATCATATTTAAAGGATTTCAGACAGAAACTACAGCACTCCGTACAGGACCGGCTCTTCACATTTCGCCACCCTTCAAATACTGGTACTAATTTTAGTCTCTTGCTTTTGATCTTATACTTCTCCCCACCTCACCTTAAGTGGGTTGAAGGTCTGGTAAACTTCCAAAATTACACGTACGTTACCGGACAATCAAATTTTTCACGTGTGCACTATTGATTTTATCTCTTATTTTAATCGAGTATTAAATTTTTTACTGAATTTTTAAAGCAAGTCCGGTAACATATACGTACAAACTCGTATTGTTACATTTTACATTAACAAAAATATGCATAAAACTCACACACTCTGTTACATTAGTTATAATTACAACATAAAACACAATATACCTTTAACAGGGTAAATTTTAAGTTTGGTTTTTGAAAACGCCTGATTCCTTTACACTGTTTTCTATATTGTGTTTGGTTACAAGTATTTCTGGGCCACTCTGTATATATTACCTTTTTAGAATTTTCATTTAAATTACAATTAGTTATTCTAAAAATGTAATTAAAATACAGGATGTGTTGTTTAAAATAATAAAAATATCCGTAAAAGTAAAACGCGTTTTATGGTATATAATACTAAAATTATGGACAATTTGATGGTGAAAATTATTGTACTAAACTTCTTGTGTGTTTTATTGTAACATTAATTCGTATACAGAAATTTCAATTCAAAAAAGTTTCTGGTAAATATCTGTTCGATTTTATATTTTGTTTCAAATAATGTTTACTTGAAAATAAAAATAGTTTGAATAGATTGCACAGGTGACATAAGCATATAAGTTATTTAGAGACCAAGAATTTTATTCTCAGTCTTTAATGTATTGGTCACAGAACAGTACGCAATTAATAAACAAATTTGTAATTTGTGCCTATATAAACTAATTAATTGCACTATTGAGAGCGAAAATATTGTGATACGAAACTACCTCTAATCTGACTAGATATGAATCTTGAATTTGATTTTAAAAATACTGCAGTGAACATAAAACAGTGGGATTATTTTAACCATACAGAATAAATTTAATAAAACCATAACCATAAACCAGAATCGGTACTTTCGATTTTTATATCGATTCTACAAAACATCCTATTGCCAATGTATTTACCATTTTAATGTTTTATTAAAGAGATACCAAGTAGTTGACGTCAGTCATTATGTGTTTCGTTATATATCTATCTGTTGACGTCTCTATTAAGTAATTTTTAATAAAAAATGCAACTCAATTTAAAATAAATTGTCTGCCTCTAATATTTTTATTATTTATATGACCTTTTGTTTCTCCATTGGAATAAATTAATGAAATACAGGTGTGGTTTACTTTTGACCTAAAGTTCAAATATGCAGTAATTGTACGCAAAACGAACGTTAAGTAAAACGGGAAGGATATTGGAATGTACTATACGAAGTGAAACTTAAATGTAAATGCGCAACTTATCCCAGACATTCACACTGTTCTTGCGGATTATTTAAATTTGCATTAACTGTATTAAATTTAACCTACAATACAATGTTTTACGAAGAACTGAAGAACAAAATCTTTACACTTTTACAGACTGCAAGCCGCCCTCGATTGTTTTTCGTCCGACTAGTACAATTCGAATAACATGGCAACAGGGCCGGCTCCAGAAAATTTGCCCCTTTAGTCTATAGCAAATTTTAACCAAAATATTCCCAAAATTTTTAATACAAAAGTTTTACCTTTTTTTATGAATTTTTATAATACAGTATTAGAAAAAACAATTGAATAATGGAATGAAACGTTAAATTTTTCTCTTTTCAAAAATATATAATGTTTGATTCAGGACTTTTCGACATATTTCAGTTTAAATCTATTTTTAGAGGGAAATTTATGTCTGACGGATCGCAGTGGCTATGGGCGAGGTACGCGGAACAAACATATGACTTTGACAGAAGTTTATTAACCATCATTAATTTATTTCCTATAACAAATTTGAAGTTATCCGTTTATTTTACAAGAATAATAATAATGTGAATGCAGCGCGCGCCGAGTATGCTCGTTTGTATCCCGGGTTTCCATTTCCATCTTGAGCTGCATTTTACGACATTGAGCGACGCATTAGAGAAACAAAATCTCTTGGAAGATAGAAACGAAGAATTATTCCAAATAAATAATTAAAATTAACTATTTTACTACATTTTCAAGTTAAGCAAATATTCATTCGAGGTTTACCATATGAAATTATCGTAGAAAGGCCACAATAGTCCACAATAAATGCTTCAAGACAGTTAGAAATAAGCTAAAGTAAAATTATTAGAACGTTACATAAATATAAATACCGCTCCTATAAAACTATGCCGGTCCAAAAACTCACTCAAAATAAAAAAATTCAGCGATTAGAGTACCTACTGCAGAAATGCTGCGCTTGAAAAATGGCGAACTAAACTATTTTTAAAAGATTTTATGGACCGATGAGGCGACTTTTACAACAGCTGCATTCACATTATTATTATTCTTGTAAAATAAACCGATAACTTAAAATTTTTCGTTCTCTCTAAACATTATTTCTTTGTGAAAATTGTTATAGGAAATAAATGAATGATGATAAATAAACTTCTGTCAAAGTCGTTTGTTTATCCCGCGTGCCTCGTTCATAGCCACTGCGATCCGTTAGACATAAATTTTCCTCCTGTTTTTTCAAAAATAGTTTTAAACTGAAATATGTAAAAAAACTTCTGAATCAAACAGTGACATATTATATATTTTTGAAAAGAGGAAAATTTAACGAAGCTAAGCATGCACTAACATATAGGGTGTTCCATTAAAATAAAACTTTTTCTTTAATTTAGTGATTTCCATTATTCATTTGTTTTTTCTAATACTGTATTATAAAAATTTATAAAAAAAGCTTTTGTATTAAAAACTTTTTTATAATTTCAATAATAAACTCACAATAAGTTGTCAGATTATAGTGACTAACCCTGTACAGTGACCACCATAAAATATTCACCAAATAGGAAATATTTTTATTTATGATTTTATAAATCTAGATACCTATACAAGCAGATTTTTGGTTCAGCAATGTTTTGACTCTTCGTTTTAATAACTGTGACAGTTTAAATTTATTTGTTTACTTTTGTCTGTTTCCACAGCTAGAAAAAGAGTTCAAAAGACTTGAAAACAGTGGATTTTCGAAACGTTAACGACCTTTTTAAAGTGCGCGATATTATTTTTGTATTTTCTATTTGTCTGCTTTTTTCAGTGAGATTTTTTGGTTAGGCAAAATTATTTTCATAAGAATAATCCTTGACTGGTCCATTTGGCGGAAGGGCTTATTACAGTAATTTAAAAAAAAAAATTCACAAGTGCCCCAAAAAATAAAGAAAAAACCGAAAATTATACACAAATAAATAACTTTAAACAGTATGGTAATCCGCATAATATATATAGAATTGCATAATATATACAGGGTGATTCACTACTTATCCAAAAAAAATTGGGAATAGATGCGTCATTAAAAATGGAGCCAATATCGTAAAAAAAACATTGTAAAATCCTTATAGTTTGTGTGAAAAAAGTTATTGAAGTTGTAGTATTTTCAACCTTTACATCGCTGGGCCACTGTAATCTCTAGCGTCATTCGCCCACGTGGCCTCAGGCGAATACTCAAATCCGATTTCAGTATTATCGTCGTTGCGATAGTGTTTACATAATTGTAATTGTAAGAGCCCCCGTACATTCAAAAAAAATTTTTTGAGAAAAGCTCAAAAACACTAGAATAAGTAAAATAACATATTCACCTAAATATTCTTAATGGAAGCATGAACTCCAAGTATTCATATCAAGTCAGATGCGAAGAGGCGCATTTAATTTAATAAATAACTTTTCTAATTTCGATATAGATATTGCACTTGGCATATAATCTAAAAACAATCTAGACGCTAAGGAGTATCGCGATCTGCGGATTCTGACCTACCTGGAGGGGGATGATTTCGCTTTGGAGGAGGTTGCAAGGGGAAAAGTCGGTGTTCGGTAGGCCAATATATCTGCCTTTCGTTATCCTCAGTGGACACTATAGAAGCCATCGATGGGACGTACTGTTCCGGCATCCAGTCGAACGAGAAAGCGCTTCCCGTCTGCGTGATGGGAGTGGCCGTGGGAGTTGGAGGCGCGCTTCCTATGTAAGGGCTGAGTTCCTGATGGCACAAGTCAGGAACTTTCTGTAAGGTATCCGACCAGGGGGGACTGGGGTTCCACTGGTCCATGATATCGCTTGGATCTGCTTTCAGCAGTGTCCTGGGCCTTTCGGAAATGTGAGAGATAACCAGGAGTCCGCTACTACCGCCTATGGTATCGGGCGCGTCGTGATCGGCTACATCTAATTCGAGGTTCTGTAATTCTTTGGGCTTTCGCTTACTGTATGAATAATCTACTGGCTCTGAATCGGCACGCCTGTGATGGTGGTGGTGTTGATTGTGATGTGCGTGCGTGGCAACTGCGTGATGAGATAGATGAGGTTGCAATGTCGTGGGCATCGCGGTTAGGTGCGCGTACCCGCCCGCCTCGTGGCCGGTCACAAATTCAGGTCCCTGCGTGTGCTCGGGGTAGTACAATAGCCGGGACGATGGGCCAACGTCGTAAGTAAGGCCGTACTGAAGTTTATTCTGCACCGAATAATAATGGTACAGCCAGCTATTAGTTCTCATGACGGCGGCTTCGGCATCGCTGAGTACTTGATTAGTGCACACAATTACGGGTTGTTGATTGCTTTCCGAGCTCTCTTTAACTTGCAGCACACAGTGCATCCATATCCACTCTCCTGAACGTCGCTGGAACTGCGCCAGCAAGATGCAAGACCGTTCTTGTTCCGATTGGGTGACTGCAAGGAATATTACAATAAGAATTCGCCCGCAACGTTAGCCTTGTACCCGTCAGTCTGTCGAGTCTAATAACTGCCCCAGTTCCACATCTCACATCGTCTCTAAACTAACTCATTCCGGTACGACGGAAAGCAAATAACAATCTCCCCGAACCCACCCTTTTAAAATACGACACACGCATGGTTTGAAAAATGCTGCCATAAATACAGGGGTTCACAAAATATCTACAAATAAGGCGATTTTGCTATCCTCCTTCTGCACATTATGGTCATATTGTCTTGTTTTTGAAACACAGGGAAAATTTTTGAGAACGGTCAATATGTCAGTCCTGTTAGTTTTCTATTAACTTGTAAAGGTCGCTAGCTAAGATCATTCCCAGCGGAAGTTTACCCATTTTGAGGTTATGTTTACTTTATTCTATGTCACATGTTATAATATATCTATTTTTTCATCTCTTGTTAAAATCGCCCCAAATTAAAAAAATGCAATTGACAAAACTCGGGAGTTGAATTTCATATCTCAAATTTTTATCTATAAAATGTCTCCGTGGTAGACATTTTTGCAAAATTAAGGTATACATAACAATAAACTACCTGTATACGATGCAGAAAACCTAACCTCAAAAAAGATATAGGATGTCGCTAGTAAAACTCGCAGCTAGCGACCCCTACAAGAACACTACAACGTATAACATCGCAAAATAACTTACCCATACCAAATTAAATGTAATACAAAATTTTTTAAAAGAGATAACAAAATTTGATTTCAAAAAGTCATCAAAAACAAACGACAGTGGTGAGTGCCTGCCCCTGAACTTGTGGCATCTTTTTTCAAATCATCCTGTGATTTAGATTCACGGAACCTTTTATAATAATATCTCTACCCCTCATTTTAATGATTAGTTAGTTTACAAGGCGGAGAAGGGGCGGCATATTATTATACAGCAGGCCGGGCCTGGTTAAGCCTTAAATACCATTCTGTGCAGGAATGACGTAAACCTGGAAAATCTCGTGACGGTATGTAAAAAAACCTACACAACTGTAGATGTAGATAGGGATGTTCCGAATATTCGTAATCGCTTGCGCAACTGCATCAAAAACAAAAAATATATTTTTATCTATTTAATTTTGATAAAACATGAAGTTGGTGATACAACCAAAGTGTAATACATTTTCAGTTGATTTTTTTTTTCTTTATAAATTATAGAACAATTCCTCAAAATAGTCTCAAAACCCTCACGAGCCTTTTTATTCACAGGCCGACAAGATTTTAACACAACAACACGAATATACTTTCCCCGAGGATTTCGGTGGGCTGAAGTCGAATCCGAGGTCCAAATTTCTCAATTGGCTCTGGTTTTCGAGATGTCCTAACCTAAAAGTGCCAAAAAAGCGATTTTTTTATATATACATGGAAACGTAATTTTTTTGCTGAAACCATTAATAGAGCCCTAACGATCTGTTAATAAAAATGATTGTGAGGAATTTGAGACTCTTTTTTGAAAACCAAAACCAGTAATAATGAACTCGACTTAGAACTCAACTTGAAATATTTGCATTGGCAAGTCAGATCCGGAACAACCCTAGAGCTACGCTGTTATTTTCGGCGGGTTCCCTCGTACCTTCGCGAGTGAAATGTGGACGGGGAAGGGGGGGGGCATTAATAAATATCAGAGCCGAGTGGGGGACAGGAGACCTACGCGGATAATTTTTATTATACTCACTGAGCCGGTGTTTGGTTTGGGCCTCGCGCGTGCATTCCCAGTGCAGCAGCCGGTACCAGGACACCCCCTGCAGATCGGAGCGCGGAAAGCCCAGGTAGAATTCGCCGCTGCAACACAAGTGTAACAGTTGTCGTGATTTACGGCATTGGATGTCACCGGCTCTCCCGCGACCCGGTGACCTGGACCGCCCCAGCATCACGAGCAGACGTTGATTTATCGCACGAGCGAACAAAGCCCCATAGCGTATACCTCATAGCGCACGTACCAGTGCCGTACCGCGAGTACGGCCGAGGCCGTACTTTATAGCTTCATTACTGACCTCGCCGGCTAACTAATGGCCGCCGCGGCTAATTTCCTGCGCAACGATTTAGGCGCGCTGACGTCGACGGCCGTGAAATACCGCCGCTGTCCATTCATCGCGCCCGACCAGATCCGAAACCCGCCTAAAATTTTGACTTGACGCCGAACGCCAAAGGGGTAATTTCCACTGAAGCAATTTTGACAGTAGACAAATGACGTCACTACGCATATTTTAATGTTTTTAAAATTTTAAACGAGGTTAAACTGAAAAAAGAAAAAATACGGGTCAAATATTTGTTTACCTTACTTTAAATTTGTGATATCGTTAAAAAAACACCCTATTCAGGCCTACTTCGATAAACATATATCGAGACTAAAACCATTTCGGTATGGTTTGAATTTGACTCAGCATAGTATTAAAAAATGTATCTTTTGAACTTTCATGCTTGAAACAATGGTGAAAAATATCTTGCCAAGATGCTGCAAACATTACTTGTCTTAAACATCGAATAACGCCGAAACTGTACGACTTAGACCCAATATAAAAGGAGTTATTTATGCAATTTAGGTAACTCCCAGAAGAAATGGGACACCCTGTATAATAAAAAATAATTTCAAAATGCGGAGAAACCGATTTGACGTAACTTATTTGAGACATTATCGCTGATAACGTAAAAACGTGTCTATTCGTAATACCAATCGAAACTTGCGTAAAATCCTCAACTTCCGTTCATTCCCGACGGTAAGTCGCGTAGCAAAATCGTTGGTACGACCCTGACGTGGCTTAGAGGCTTACACTTTTATAGAGCTGCTGCTGCTAGATGCTGTGCTTTTTTTTTATTTCTTTTTTGTTTTAAGGTAAATACTTACTTGTTGTCGATGTGGATGAAGCGCATATCCATAGAGTGGATGGAGGTAAATACGTTGGTGGCACCCTGAACGACGCACTCCCTGGTCTCCGGCATTGCGACTGGCGTACAGGTGGCCAGGAAGACGGGTTCGTTGCGGCTGCAAAGCGGAAGGAATGACAAGTACCTCCCTTGGACGAGCACTACCTGCAACGTTAATACGGTGATTTCGATCTCTACCGAATTGTGACCACGCAGAAAAATAAAGTTTTTGAAAGATGAGAATGATCATTTTATTTTGCAACGGAATTCACTGGACTAAATGTTCGGTTTAAGCGACGAACGTTTTGGACTATTTGCACCGGGAGTACCTGCAAGTGGCGCTTTGGTATTCTGATGAGAGTCATTTCCATAACCTTGTCGCCAGGCCGGATTTAGCATTCCCTATTCCTGTCCCTGCCGGTTGGGCCCCGGCGAGTAGGCGTCATAACACACACAGCAGTACTACTAGCTGCGGTTGCGCCTCCACCTACTTTACATATTACGTGTGTAATGATATATAGATCGTGATGTCCTTTTACATGACACAACATACGAACTAACCGAACGCCCCCTTTAATCGATTATCTACACTATTTTAAATATCACCACTGACCTATTTTCACAACCGTTTATGGTTTATTTTATGACCCCACATGCTAAGCTATCACTGGGTGGTCCCGTGCACGTTTTATATTTTTGCACCACTCACCGCGTTACTGAATTTCCCACAATAAATTCGAAGCGCGGTAAAAGCACTACATTCCAAACAGACCTCTCGAAATTCGAAAACTAAATTAAAAAAAAAACTACCGAGTGCTCCAATATTCCTGATGATTCATTCATCAAGCCTTACGATCTGATAACAAAAGCCTAAGTATATAATTTTAACAGACCGCTGCACTAAAACTTACATATTTGTAACGTGTCAGACACAAAAGTTTAGAAACAATATTGAGCAACCGTACCGGCACAGACGTTTCAATTTATTGTACGGCAAGCGATAGCTCGGTATATTTACTGCTTTATTTGACTTTAACCATTTTAATGCCTTCGAAGGTATGAAGCAATTGACTGTGACCCGTATAAAGAACATCAATCATCTTATTGTCTTCTAATATAAAATAGTACATTTGGAAATTAATCGATACCAATAGATTTCTAAGGCGAAAAAGAAACGATCGTTATCGAACACACTCTTTAATTATTTGAATTGTTATGGCAGACGGAACATAATTTCAAAATAAATTCCTGATCATTTCATCATTTCATAATTAAATCGAACCACACACAATTAGTCTATCCCCTACACGGAAATTTTAATGTGTCGTTCATTTCGTACAGTGTTCCGGCAGATGCGTGTCAGTGCGTCTCATAAGCGTACAAGTGTATTAGTTTAATGATTTTTCCTAATGCTTATTTCTAGTGTGTTTACTTCTCATTTATCGCAGAACCTCGATAATCCCAGCAGCTAAAGGGGCCCGCACGCGTTCAAGCCGACGATATATCAAATTCTTTAACGACGAAAATGTTAATTTACTGGGTAATCGCTGACGAGGAAAAAATGTATGTGATGCAACCATCTCACGGTGTGTCAACTGTTGCACACATCCAACGAGTCGGCGCTACATTCGAAGGCCTAATGTATGCTCGGGATTCGAAGAAACCGCTGTGGTAGCTTCCCAGCAGCAAATAACGATAACAATAATAAAGTGTATTACGTGTTGCATTGTAAATGTGCAACTTGTATTTAGATAGATACCTCCAGTATCTATGGTAACTATTCTAGGTGTGGGTGGAATCACTGCTGCCGTACCCGGTCGGTAAGGGGGATCCGACCCGGTGAGGTTGCTGCATGGTGAAAGGCAGATCCGGATCGGTACGATCTAGCCCGTACAGGACATCGACGAGCTACTTACATTAGCCGGGTGGAATAAATGAAAGGCGTTTTTCAAAAAGTCTCCGGATATTTATAGGATACCAAAGAACCCTACACGAGGAGATCATTTTACGTCTTGTACGGGGTGTTGCGATTTAGGGGAAGGTGTACAAATTCACTCCCAAGTAGAAGGCAGTGGCTCATTCCCAACATGTAGACGTAGTGGTAAGGCACGCATGGAATGCGATTCCATGGACGTATCGTTTTAGAGGGTCCCAAAAATTGTTAAATATCCAAAATCAACTCTTGTGTCGAAGTGTCACATTCGTCGTTGTTCAATGGGTTTCATTCACAGAGGTATGGTGACCATTGAAGAAGTAGAACATTGCGGGATTTACCAATTATATCCATTACATATTTCGTGACCATAATGTCTCCTTTTCTCCATACACGCGTGGTAATTTTTCCATTCGTCGATTATGGGAAGGCGCATTATCCATGGCAATCACTGTACCATGTGAGGCGAAATAGATGAGCCTAACATATGTAAACCCCTCATCCCATTTTTAACACGTGATGGAATAATTAAGGAGGTATATCGGGTTTACTCAAATGCACAGATGTACTTGAAATTTATATAGCGTATTAGCCAGTACTCCCTCTGTGCGTCATATTTTTTTGAAATTTTTTTTGAATCTAGATTTTGAGATATTGTTGTTGAAAGTTGTTCATTTTAACATAGGTTTATATGGCGAAGATGGACGGTGCGGCTCTTTTTTTGCCCATAACTGAGAAAAAAATGTAGAAATTGTGAAACAAAACTTTTCCATAGATAGTACACAGTATTATCTTATTTTTGATGTAAAACTAATGTAAGTTTTGAACATAGTACAGCTGTATTAATTAGAAACAGAAACCAATAATTGCATTTCTGTCTGACTTGAGGATTAATGTGGCAACGTCGCAATCAGCTGACAGCAAGGAGGGAATACATTTGAAAGACTTGATAAAAACGAAATTGATTTCAAACATATACATTTTTCCTAAATCCCATGTACATTGTTATCAACAATAAATTATCCACAACAGATGATTTTTTGTAATGTTTTTAAAAAACTAGATTAATTAAAAAAGACTAGGAAGCTGTGATATATTTATTGGAATAAAAAATACAGTTGATAAATCCTTTTAATATATTTAATGGTTTATAAAAACATCGTAATCATTACCCAGCAATATTTAGGGTTACATAAAGTTTTCTTTACTTGATTAATATAATTAGTAATACTTGAGATAAAAGCATTTGTACGGAATAACAAAGGAACATAAATATTTCTCAGCAAACTTTATATCTAAAAAATTAGTTATAGTTGCAAAACTTTTGTAACATTACTAAAATAGAGATTAAAAACACGAACAGTGAGTAATAATGTAATTTCTATCACAGAACCTTCAAAATTGCATCCAACATTTTCTTTGACTTGGACGAGAGATGGGCGCGAGTGTCATTTCATTTCTTTAGAACTAAATTAACATAATTCTCGTTGTTTTACCAGTTCACATGATTTACGGATTTTAAATAAAGGATACAAATCTTCGCGAGGATAATACGATATATTTGCTATATATAATAATTATATTGTACATAGTTTACACACAATACATTTTTGAACGCGTACGCATCTTTACCCGAATTTGACGCGCAATATCTCCGATGTCCGAGGTCTGTAGGTTCGCAGTGTGTACAACTGCTAGTCAATTATTAGCGCTGTTGCCACATCTACATAGTCTTTATGCGTTCATTAAATATAATTTAAAACTACTTAAATATGATATTTTTATGTTGTTAATTAGTCAATATGTATGCTATGTGCATATGAGTAGATTTCTTTGCTATATAGATAATGTTTATCGCAAATAATTTCAATAGAATTTATATTTTTTAAATTGGGAGCGGGTTTTAGTCCCATAACAAAAACCATAGGACCCCCCTGCGCTCCTCACTTCCCTCGGACCACGATATACCTCCTTAAAATATAAAAATACGTTTTCCCCCACTTATTCGTTTATAAAACGCTGGAAGCTAATATATAGCGGGATTCCAAAAAGTCTATAGGCTCAGTCGTCTCTCTGAACACATTATCGGAACACTATGGGACATGAGCTGCACATTACAATTTCCGTGCGGAGAAAACACGGAAAAAAAGAGTAACTAACAAAATTTGTGGTTTAATTTATTTATCGCTCTAGAAAATAGTGACAATGGGCTTACCTTTTGGTCACCGAATCTCATCTGTCGCCTGGCGTTCCTCGAAACATTCATTCTACACAAAAACAAACGAACTTCATCGGTCGGACTGGTATTGGACCCTGTGGTTACTGGCCTTCCCAATTCGCACTGTATTGCTTGGTGATCTTGTTTATCTATAATATCATATACACTATCTCCATGGATCAACAGGTCCTCCTGTAAAAGATTAAAAAATATCCGGATCACATCAGCGCGCATACTTGGACCAATAATATTGTTAAAATACAAATACGCCGAGTCGTTACGGTGTCTTAATTATGTACTACTAGAGTGGATAATTCCACAAATATCTGTAACATTCTTACTGTCATCATTACATCTGTTGCAGTGTTGTGTACGAAGCGGTGGACGATGGGTGGAGTAGCGAACATATTAATAAGACGAAAAACGCAACGTCATTGACGTTGATGACATAGAATCAGTCGGTTTAAACTCATAAAGTCACAATCACAGATACAAATCCGGAACAACGCTTGTCAAATACAAACGAAGGATTCCCGCGGCCTACAGGGTGTTACCGACATACCAGCGACACGAATCACGTAAGAAAATACAGATTAAACCACACAAAAGAGGGTATAGTGCATACATTACTTTTTAAAACGATTTTGGTTTCACCAGTAACTGTAATTAAGTGATGTGTATAAATAAAGAATAACAATTAACGCAGTAGTGGTTACGTTAGGACCCTCTGTAGATGCAACAGACTCGGTAATGTAGCATTTAATAAATGATTTATTACGGCAGCCGCGGTAATCACACGAATACGCCTATATTAAACAGCGATTAATCCGTTTCGAAAAGAATAAGTATAGAAATAATGGTGATATATTAAGCTCACTCTTAAGCTTAAAAGCTCAAAAAGTTCGCTCACCTGTAAAACACTCACCATGGAATGGCCCAGGTACTCTGCAGCATTATCGGATATGTACAATAGTTTTCCGTTCTGCGTCATCATCATTAGGAAACCGCTCAACGCCTGAAAAAAAAAAAGGTTTTTTTAATCATATCGTCATTAAGGGACCATCTTTTAAGAACACACCCAATACCACGCAATAATACGAAAGATATAACCGGGTGCTAAATCGGGACAGTGAGGTGATTTCCAAAATGGAATATCGTACATGCAAAAATTGAAAGATATTCGTGCATAATGATAATTCTCTATTGATTAAGATGTATTTAATTAGACGATTATGTAACAATTTTCAGAAGGTAACCAGGATTTGCAATGTGATTCGACTGAATCTGAAAGGAAAATATGTATTTTTACGGCATTAATCTTTTAATAACTGTTATTAGTTAAGGATAATACCGTATTAATATTCATATATTCATCTACAGTGATATCAGTCTGCATAGTCTAATACTTTGCCGTAATATTTTCAACAAGTAACTGATGTCATAAATTTATATTATTATGACATTTATAATATTAATAATCGCAGCGCTTTCTTACTTTTAATTTGCTATACTCGGAGTAACGAATAGATTGGCATTTACGTTCGTCGAGATACGACGAATATAACCGCACATGAACGTTACAACCGATTAAAAAAACGTCTTCGGTACGGACTTGCATATTGTTTAGAAGTATGCTCGCACGAGACGATGTTGGTGTATTAATGGGCTTGTTTAGCATATTTTTTAAAATTCACGTACAGAAATTACAGATCGTAGTTAGTTTTGTATAAAAAAGCGGAAATATTTTCTCCCTCAAAGTAATTAATAAAAACGGAGAGCGGGAAAACGCACGGAAGCCATGGCGTGACGTCATACCACAGGTCGTAGCTAGCTCATATATCAGACAAAAACACAAATTTAAACTAACAAACCCAATTAAAAAAGAAACGTCGTTACAAATTTTAATAACGAAAAAAAAAAAAAAGATTTTTCGAAACGTTTACTATAATTGTGGGAGAGGAAAAAAGAGAATTTATAACATTCGCATATAAATTAATGTGCAATAAATGATTAAGGCTGTCAGAGAGAGCCGCAATTCAATGGCGTGCCAAGCGAGTCAACCGAGACATGCGCGAGCCGCTGCCTCAGAATGCTTTTCACGTTCACGTCACGTTAGTATACTGTTGCTTGTTATGACGCGGATGTTGCGTAATTAGATCCTATCCGTTGATATTTATGATGGTGTATTGTAGACAATTTAATTTGTTGCTTTTTAATAATAACGCGTACGCCTATGTCCCGCGGTTCAGTTCTGACAGCCCTAATAACGATAATATGCCGAAAAAATTATTTTTATTTATTTATTTTTATTTTATTTTTATTTTTAAGATACATCTGCCCAACAGCTAAATACCAATTACCGGGCAGGCTAATTACACACATATTATTTACATATATAAAGTTAAAATAATAAAACAAAAACAATCGTAAAAAGCAAGCAAATGGACAAACTAAACAAGTTAAGTTAAGTAAAAGATTTAAAACACATAAATAGCACAAATTAAAACAAGAAAAAGGAATACTAAGATCCCAATATTATAGTCTTGATTTTGGAAACAGATGAAAAAAACAAGTCTATTGAACCTTGGAGCGACGTATAACTCATGCACATCCGATACAATGGATTTATGATTTACTACAATTTAAAAAACCTTAAACCATACTACCAAATAAATAACTTGAGCCAGTAGAGTGGTGTGACGTCACAAATGCTCCGAAATTATACACTATTTTTCACGGTTAATCTTAAAGCCGTCGGTCTTATTTTTTTCACCAGATTTTTAGGGGGAGGAGGGGGAATATAAAAACAAGTTGTAAATTAAATACATTACCGAATATACAATTTCACCTGTCTTTTTAATCGTCCCCGTGACAAAAGGTGTTGAAGGAAACGGATTGACGATAAGTTTATTTTGATAATGACATTCCGCCTGTGCATTTACGACTTCAGGTAGTAGCCTTTATATTGCGAACAATAACAAATAACGACTGGAAAAGTATGCCCGTTTGATAAAGCACGTCCATAAAGATTGCATTATGCTGTTTAAATTTATCACACCGCAAAAACGTATAAAATGAAATTAACACCGCATCGGTCATTTTCGAATGAGTTACATTTAATGTTACGATATTTTTCAACCGTTATCGGATTTACCCTGTTAGGTCCATTAGCCATATTACACAAAACGGGGACAACTGAGGTAGCCTAATAAGCATACCAATAAAATCTCACATAGTGGTTTTTAATGCCTCGATAAAATTAGTTGTGATCAATCCACTTATTTGCTATCCGAAGAACTTTTAAGAAATGGACCTATCGGACTTGTCACTAGATAAAAAAAAAACAACGTTGTCACGTGCTTTTGTATATGGAACTGGTTGTTGGTTTTTATAACGAACGATCTCAAAGGAAAAAGTGTCAACATAGCCTTATTTCCTGTATTGTTATTCATGATTTTATCTTCGCGGGCGCATTTATAAATTATATCCTAGTTAATCTGCTAGATATAAAGAGGATGGAATATAAAAAAGCATCGGGCTCGGGACGCCGTTAATATCCGTAACAACAGCGATGTTCAATAAAGATTATCGTAATCGGTATTCCTTTTCGTACGAAATTTCATTAAATAACAAGATATTTTCAAGAACGGTCGACCGCAAGCGGTTTACGTTGTTTAATAAACGAAGCCAAACAAATATAATGAAAAAAGCAATTTGTTTTATTAGATAGTGCAGCAGATGCAAATGCTTTGCGTGAACCATTTACAGGAGCAGTGAAAAGGAGTAATTAATGGTGAGAAGGAAAAGCGGATTCGGGAATATATTTATGCCTGTATTGTCAGTTCTGAACGAACGACTTGTTAGGAACTAAATGATCGATAAAGAATTAAATGCCTGCGAGTTTGTGCTAATCGGGTAAGTATGTAAACTTGATTGAAAAGGAATTTTTCACGGCATACAATTTTAAGGATCGTAAACAAATATATTTTTAAAACGGCCATATAATACAAGCAAATACAGACATTATAGTCGGCGTTTTGAAATTTATAATACCCAACAAACCCGTAAAATATGTTAATCTTCTCCTAAGATGTTTTCTCGGGTATATTTTACAATATTTGCAATCGGGTACAAATCTATTTTCTAGGTTAAACCATAGCACGCTCCGATCCTAAGAATCGTGCAGTGCTCACTTGATTTTTGATAAGCTGTAACTTACTTTATAGAACTACCTTTTGTTTATTTTAACATAATTTGCTTCTATTCAATGAGAAGCATTCTATATTTTTTAACCTGGCGTCACTACACAATAGATTTCATCGAATCAATAAATTTTGCCCATCTTCAAACATATCTGACTTATATGTTTGCAATATTTAGTGCCTACCCATACACACGCTAATGCCACGGCTGCATAAAACAATAAAATGCTCTCCGAATACATTTTCACAACTGATAGCTCTATACACGGTGTACAAACTCCACGGTCCATTCCGATAACAGACAATCGAATATTAAAAGTCAACGTTTTGGTTATTGTTTAAATTACAAATTTAATTTTAACTGACACCGCAAATATATCATTTTTATGAAAGTAAAATTTAATAATATTGTCGCATTCTACAATTACCGGCATTCGGATTATCGAGGTTCTAGTTTATAAATTCAAATTTAAAAAAAATGCCGATATAAAAACATTTATAGTATATTTTTTAAACAATGAAAGAAAAGGTTCTTTGTCGAAGGAAACCATATTACCCATAACCCATTTAGACGATAAATATTTCTTTCTTTTTGGAAATTGGAACTGAAACGAATTCAGTTCGGATTATCGAGGTTGTATTATATGTGTATCTTATAGCAAACTATGTAGATTGTAGAGGAACGGTAAAGTTAGTTTTTCGATATTTTCAACGGATAAAAATATATGGAGGGGCTTTGTAAGGTCACGTTTTAAGTCACGTGACTTTTAAAATTGGCGAACAGCCCGAAACATTTATATTGTTCGACCTAGAAGGGTGCGGTTTGGTTTGCTGGAATCCTCGAACGAAATGCTCGAGGGACGCCAGAGTTAGTTTTTCGATATTTTCAACGGTTAAAAAGATATACAGGGACTTTGTTAGGACACGTTTTAAGTCACGTGACTTTTGAAATTGGCGAACAGCCCGCAAAATTTTTATTTTTGCGACCTAGAAAGATGCGGTTTAGTTTGCTGGAATCTGTTTTCAGTTATTTTTAGTAGTTTATTGTAATACTATTTAATAATTTCATTTGTTTTTTTTTTACTTTGTCAAATAATTTACTAAAAATAATAAATTTCTGTAAAAATAACAATTCGCAAAAAGTAAATAACTGAACTGTCATGCAAATTTACGACCAGCTACAATAGAAAATATTGACAATTTCGATTCCCGGTGATTAACACATGGAACGTTATTTTTAAACGGATTTTACACAAAAATGGAACATTCTACCGATATGAACCAAGAGGACCTTTTTTTTTGACTAAAACACTTGACATTTCATACTTTCCAGTAAAATGTCAAAAAAATCAGAGCACTACCTACTAGCAATATTGAATCGTTTCGATCCTAAACGGACCAACCCCCTCACCCTCCTTTCCCTTCCAATGAGATGACACACATTTACATCGAATAAATCGAAAGAAAAAATCAATAATTATTCATACATGTTTGTGCATATTTGATTAGCCATTTTGAATTTCGTAATTCTGAATTCATAATTGTAATCAATGATCCAAGAAATTTTGAATTTTCAAAATTTGCCTTTAGATTCGTAATCAGGGACCTAAAAAACCCCACTACACAACAATTCATGCATTTTAAAGACATTTCAATTTTTTTTCTCCGCCATATTGAATCCGCCATTTTGAATTTCGTGATTTAAGAGTCCAGATTCGTAGTCATAGACCCAAAAAACCCCATTACAAAAAAAATCATGCATTTTGAAGACATTTCACTTTTCTTGTCCGCCATATTGGATCCGCCATTTTGA